ACACACTCTGACAATAGAAAGTTGTTGATTTAGGCACTGGATTTGAGAATAGTTATTTATCTACGCTCCCTAGAAAGAGGTTTACAGAAGGCGTGGGGTTGAGACAGGTTATGGGATAGAGGGGAGAGGACATGAGGAGAGTTGAGGAGTTGAGGGCCAGGCTAGTGCACTCCAGGGAAGGCAATGATTGACACTTCTGGGATAGTGTATGTTTCATGTAGAATCCTTGACATAAAGTTGGGTTGTGTGTGTGTATGTGTGTGTGTGTGTGTGTATGTGTGTGTGTGTGTGTGTGTGTGTGTGTGTGTGTGTGTGTGTGTGTGTGTGTGTGTGTGTGTGTGTGTGTGTATGTGTGTGTGTGTATGTGTGTGTGTGTGTGTGTGTGTGTGCGCGTGTGGTTATTTCATTTATTCAGTGTTGGAAATGCTGCACTTTTATCTGAATACCAGCAGAGGTCAGGCTCTTCCTACATACTCTTCTTTCTCCTCTTCCATTCAGATAAAACAATTTAGCCATATCGCCTTACATTTGACATTTTAGTCATTTAGCAGATGCTCTTATCCAGAGCGACTTACAGTTAGTGAGTGCATACATTTTCATACTTCACTGCTTTAATCTTGCTACTTAAAGGACATCTTTGCAGGCTCTTTTCAGTTCGCTGATCCTAGGAATGCAGGATATTTTCAGTAATTACTCAATTTATCACAACTAATCTAGTCCTCCATCTTCAAATACATGTCATCACACATTCACCTCCTTCCCTCCTTACCCAATTAGCACAGAAAAGCTGGAACGCATAGAGTAGGGGGTTGCTATGGGAACATGATTTTCCCAATGAGGAGTATTCAACCATTGCAGGGGATGATGTCACCACATGGAGCCCCAGTTAGAACATTATAAGGGTTGGGGGCACTTTGTGTTGAGACAAAGTAGACAGAAGGAATATAACAGGTACACACATGTTCGCCTTGTGTTAATTTCGCTCACTAGATTTTACAGCTATGCAACACTTGGATTTAGGAAATGAGTATTGTGTAGACAGACACCATAAAACTCTGTAGTCTCAACTGGCAATCGCGGCTACCGTCACGGTTGCATGTGTATGATATATTACTGATACATTTGGCACTCAAATCCAATGTACGTTCATGGTCAATGTGTGTGAACTGGCTTTTAGCTCAGTAACCCTTCAAGCTCTGAGTTGGAGATCTGTATCAAGCATATTGTCTGTGGCTAGATACTAGTCTAATCATATCACCAAACCACAGTAATGTTATGAGCATAGCTCTATCTCCATATGTCTCCTCTCTCCATATGTCAGAGGTGGAAGTGTGAGTGTGAAAGTATATTTCAGGATACACTCAGGTCTCTCAGCAGCCAAAGGGTGCAGAGAGAGAATAAAGAGAGGGGAGAGGAGAGGAGAGGAGAGGAGAGGAGGGGCAGCAAACGGGCATTCAGACTTACCCCCCTTTCCCACTCTCCTCTCTCTCTCTTTACTCTCGCTGTCTCCTTCTCCCTCCTCTCCAGTACGAGAGATGACAGGCAATGCTTCAGCATACTGCGAGAAAGAGACCTGGCGTATCATCCCTCTTTAGTTTACTTTGTTCTCGCTGCCTCTCTTAGCTTCTTCCTGGACCAGTCTTTCTGTTTGCTTTGTTTCTCTCTCTCTCTCCCCTCATCCCCACATCTCTCTGACATGATGGTAAACAGATAACTGACCGGCTGTCTCGTCACCATGGGTACCTGCCTCTGCAAAGGTCACAAAGGTCAGTGCCTCTGTCTGTCCGGCCCTCTGTGTGCCCGTCAGTCCCTCTTTCAGTCCATGGTTGTCACATGGAATATGGGGTTGGTTGTCACTATCGACTGTGTGTCTTTTTTCCAGTGTGTGTGTGTGTGTGTTTGCATGTGTGTGTGTGCGTGTGCGTGCGTGTGTTTGTGTACTCTGGGGGGAACCTTGAGGAGACATCTACAACAGTGGAGGCTGCTTATGGGAGGAAGGCTCATAATAATGGCTGGCACGGAATTAATGGAATGGCATCAAACACCTGGAAACCATGTGTTAGATGTATTTTATACCATTCCACTGATTCCGCTCCAGCCATTACCACGAGCCCGTTCTCCCCAATTAAGGTGCCACCAACCTCCTGTGATCTTCAGTCTGTCCAAATATTTTTATTGTCTCATACACCGGATAGGTGGAATGAAATGTGTTGTTTTACAGGGTCAGCCATAGTAGTACGTTGCCCCTGGAGCAAATTAGGGTTAAGTGCCTTGCTCAAGGGAACATCGAAAGATTTTTCACCTTGTCGGCTCGGGTATTCGAACAGTGACCTGGACCAATACTCTAACCGCTAGGCTACCTGCTGCCCTTCCCACCTGCCCACCTGCCCACAGACACTTTTCACTTTCCATTACTAGTGGGGGATGCAATTTGACCCCACAAGGACAGTAAACTTGCTATTGGCTTCAAAGAGTAAACAGCTCCTTGACCCGATAATGTAATTTTGATGGAGCTCAATAGAGCGTGATAGAGCCCATCTGCCTGTATGGATGGATGCAGGATGGATTTGTAAATCTTTGATCCAGCTGGGAGCAATTTCTTTATGCATGTGTGCGTGTGTGTTTGTGTGTGTGTGTGTGTGTGTGCGTGTGTTTGTGCGATTGTGTGTGTGTATGTGTGTGTGTGTGTGTGTGTGTTCGTGACTGAAGTAAATTGATTGGGATCACTCTCCCTCTGTTGCTCCCATGTTTCCATAGCAACAGCCAATTGTATTGACAACAACTCCTGGGGGATCACCAACGTGCGTGTGTCTGTGTGTGTGTGTGTGTGTGTGTGTGTGTGCTTGTGTGTGTGTGCCTGTTTCCGCCACTGGCTCATCTGATTACCCAGATCCCAGAGAAAAGACTTGGACCGTATTAATTAATGTCCCTTCTAGGTCTCATCAACGTCAATTAACGAGCCCGTCCTCCCCAATTAAGGTGCCACCAACCTCCTGTGACGCACGCACACAAGCACATAACACCAGTGTGTTTGATTCCCTACAGAGCTCCAGAGTGCCCAGCAGCATCCCATGGAGGTTCTGCAGTCCCAGCCTGGCAAGGTCTGTTCTCACACCACTGTATGTCAATCCTGTACTGTCACTGTTTAACGAAACAATATTGTTATTCTCAGACTATTCTCTGATTGGCATTATTTAACTACTGAAAGTTGAAAGATTGTTCCAGTCTAACATAGAATATCGCCATAGAAAACGTCCCAATATTGCTTCAAAAAAGCATTCAGAATTCACTCTAGTCAAAGCCCCAGTGTCTGTCCATAAAGACAAAGGTATTGTGTCTAGTCATTGAATAACCATGAGCATTGATATGTCTATTCCTCATTCTATGCAGCCGTTTCAGTTTAGTTTTTGTTGCAACATTTTCATTTACTCACACTCACTTTTACGTGTTAGCAGGAGTGCAGATTAAGATCTATAAATGTCACTTGTTTTCCTCATTATCACCTCCACACCTGGGAACTGTGTACGTGTGTGTGTACTTCAATGGAGGCTGCTGAGGGGAGGACGGCTCATAATAATGTCTGGAACGGAACGAATGGAATGGCATCAAACCATGTGTTTGATGTATTTGATACCATTCCACCTATTCTGCTCCAGCCATTACCACAAGCCCATCCTACCCAATTAAGGTGCCACCAACCTCCTGTGGTGTACTTGTATGTATGCCTGTGTGTGCGTGCGTGCATGCCTGTGTGTGTGTGTGCGCGCATGTGTCTGTCCGTCTCCATCGGTGTCTGTGTCTATCTGAGCGTGTGTGTACAAGTACAGATGCAGGATCTTAATTTGACCACCCTGTTGTTGCAGGAAATGTCCTGCATAGCAGGAAATGCAAACTTATAGTGTATTCAAGGTTTTAAAAGTTTGTGATTTCCGTTTTAAAATGTCAGACTTGATTTGTCCTAACAAAAAATGTATTAACCCCTACAAAAATGACAATTAATTATAATCCACACTATAATTCACATTTCCTGTTGCTGCAGGATTATTTTCCTGCTGTGAGAAACTGGTCAAATTAAGATCCTATATCTGTAAGTATATTTGAGTGCATTTGTGTCTTTCTATACGTGTGTGTGTGTTCTAGTATGAGTGTGTGTGCCTTGTGCATTTGTGTGAGTGCCTAAAGTTGCCCTGGTGTATTGTATTGTGTTGTGTTGTGTTGTGTGTGTGCAGGGCGGCCACCCTCCATCCAACTGCAGTATGTCAGAGAAGAAGAGCAGCAGTAGTTATGACATTGGGGAGTTGGCCACTTCCTCCCTGATGGGTGAGACATGCCCAGATTGACTTGTTTTCATTATGAATCGTTCATTTGAGACGGAAAAGCCAGCCAGTCTCTCTGGGAGATTGCTAATGTAATTTCACTCACCCAATGTGTCATATCTCTCTCTCTCTCTCTGCATGCACACACACGAATGCGCACGCATGCACACACACACACACACACACACACACACTCACATACACACTCACATTCACACTGACATACACACTCTCTCTCTCTCACGCTCTGCTTCTCTAGTCTCTTCTCCCTTTGCTCTAAACTCCTTTACCCTTCCACCTGTTTCTTTTTGCTTCACCTCTCCAGCCTCTCTCAGCTGTAAGTTAATCATTGTGGCTAATGTGTTCTGGCTTTCTGAACATTTTCTCCAGAGAGAGCCCCCTTTAATCTTTTATAATGATAATATATTAATATATTCAACAAATAGAGTGCAGAGGGGCTAACTGCTGAAAGGTTTTCCCTCTAATGAAGACTGCCTTCTTTGAGAAAATAGCTTTACCAAAAGGCTCTCTCAACTAATAATTCCTCTCCCTCTTTTTCATCCCATCAACCCTTTCCACCTTTCCCCCTTTCCTCCTTATGTCATTTCCATCATTCCCTTCCCTGTTTCTCTCCCTCCTTTTTCTTCACAAATACCCTTTCACCTCTCTCCCTCTCTCTCTCTCTCAGGACTGGTGGTGATGATCAAGGAGCACATCACCAAGCCCACGGCCATGGCCCAGGGGCGCGTTGCACACCTCATAGAGTGGAAGGGCTGGGGGGGCGGGGGTGAAGGAGGGGGTGACCTGCAGGAAGATGAGCAGCTCTATTCTCACCTGACCGACGAGATCAAGGAGGCCCGCTTCGCCGCAGGTGAGCAGAGAGGAAACAAAGCCTTGGGTATGTCCCAAATGGCACCATGCTCCCTATATATTGCACTACCCTGGTCAAATGAAGTGCACTATATAGGGAACACAACCCTTACACAACCCTTACATTTCACGCTTCTGCCTCTAACCTTAGGAAACTATTTTCCACCTTCTCCTCCCTCCTTAATCCTCCTCTTTATCCCCTCTCTCTCCAGAGCAGAACAAATAATCCTCAGCCTACAGCCTACCCGACCACTTGGAGGCGTCCGCATGGTCCTAAAGCACACCGATGCCTCATTTTGTATCACATTCCAATGATAAAACTGGGGGGGACAAAAATGCAATTTCAGAATGTGGGGGGGACATGTTCCCCCCGTCCCCAGTGAAAGCTGTGCCCCTGCACTGATGAGTGATGGAGTAGGGAAGCCAGCGGGAGGTCTTCTAACCCCTATGTCCCTTGGTTTCTCAGGAGTAGCGGAGCAATTTGCCTTGGCTGAAGCGGCCATGAATGTCTGGTCGATGCACGAAGGCCCAGAACAGCCATCCTCCAGCTTAGACCCTCTGCAAGGTACTGACCATTCACTGACCAGTGCCACATCAAAATAATCCTTGTCAAATGTAGAGGCTTCTTGTATTTAGTTGAATACCATTTCCAACCCATCTTTCCACTTCTTTGTTTCACTAACTGTTTTAGCTCATGTTGAGATGTTCTCTCATGTAATAACCCCTGAATGACAATTTATGTTTTGTCAACTTCCTGTCCCCAGACAGCCACTTTGTGTCTCACTTTCTGTTAGACGTTGGCAGCGTTGGGCTCCCTCAGCATCTGTACAGTATCCACACAAAGGCCAACAACAACTACGATGCCGGCTCCCTGGGGCCTCCACACCCAGCCTTTTCTGTTTCCCCCATATCTCCCCCCTCTCAGCAAGACAGTGAGCGGCGCCCCCCAGAGGATGGGAGGTCTGGAGCTGCAGAGGCCACCACCGTTCGACACGTAGACAGCAGCTCCCTATATGAGGATGAGGTTTTTTACAACTAGCAGAACAGAAGAGAAGACACAAGAGCAATGTTTGGGGAACACTTCCATCCCCACCTTTAAAAAGGGAGACGAAACAGAAGCACTACTTTTGGACCAGTGACTGATCAAAATTCATGTTATCTAAAACCCAAAGGAGGAACAGTTCTCAGAAAGTGGGTTTCTAGGAGAAGAATAATCACACAGCAAGGAATTGGGTCGTAGACATATGAGTGAGAGACTTTGTATTTTCAGTTGAAATGTTCAGTTTTTAGACACAGATACGGTGTACGTAGAACCATCTGTAGCCTTTGAGTAAACTTTATTGAATGTACAACATTGTAAATTGTTAAATCATGTGAACTAAGGAATTGTACAAAGGAAAATACATCAGTCAAGAATCACTATTCTTCTTTGTGTACATATTGTGTACATTGTACCATAATACGTTCAATTATGTGACACACGTATGGTGGAGTGGCTCGTACACCGTGCAGTTTTTGATTGAATCCAATTTCAATTAGATGGACTGAAAAGATAGATATGGTAATCAGAAGGATTTGCCACAATGAAATGTCAAGCTTGAATTAGCATTACACTCCAGAATGTCTCCACTCAGGGTCTTCCTATAGCTCTGAGATAGGAGAGGAGAGAGAGAGTAGGGTGGCAGAAATAATGTGTGTACCCAATTATCTGAGTCCCCAACTATGATTAGTCATTATTCACACTTGTCTGCCAGGGAGCAGAAGGAAGGATGCAGGGAAAAGAGTGAGTGAGTGAGAAAGAGAGAGAGAGACAGGGAGATTAGAATATTACCGTTATCTCGCCCCTTGTTCTTTCAATAGACATTTACACAATGCTGTATTACACATTGGCTCTGTGCTTTTGTTCCCCTGTTGCAGCCCTACAATGTCCAATTGAGGAGATGGCAGAGGTGTAACTGCGTTAGAGCTGTCAAATCTCTGAGCAGCTGCTCGTGTGGTCATTGCCACTAAACCAGACCTGTCCCACTCGCATTAGAAGTTCAGAACGAGAAAGTGTAGGCTATATATCAAATTGAAAATGATTAAACAAAATAATGAGGATTTCTATCAGCCTAATTGAGGTGTAGATTACATCTCACATTCCAGTGTTCGAACTTGTAAAAAAGGCTGCATGGGATTTATTTTAATGCAACCCCGTTCAGCCAATGGCAATGTCCGCTTTAGGTATAATGCCGGAAGCCGCTTGTGGATTTGACAGCTCTAACGCAGTTCCACCTGCAACACCGCCAAAACAACCGCGGGTGTCGGCTACCGTGGATCTCATAGAATCTAGTCCTAAATCAGACCCGTACAGCAACAACATTGGGTCGTTCCGTTCAAAGTGAAAAAGGACTGAATTGAAGGGAGAAAATTGCTGGGAGTAACAGATAAGTAAATAATGGTCTGAAGCAGAAGAGAAGTTGTTTGCGGCATTACAGAATCCACTATAGGTTGAAATTGCTCTAACTCGCAATAAGGCATAAGAGCACATGGTATATCCTGATAAATAACACACTAAGGCTAAGGGATGTTCTTAGGCACGATGTGTAATTACTTTGAATATCACAGTGTCCTTAGAGATATCTCCGGGTCAGTAAACAAGATCATCCAAAACCGCAAGGGAGTTACATCTCCTAGCGGCATATCAATAAGCTCTTATAACTGTTATGAAATAGCCTTGGTGATTGGTGATTAGCAAATCACCAAAAAGCTTATCATTATAAAATGAAGACAAAGTATCATTATTAGCATTATAAGAATCAATATTGTTCGGCGTATTTAGGGATAGATTCTTGTTGGGAGTAAATAATACCGGTTCTGTCTGTCCATATCTTAGAGGTCATCAGCCAAAACTTCCATCATTCTCTTCATCTGTGAGAAAGAGAGAACAAGAGAGAGAGAGAAAGAGAGAGAGGGAGAGAGAACAAGAATGAGAGCTGATGGAGATGTACTGTATATGTATTAGTATGGCTGTGTAGAATGTGTAGCTGTCTCCATTCCTCTAAGTAGGAGTGGTAAGGTCTATGTGTGTGTGTGTGTGCGTGCGTGCGTGCGTGCATGTTTGCATGCGTGTGTCGGGAAGCACTCGTCACCTCTGGCCATGTGACAACACCAGATAGCCTCCCTCTCTCAGTCACAAACAGGCTCTCGCCACACAGCATGCTGAGGACGCCATGAGCCTGACACAAGGGAGAGAGAATAATTCACTGACAGAGCATGTAATCCAGGGACTCCAAAGGACAGATGAAACTGACACAAGTCCAGCTGAGACTGAGGCTGGCCCTATATTGACTCCATACACCTACAAAGATGTGTCCCTGACAAGTGAGTGTCTCCTCAAACTCCTCACCTCCTGGACAGTTGTATCAGGGGAGAGCTGGACAGAAACAGGCTGAATAGAACACATATCCACCAACTGTTTCTTCAATCCCTGAAAAATAAAGTAATGGTATGTCATGTTTAAAAACAGAATGAGACATCTTGTCAATTTCAAAACACCTAATAAGAGTGATACTCGCGTAGAGTGATACTCGCGTAAGGTCACTGACCTTATTGTGGTTGTGGCATAGAAACGTCTGCAGGTCCGATCTGTTAATTGAACCTAGCAGAATCCGCGAGCCTTTAAACCAAGAGCGAAGCAGGGGACAGGGACGGACACAATTAGCTCAAGTGTTATTAACTGCAGTATTGTGTTGCTATGAGAAACACAACACTCTTTCAAATGAATACATACATATGCCTCCAACTTATTTCATTGCTGTCATAAGTCTCATCTGACCTGATGGACCTTTTCACACTTATTTCTTGATTCCCCATCTCCTATCACAGCACTGTCATATCAAACTGAGACAGTAAAATCTTTTACATAGTTCATAATTTCTATATCATGCCCATAGCAACATGCTGACTGCCAGTTGACGTATAAGTGACAGTTGGGTTGCCATTAACTATTGTGGCATATTGTCACAGGAACCACAACTGTATGTAGGACAAAAAAACATTCAAACTAAGTTTAATTGAATGTTGTAAGTCTGTCACAGAAAACAAGGCAAGGGAGGGCAGCTGTTGTTTTGCCATCATAATCCCGCATGCGGCAAACCGCTGTTCTACCACCATCAGTTGGACAGAGGCTTGCCGCTATGCTAATTATCTCTACTAGTTTTTGAAGTGGGTACACTCACCCAGTGTGTCGACCACAGGGATCTGTGTCTGGCTGCATGTGTTGAGAACCTGCTGAACCTCCGTTGGCCCAGCTGCCCTCTCCAGCACTGGACCTCCAGGACCCAGTACCTTCCCTATTGGGACAGAGGAGAGCCTGGGGGGAAACAGAAGATCTCTCATGTCAATAACTGGGGTATTTAGTTTGATTCACTTATGAAATGCAGCTGTAATCCAATTATTTAAGGAGGAGACATTAACATGTGTCGGTAGCTGTAAAAATGTTTGAGCTGTTTGAAAATGTGTGTCTCTTTGATCAAATCTTTGGTTTTCGCATACACTTTCTTAAGCGCTTGCTGTTGCTACCTAGCTAAAACATTTTGTTCTCAGAACGTTGTGTTAAAGTTTTTTTCTTCTTTGAATAACCAAAAGAAAACATTTAGGGAATGTTATGACTAGCTGGGTAATGTGTCCTGTGTGACTCACCTTGGGCAGACCTTGAGAAGGGAGGGTAAGTGCGGGAGCTTCTTGCTGATGGAGAGGGCATCGTAGAAGGATGGGCGCTGCCCAGAGCGTGCCAGGACATTGGCCACCAGTGTGGCGAGGAGGATGGGCACGGCGTGGGTGGACTGGCCGGTCAGCTCCAGAGCCAGGAGGGCAGGGGACAGCGTGTGTGTGACCGCCCCTGAGAACGCTGCTGCACCTTAGATAATACAGCATGGGCAATACAGTATAGCTCATTGCTATACTTTAAAGGATGGAACATTATTTCATCCATGTTTCTATCTCCATTTGAAAGATGTGCTGAACACCCCAAATTCTAAATTTAGATCAATCAAATGAGAACTTAGCCTAGGTACCAGTCTGTTTGTCCTGTCTGGCCAATCCTTATGGAATTGTCATGCCAAACATGTTTGGAGTGACAACAGATAACTGTAGGAGTTGGCAAGAGAGAACACAAATAATTTCCCCTCTGAAATGATTGGTTCATCATTCTCTTTCCAGCTGCTAACCATGTAAATAAAGATACCATTGTTTATATTTATCCATTTCAAATGACATGTCTGTATACAATTAGTTTACCAGCCAGTGCATAGCCTCCAGGGTTGATTGGATTCCTATCTTGGTCTAAATAGACACCATTTAGGGACACATATGCCAATCCTTCCCCGACTAAACGTCCTATAGCAGCACCTGACCAACAGCAACAAATACAGGAACAATTGTTAACATCAAATGTAAATGAACACACATTATTTAGTATTGGGTGGCAATACACATCGGCAGCTTGGTCACGTTTGGCCACATGATTTAGTTATTCTCCCCTAGCCTGAGTGCCAGTCTGTTTGTGCTATCATTACATGGCTTGACAATGGCAGCAATGGAGTTGGCATTAGCAAAAGAGCACAAACATATCTGGGATCAGGCTGATCCCCCCCCCACTTACCATAGATAAAGACAGGCATAAAGTAACCGGCTGGCAGGGGCAAGGTGCAAGCCAACACCAGCATCCACATCTACACAACAGAAACAATGAAAGACAGCGGAAGTCAAACATTCCGCTCAAATATTCAAGTATTCCCCTTACATTTCAACTGTCAGAATGACTGTAATTATTGTGATATTAATAAGTCATAGGAATCTGTATGGGTGTGAAAATCGCATTGAGAATCAGGTGAAATGTAACCATTTAAATGTGCTTTTCCACAATTTTTCCCCTCCACAAAAAAGCTTTTTCACACACAAATGTACTGATTCACAGTCCATGTAAAAAGCCAGAGTACTGCATAACGGTAAAATATAGGTATAGTGCCAACCCCAAAACCCGCCAGAGGGCGCAATTATTCCTTATGTCGTTTTCTCCTCTGCCGTTCCAATTTGATCTGCCCAGACGTGATACACTCACGACAAGCAGCCAAATAAAACATCCTCCATTCAGGCTGCAAAGGAGTCAGTTTCCTCCTAAACTAGCTTTAATGCCGAGCAGCCCTAAAAAACCTGTGAAAATATGCAGACCCTTAAGTGAATGTTTTATGTGGCTGCTTGTTGCGGCGGGACACGAGTGTATAACCAGCTGGACAGAACAAGTTGGGACGCCAAAGGAAAAGTAAGGAATAACAGCGCCCTCTGGCGGACCTTGGGGCTGGTATATTGGTACTTCTGCTTTTGTTAACAGCATCTCTTGTCGATTCGAGATAAAGGTTTTACAAATGTTTTCACATTATTCATGTATAGATTCCTCTTTCAATTCTGTCCATTATTCTTTTCCTCCCATGTACCTTCATGAATAGGAAGAATCCCAGAGTGAGGTATGGATTCCCTGAAGGAATCCACTCTGACCAGGGAAACAAGTTTGGCTGCAACGCCACAGAGGCATTGTGGGATTGAGAGGTCCACTGCCTGCTGTCCAGGAGGGAAGAGAGGAGCTGCTTAATGGTGAGCTGTGGTAGAAAAACAAAGAGCCTTCCTTTAGCAGGGTTCACAGAAGAAGAAGAAGAAGAAGAAGAAGAAGAAGAAGAAGAAGAAGAAGAAGAAGAAGAAGAAGAAGAAGAAGAAGAAGAAGAAGAAGAAGAAGAAGAAGAAGAAGAAGAAGAAGAAGAAGAAGAAGAAGAAGAAGAAGAAGAAGAAGAAGAAGAAGAAGAAGAAGAAGAAGAAGAAGCAGCAGCAGCAGCTGGAGTCTGGGCTGTAGGAGCCTTCCAAAACCAATTATCCATTCAAAATAACAATCCTGTGACAATACTTTCAATGTCATGTCTTGCCAATGTTGTCTCATAAAAAATCCTCCTCACCTTGGAAGCCATATATTGACCAGCAGAAAGAGGGAAAGTCACAGATGCAAGAAGGAACACCACCATAGCGGAGTATAGGGCCTTCCTAGAGAGAGAGAGACATCCAAACAGCATCTTATTATTTCATGGAATGGATCAACAGTTAGATCAACATCAAACTTATCATCAAGCGGTTATATGTTGTTGTGTAATATAAAATGGCTGATTCATATAAAAATCTACAATGGAGTGTTTCTAAACACAGGTTGCTCACTCAGTCGACAAGACTTTGATCAGGATTTTGTTTGTCTTTATGAACAGCAGTATCCAACGGTGACAGAATAGGTAGGCACAGCTACCTGCTCCGCACAGAAGCCTGTTGGAGAGATAAAGAAATACACAGTTAGAGCTGCAGGAGCATATGTATTTACAGTGAGGGAAAAAAAGTATTTGATCCCCTGCTGATTTTGTACATTTGCCCACTGACAAAGAAATTATCAGTCTATAATTTCAATGGTAGGTTTATTTGAACAGTGAGAGACAGAATAACAACAAAAAAATCCAGAAAAACGCATGTCAAAAATGTTATGAATTGATTTGCATTTTAATGAGGGAAATAAGTATTTGACCCCCTCTCAATCAGAAAGATTTCTGGCTCCCAGGTGTCTTTTATACAGGTAACGAGCTGAGATTAGGAGCACACTCTTAAAGGGAGTGCTCCTAATCTCAGCTTGTTACCTGTATAAAAGACACCTGTCCACAGAAGCAATCAATCAATCAGATTCCAAAATCTCCACCATGGCCAAGACCAAAGAGCTCTCCAAGGATGTCAGGGACAAGATTGTAGACCTACACAAGGCTGGAATGGGCTACAAGACCATCGCCAAGCAGCTTGGTGAGAAGGTGACAACAGTTGGTGCGATTATTCGCAAATGGAAGAAACACGAAATAACTGTCAATCTCCCTCGGCCTGGGGCTCCATGCAAGATCTCACCTCGTGGAGTTGCAATGATCATGAGAACGGTGAGGAATCAGCCCAGAACTACACGGGAGGATCTTGTCAATGATCTCAAGGCAGCTGGGACCATAGTCAACAAGAAAACAATTGGTAACACACTACGCCGTGAAGGACTGAAATCCTGCAGCGCCCGCAAGGTCCCCCTGCTCAAGAAAGCACATATACAGGCCCGTCTGAAGTTTGCCAATGAACATCTGAATGATTCAGAGGAGAACTGGGTGAAAGTGTTGTGGTCAGATGAGACTAAAATCGAGCTCTTTGGCATCAACTCAACTCACCGTGTTTGGAGAAGGAGGAATGCTGCCTATGACCTCAAGAACACCATCCCCACTGTCAAACATGGAGGTGGAAACATTATGCTTTGGGGGTGTTTTTCTGCTAAGGGGACAGGACAACTTCACCGCATCAAAGGGACGATGGACGGGGCCATGTACCGTCAAATCTTGGGTGAGAACCTCCTTCCCTCAGCCAGGGCATTGAAAATGGGTCGTGGATGGGTATTCCAGCATGACAATGACCCAAAACACACGGCCAAGGCAACAAAGGAGTGGCTCAAGAAGAAGCACATTAAGGTCCTGGAGTGGCCTAGCCAGTCTCCAGACCTTAATCCCATAGAAAATCTGTGGAGGGAGCTGAAGGTTCGAGTTGCCAAACATCAGCCTCGAAACCTTCATGACTTGGAGAAGATCTGCAAAGAGGAGTGGAACAAAATCCCTCCTGAGATGTGTGCAAACCTGGTGGCCAACTACAAGAAATGTCTGACCTCTGTGATTGCCAACAAGGGTTTTGCCACCAAGTACTAAGTCATGTTTTGCAGAGGGGTCAAATACTTATTTCCCTCATTAAAATGCAAATCAATTTCTAACATTTTTTATATGCGTTTTTCTGGATTTTTTTGTTGTTATTCTGTCTCTCACTGTTCAAATAAACCTACCATTAAAATTATAGACTGATCATGTCTTTGTCAGTGGGCAAACGTACAAAATCAGCAGGGGATCAAATACTTTTTCCCCTCACTGTATATAGCCATAGCACAGGCAGCAATGGGCAGTTGGAAGTCATTGAGAGAGGGGAAAGGGTGAAATGGAGGAGTCTACCTAGAGAAAAGGTATGGTGAAAAGCTCATAGGTATAATGGTAACATATGGAAGCGAGACAAAGCTGAACATTTGCAATCTAATGAAAGCTGAACAACATCACTTACTCTGAAGCAATGATTACATGAATTACAATGATTTTGAACACTATAGATGAACTATAGATATAGAAGATGTAGGGCGGCCCAGCTCCTGAAGTGACTCATCAACTGTATGCGAGGTTTCCTTTGTGTTGTCTTAGGAATGCTGCATTATCTCTCCAACCCCCATTTTGTCACACTTCTGCGATACAGAGGTTCAGTTGTCTTTACATCATGTAGGTCTGATATCTGATTGGAAGTTGACTCACTTAATGCTATTGGTCAACAACTCAGATTTTCAATCCAAACAAGTCAGATGCTTATAAAAGGTTATTAGCTTCATTGTCTTCCTCTCTTTCTTTGTTCCTGACCTGTGCTGGTAAGATACACTTTCTCTCTTTCTCTCTCCAGCCCATGGACTCTTGTGGCATGGCTTTTCAGGCTATGACTTCTCTATCTCTCTCTCTGATCATGCCTAGAATAATGCCTTGTAATGCTTGTTAATGCTTTATAACTTAAGCTTTATGCCTTGTATGTGATTTCATTCATTTTACAATGATATTAAACATCTGCCTTTGATATAGACAATTCTTATTCCTTTCTTGATAGTCTATTCCTGTAGCTCTTTAAGAGTATTGGTTGCATATCGCTAAATCATCTTATGGAGTCAGATAATTCATTTAATATACTTTATGTCATATTAACTTTACAGTCTTATTATGGGTCGTGTGTGAGGTATACAGTATATATACGCATATCAAATATTACCCCACTACAGAAGATTCACCAACATGGTGACAAAACAGACTTACCCCAATACAGCAAAGACTGGAATCTCCAGTGGGTAGAAAGGCAAGTCATCTGAGAAGCTGGTTTGAAACAAGGCCTGAAGAGTCTCTGGAGGAGGCATAGAACACAATCTGCTTCCCTTTCACTCTATACTGCTGCACACAGCTCTCCCTTGGCCTTTCCTAATGAAATCACCATAGAATGCATATCTAGATTCAATACTAAGACAATTCTATTAGGCTTTGACCCTCATAGACGGATTAGCTGAGAACACCACGAAAATGATGAGCATGCTTCAGTGGGGCAGAAGGCTGTGTGTTGTTGTGATTCTGGATGCCAGATAGCTAGCAACAATGACAAGAAACTGCCATGTGGGGAATCTTAAGTGACTCATTTCAGTTAGTTTAATCTTGGTCTTGAAACCATGTCTTGTTTTGAGGAGTTTTGACTGATGTCACATCTATGCTAGTATGGCTACAATTCTCTAGCTAGCTAACCAACAACAGTAACGATGTATTTGAGAGACAAAAAGTGCTCATTGTGCAACTTTATTTATGTTTTCAATAAACATTGGAGACTAAATATAGTTTACATGTTGTCAACAATCTAAGCCAACCCGTCTGTTTTGCCCCATAGTTGCGCACGCATCGGTTTTGTTGCTAAACAACCAACCCATCTATAGCTCTAAGGTGTGGTGATAATGGCAGCCATCTTGGTCAGGGATACATTCACAACATGTATTCTATTTCATTATATTGGCCACCTCACCTTGCTCGCCGCTCCACATGGAGAGCAGATGGAAGGTGAGCGCTCCGCAGGCCGACGCAAAGAAGCATGGGCAGTAGTCTTTTAGGGCAAAGTGAGAGCACATCACCTCCACGCTAAACAACACACCTAGGGGGAGGAGAGAGACAGGGGAAAGGTGAGGGGGAGGAGGGACAGATAAAGAAGGAGGGAGAGAGAGGAAAGAGGGAGAGAGGTGGTGGTGGAGGGCAAGAGAAAGAGAGAGGCAGAATGAAGAGACAGGGGAAAGCGAGATGGGAAAGGACCGAGAGGAGAGAGGTACATGTCAATTTCACAACTCAGAGAGAGACAGATGAAGTGAGGAGATACATTTAAATAAAATATACTGGAATTCTAATGCTCTATGCTAGATACTGTATGGTGATGTGACTTCTATACACACCACTGATAGGGGCCCCGAAGCAGCTGGCTACTCCAACAGCAGCAGCCACAACCAGCATCGCTCCTTCAGTTCTCTCCTATAGAAACAACATGAAGAAGAGGACATGAGTACACAAAATATTGCCCATTTGTGGATTTTTTTCCCCTGTAACACAATATTACCTCCTTCTCACCACGGAGAACAGTGCAGAGACGGTTCAGATAGGCTCCCACCATGGTGGAGAGATGCACAAATGGACCCTGGAAGTTGGAACGGAGACATTATTTGTGTGTGTGTGCGTGTGAGAGGAGAGAGAGGGAGAGAGAGAGAGAGAGTGAAAAGAGGAGTATCATACCACTTTTCCCAGGAAGACAGTGCTGCCGGCTGCCAGTGTGCAGATGAGACCCACGTATTTGGCAAATAGGTTGGTGAGGGACAGGTAATGTGGCATGTCCACACCAGACAGGATGGTCCTCACCTCTGGAACCCCAGAACCTAAAGGCGGAAAGCCAAAGACAGGAGCCAACCAGGTGCTTAGACTTTTAACTCTGCACATTACTGTGATTTTGTGCAATATCATTATTCTTTTAAAGCCTGTTGCACAATTATACAAAACAAATGATGACAGTCAAATTCTGAAGTGTTAGTTTGAATCTAAGTAGTCCTCATATAGCCTATAGGAGATGAGACATACTGTAGCTTGTCAATCCCTTGCACTAAAGGTAGAAACAGAGAAACATTGACTCGTACCATGCCACCAATTATTTAAGGGTAGTTTCATCAATTCGATGATGTTTTACTTTTTCTGCCTGCCAGACGTATTATTGAATAGGTTAATCAAATAGATACTGTTTGACTTTTCTGTCTGCCACAAATTATTTCATGGTAGGTTCATTGATTAGATCATGTTTGACTTTTTCTGTTGGCTACGTCTCTCTAAATGTCATTATGTGGATTTAGAAAATAACATAATTCTTGTCTTTTTCTGTCAGATAAAGTTTATGTAACTTGGATAAAAACACCATGTTTTGACTTTGTTATGTCATCATGCCTGATTTTAACTGGGCGGGATAGGGTCATTCTAGGCCTCACATTTCTTCCCGGTCTGTACTAATTTTTCAACTCCTACCTGCAGAGAATGGACAGATGCTTTGAGAGAAAGATGTGGACAGCGCAGAGAGTGAGACTGGGTACAGGGTCCAGCACAGGAACTGCAGCAGACAGTGGCCCTCCAACTGACTATACAACCACTGGTGAGCTACAGTGAGAGAGGGAGGGGGGGTGGGGGGGGGGGGGGGGGGGGCAAGAGAGGAGTATCACTCACCCAGCTACATACTCTATACTGAATGTTTGTGCATATGTGTATGTGTTTCTAACCTCGAAGCAGCTTTGCCACACTCAGGTCCATGAGAAAACTAAGGAAAGCGGTCAGAACCCCGAGAGCAGCGAAACAGTACCACTCCATCCCCATCAGGGAACCCATGACACATCTCACCCTCACCAGACACTCTAGACAAAGAGCAGCATGTGTTAACTTAGCAGATTTACCACAGACAAAATGGCAATGGCACACATTGACAATACATGAAATAAGAGAAGATTACCCTTAAAGTAGGCACTTACAGTAATTCTCAATCGCTTACAAGCCTTTTTTGGAACAGTGTTGTCGATTTTCAAAACAGTACATGCGTTTTCAACACATAAATACATCATAAATAATAATAAATAAAACTATATTATACCGTCAAAACTGCAAATACATTCATCAAAAGAACACAATTGCCTGCAAAAAGATTAACGCAACCATACTTATCTCTTGAGTCCAAGCAGAAAAACCAGAAAGTTAGTCTGTCTTTTAAAAATCTCAGTAGATTAATAAAAACAATTTGCAGTCAGTAAATCATGATGATCAAAATTGGAAGTACAACTATCCAAAGGTGCAGAATTATGGACAATTACTCTCCTTTTATGCATATTTCACCAAACAATTTCATACATATCCAATCAAACATTATTCCTTTAAAAAAAATAAGCACATTGTGTGCAGGATTCATTCATCGGTGTCATCACAATCCAGTTCCATGTATTCAATACAAAGGCTGGTTTGCTAATAGTTTTGTAGACTTTTCATTGGCGCACAGAAACACAATCCACAATAGAAATAAGGAAAGGTGAATACAATGGAGGAACACAACTGATATGAATGAGGCCTCAATCCACAGCAAAGCAAAGCTCTATAATGGAAGGTCACAATGTTGGAGATAATGACTTAGGAGTAACTCAAAGTTACTTAGAAATAACCCAACCTTCTCTGCATCTCTGCATGTCCATAATATTGTAAAGAATCATAAAAACATGACAGTCCCTATTGCCTAGGTCTTTCCCTACATTGTACATGATATGACACTAATGGGGTGATTTAGAATTTATTTAAGTAGTATTTTCTGATTGTCGGAAACAGTGAACACAATTACACACATTTCTCTTTTGATGAAAACAATGCATTAATATTCTGTGAACTAAACACTTAACAGTGAATTTTGTATTCACTGATGACATTTGTATTTAAAGTGTCGCAAAAGGTGGTCTAAGATATGCAAATCAGGTACAAAGACAATCAAATTATTTGAACATTTGATCTTTGCTGTTCTGCTATAGATACATTTCAATACATATCCCAAAACTGCTTGTATGCAATTGAGAAAAACTGTAACATTATATAGATGGATTTAGCATCGATCAGCGATATTTTTTGTTATTGCAATAATCCCTTTCGCCTGACCTTTTACCCAGGAGCGGGACCGTTGCCATGGTTTCCACGGCTGCTCATCGGTGAGGATGAGGAGTCTCTGTCCCTCCTCTATGGATTTGTCCCTTTGATTGTGTAGCTCTATGTCCTTTTTGGCTCCTTCATTGACTTTTGCTGAGTCAATATGTTGGACGCTGTCCATTTTCTTGAAGCTGTTTGTAGAGTTGTTTAAGTTCCACAAAGGTGACCTGAATTTTTGTATTTTATACAGTTGCTTGGGTATTTCAATGGTTAAACTGTGTAACTACCATTTTATCATGTCATTTAATTTTAAATACCTGAACATTTCTGCACTAATATATATTTGAAAGAAAATGCATTTACCTAATTTACAAGTGTTCTGTGAACTAAAATAATAACCAAAATCAAGTATGTCACATCAATTGAATAAAGATACAAAGAGGACTTGCCTGAAAGATGCCTGTGGCCTGTGTGGTATTGGTGTGTTCTATTCACAAATTAGACCACTTCAAATGAATTACCATACTGGTCATGGGTGGAAAGCCCCATTTGGATAATATTAACTATTTGAAAGAACTCAATGTCCTCGTCCCAATTGGCACCCTATTCCCTTTATAGTGCACTACTTTGACCAGGGCCCATAGTGCTCTGGTCAAAAGTACTGCACTATTTAGGAAATAGAGTGCCATTAGGGACGCACTCAATGTGAGGAATGCCCTTCATCTGGCATTGCTGCAGGGAGTGTATTTGTGTGGGAAAGACTTTTCCTGAGATTTTATTTTCTACTGTTCTCCTTGATTATCTTCAGTTTCAAATGCTTATATTATTCTAAAAGATTGTTGAAAACAGAACTAGCCTCACAGCACTAACTATATAAAAACAATTGGTTTATACCTAAAAAATTGGTTTATACGTTTTATCTCAATGTGTCTCCGTGTGTGAAAGAGACTAATATGGCCAATGGGTATTATGTATTTGGAAAAATTATTATTTGCAACATCTAACATGGGTAACACTTCTTATGAAATATAGTGCCTCCCGTCACTTCACAGTATGACTTGCTATAAGCATTTGTAATAATCCACAGTCGTTATAAGTTGAAAGTGTAACATCTAATATGACCCTCACGTTACCACTTGTGAGACTGGTGAGTAGTAGAGCCAGGATGTTATATGGGAGACAGTTGGAGTCTGGAGAGAGGTGATAGAAACAGAACACCTCAGTTGACCTTCTGTATGTGTCTTGTCTGTGCATATAAAAGACTGCTGCTTTAAAGCCCCTCAGACCTCAGAAGTCACTTTCAACATGAAATAATGTGCATGAGAAATAGAGGAGCCTTTTTGTAAAGGTTTAGTTTCTGGTCACCTGCTTTGAAATTGTTACTGTAATTAATTCAAGCAACCTGCCAATTCGTCTCTCTCTCTTTTCTCTCTCTCACCTCTGCTCAAGGTGACCCCCCAAGGTGTCACACACACTTAATGCTTTTCTTCCTCTTTCCCTTAAGTCCCCTTCAGTCACTCTTTTCTGGCAGTTTTCAATTAACACTCAGCAGTCAGTGTTATTTTACCGCTAACGGTACATATGTGAATGACACCCTATTCTGATTTCTCACCAACTCTATACTGGTCTCCATGGAAACAACACAATGAAGTGAACGTGAAAAAGGATATTACAAGTTAGTAACTTCCATACATAATCATCTTGGTTGGAACTCTAGTGCTCTAATCTCTGTTTCCGGGACCAGTGGTAGTCAGTCAGTCAGACACACAGTGGGACAGTGAGAATGGGAGCCTTACTGTATACACTGAGTGTACAAAACATTAGGAACATCTGCTCTTTCCATGACATAGACTGACCAGGTGAAAGCTATGATCCCTTATTGATGTCACTTGTTAAATCCACTTCAATCAGTGTAGATGAAAGGGAGGAGACAGGTTAAAGAAGGATTTTTAAGCCTTGAGACAATTGAAACATTGATTGTGTACGTGTGCCATTCAGAGGGTGAATGGGCTAGACAAAAAATTTAAGTGCCTTTGAACGTGGAATGGTAGTAGATGCCAGGCGCATCGGTTTGAGTGTGTCAAAAACTACAACGCTGCTGGGTTTTTCACACTCAACATTTTCCCGTGTTTATCAAGAATGGTCCACCACCCAAAGGACGTCCAGCCAACTTGACACAACAGTGGGAAGCATTGGAGTCAACATGGGCCAGCATCCCTGTGGTGACTTGTGAGCCCCTCAGACCTCAGAAGTCACTCTCAACATGAAATAATGTGCATGAGAAATAGGGGAGCCTTAGTGTAAAGGTTTGGTTTTTGGTCGCCCGCTTTGAAATTGTGACTGGAATTAATTCAAGCTCCCAGACAATTTTTCTCTCTCTCTTTTCTCTCTCTCACCTCTGCTCAAGGTGAAGGTAATCATTGGTCTGATGCACATCCAACCACACACAAACGCACACACACACTCACACACACACACACACACACTCACACACACACAAAGTTAATTTGTATCTTCGTCTTTCCCTTAAAGAGCAACTGCCCCTAAAAACCAACTTCTCTTTCAGAAAACAGCCTATGTGGCATCAATACGAGTCGGAAACATTTATTCTACTGTCAAAATTGACTACAACGTGTAAATAGGATAAGTCAGTCTCGTCCAAAACAGAGTTTTGTGACACTTGTGGTCGTGACTGCATCATGTAAATGAAGGTTGGGTTTGTTTCAATCCTGCCCACATGCCCACAGCTGCCAGAACCTAAGTAATCATCAATTTAGAGTGCAGCTGCACGTGACCTAATCGTAATGCCGTGGTACATTTCTTAATTAACCAAATCTAAAACGAGGCCAAAACAGGAAGTGCAGTTGCCCCCTTCATTCACAGTCAATGTTATTTTACAGCTACCGGTACGTACACTACCGTTCAAAAGTTTGGGGTCACTTAGAAATGTCCTTGTTTTCGAAAGAAAAGCAACTCCGGGATGCTGACCTTCTAGGCAGAGTTGCAAAGAAAAAGCCATATCTCAGACTGCCCATCTTAATCTTTTCTTTTTATTGGCCAGTCTGAGATATGGCTTTTTCTTTGCAACTCTGCCTAGAAGGTCAGCATCCCGGAGTCGCCTCCTTACTGTTGACGTTGAGACTGGTGTTTTGCGGGTACTATTTAATGAAGCTGCCAGTTGAGGACCTGTGAGGCGTCTGTTTCTCAAACTAGACACTCTAATGACGCGTTTCAGAAGAAAGTTATTTGTTTCTGGCCATTTTGAGCCTGTAATCGAACCCACAATTGCTGATGCTCCAGATACTCAACTAGTCTCAAGAAGGCCAATTTTATTGCTTATTTAATCAGCACAACAGTTTTCAGCTGTGCTAACATAATTGCAAAAGGGTTTTCTAATGATCAGCCTTTTAAAATGATAAACTTGGATTAACAAACACAACGTGCCATTGGAACACAGGACTGATGGTTGCTGATAATGGGCCTCTGTACGCCTATGTAGATATTCCATTAAAAATCAGCCGTTTCCAGCTACAATAGCCATTTACAACATTAACAATGTCTACACTGTATTTCTGATCAAGTTATTTTAATGGACAAAAAAACTGCTTTTCTTTCGAAAACAAGGAACTTTCTAAGTGACCCCAAACTTTTGAACGGTAGTGTATGTAAATGACACCCTATTCTGATTTCTCAACTCTATACTGGTCTCCATGGAAACAACACAATGAAGTGAACGTGAAAATTGATAATACAAGTTAGTAACTTCCATACATAATCATCTTGGTTGGAACTCTAGTGCTCTAATCTCTGTTTCCGGGACCAGTGGTAGTCAGTCAGTCAGACACACAGTGGGACAGTGAGAATGGGAGCCTTACTGTATACACTGAGTGTACAAAACATTAGGAACATCTGCTCTTTCCATGACATAGACTGACCAGGTGAAAGCTATGATCCCTTATTGATGTCACTTGTTAAATCCACTTCAATCAGTGTAGATGAAAGGGAGGAGACAGGTTAAAGAAGGATTTTTAAGCCTTGAGACAATTGAAACATTGATTGTGTACGTGTGCCATTCAGAGGGTGAATGGGCTAGACAAAAAATTTAAGTGCCTTTGAACGTGGAATGGTAGTAGATGCCAGGCGCATCGGTTTGAGTGTGTCAAAAACTACAACGCTGCTGGGTTTTTCACACTCAACATTTTCCCGTGTTTATCAAGAATGGTCCACCACCCAAAGGACGTCCAGCCAACTTGACACAACAGTGGGAAGCATTGGAGTCAACATGGGCCAGCATCCCTGTGGTGACTTGTGAGCCCCTCAGACCTCAGAAGTCACTCTCAACATGAAATAATGTGCATGAGAAATAGGGGAGCCTTAGTGTAAAGGTTTGGTTTTTGGTCGCCCGCTTTGAAATTGTGACTGGAATTAATTCAAGCTCCCAGACAATTTTTCTCTCTCTCTTTTCTCTCTCTCACCTCTGCTCAAGGTGAAGGTAATCATTGGTCTGATGCACATCCAACCACACACAAACGCACACACACACTCACACACACACACACACACACTCACACACACACAAAGTTAATTTGTATCTTCGTCTTTCCCTTAAAGAGCAACTGCCCCTAAAAACCAACTTCTCTTTCAGAAAACAGCCTATGTGGCATCAATACGAGTCGGAAACATTTATTCTACTGTCAAAATTGACTACAACGTGTAAATAGGATAAGTCAGTCTCGTCCAAAACAGAGTTTTGTGACACTTGTGGTCGTGACTGCATCATGTAAATGAAGGTTGGGTTTGTTTCAATCCTGCCCACATGCCCACAGCTGCCAGAACCTAAGTAATCATCAATTTAGAGTGCAGCTGCACGTGACCTAATCGTAATGCCGTGGTACATTTCTTAATTAACCAAATCTAAAACGAGGCCAAAACAGGAAGTGCAGTTGCCCCCTTCATTCACAGTCAATGTTATTTTACAGCTACCGGTACGTACACTACCGTTCAAAAGTTTGGGGTCACTTAGAAATGTCCTTGTTTTCGAAAGAAAAGCAACTCCGGGATGCTGACCTTCTAGGCAGAGTTGCAAAGAAAAAGCCATATCTCAGACTGCCCATCTTAATCTTTTCTTTTTATTGGCCAGTCTGAGATATGGCTTTTTCTTTGCAACTCTGCCTAGAAGGTCAGCATCCCGGAGTCGCCTCCTTACTGTTGACGTTGAGACTGGTGTTTTGCGGGTACTATTTAATGAAGCTGCCAGTTGAGGACCTGTGAGGCGTCTGTTTCTCAAACTAGACACTCTAATGACGCGTTTCAGAAGAAAGTTATTTGTTTCTGGCCATTTTGAGCCTGTAATCGAACCCACAATTGCTGATGCTCCAGATACTCAACTAGTCTCAAGAAGGCCAATTTTATTGCTTATTTAATCAGCACAACAGTTTTCAGCTGTGCTAACATAATTGCAAAAGGGTTTTCTAATGATCAGCCTTTTAAAATGATAAACTTGGATTAACAAACACAACGTGCCATTGGAACACAGGACTGATGGTTGCTGATAATGGGCCTCTGTACGCCTATGTAGATATTCCATTAAAAATCAGCCGTTTCCAGCTACAATAGCCATTTACAACATTAACAATGTCTACACTGTATTTCTGATCAAGTTATTTTAATGGACAAAAAAACTGCTTTTCTTTCGAAAACAAGGAACTTTCTAAGTGACCCCAAACTTTTGAACGGTAGTGTATGTAAATGACACCCTATTCTGATTTCTCAACTCTATACTGGTCTCCATGGAAACAACACAATGAAGTGAACGTGAAAATTGATAATACAAGTTAGTAACTTCCATACATAATCATCTTGGTTGGAACTCTAGTGCTCTAATCTCTGTTTCCGGGACCAGTGGTAGTCAGTCAGTCAGACACACAGTGGGACAGTGAGAATGGGAGCCTTACTGTATACACTGAGTGTACAAAACATTAGGAACATCTGCTCTTTCCATGACATAGACTGACCAGGTGAAAGCTATGATCCCTTATTGATGTCACTTGTTAAATCCACTTCAATCAGTGTAGATGAAAGGGAGGAGACAGGTTAAAGAAGGATTTTTAAGCCTTGAGACAATTGAAACATTGATTGTGTACGTGTGCCATTCAGAGGGTGAATGGGCTAGACAAAAAATTTAAGTGCCTTTGAACGTGGAATGGTAGTAGATGCCAGGCGCATCGGTTTGAGTGTGTCAAAAACTACAACGCTGCTGGGTTTTTCACACTCAACATTTTCCCGTGTTTATCAAGAATGGTCCACCACCCAAAGGACGTCCAGCCAACTTGACACAACAGTGGGAAGCATTGGAGTCAACATGGGCCAGCATCCCTGTGGTGACTTGTGAGCCCCTCAGACCTCAGAAGTCACTCTCAACATGAAATAATGTGCATGAGAAATAGGGGAGCCTTAGTGTAAAGGTTTGGTTTTTGGTCGCCCGCTTTGAAATTGTGACTGGAATTAATTCAAGCTCCCAGACAATTTTTCTCTCTCTCTTTTCTCTCTCTCACCTCTGCTCAAGGTGAAGGTAATCATTGGTCTGATGCACATCCAACCACACACAAACGCACACACACACTCACACACACACACACACACACACACACTCACACACACACAAAGTTAATTTGTATCTTCGTCTTTCCCTTAAAGAGCAACTGCCCCTAAAAACCAACTTCTCTTTCAGAAAACAGCCTATGTGGCATCAATACGAGTCGGAAACATTTATTCTACTGTCAAAATTGACTACAACGTGTAAATAGGATAAGTCAGTCTCGTCCAAAACAGAGTTTTGTGACACTTGTGGTCGTGACTGCATCATGTAAATGAAGGTTGGGTTTGTTTCAATCCTGCCCACATGCCCACAGCTGCCAGAACCTAAGTAATCATCAATTTAGAGTGCAGCTGCACGTGACCTAATCGTAATGCCGTGGTACATTTCTTAATTAACCAAATCTAAAACGAGGCCAAAACAGGAAGTGCAGTTGCCCCCTTCATTCACAGTCAATGTTATTTTACAGCTACCGGTACGTACACTACCGTTCAAAAGTTTGGGGTCACTTAGAAATGTCCTTGTTTTCGAAAGAAAAGCAACTCCGGGATGCTGACCTTCTAGGCAGAGTTGCAAAGAAAAAGCCATATCTCAGACTGCCCATCTTAATCTTTTCTTTTTATTGGCCAGTCTGAGATATGGCTTTTTCTTTGCAACTCTGCCTAGAAGGTCAGCATCCCGGAGTCGCCTCCTTACTGTTGACGTTGAGACTGGTGTTTTGCGGGTACTATTTAATGAAGCTGCCAGTTGAGGACCTGTGAGGCGTCTGTTTCTCAAACTAGACACTCTAATGACGCGTTTCAGAAGAAAGTTATTTGTTTCTGGCCATTTTGAGCCTGTAATCGAACCCACAATTGCTGATGCTCCAGATACTCAACTAGTCTCAAGAAGGCCAATTTTATTGCTTATTTAATCAGCACAACAGTTTTCAGCTGTGCTAACATAATTGCAAAAGGGTTTTCTAATGATCAGCCTTTTAAAATGATAAACTTGGATTAACAAACACAACGTGCCATTGGAACACAGGACTGATGGTTGCTGATAATGGGCCTCTGTACGCCTATGTAGATATTCCATTAAAAATCAGCCGTTTCCAGCTACAATAGCCATTTACAACATTAACAATGTCTACACTGTATTTCTGATCAAGTTATTTTAATGGACAAAAAAACTGCTTTTCTTTCGAAAACAAGGAACTTTCTAAGTGACCCCAAACTTTTGAACGGTAGTGTATGTAAATGACACCCTATTCTGATTTCTCAACTCTATACTGGTCTCCATGGAAACAACACAATGAAGTGAACGTGAAAATTGATAATACAAGTTAGTAACTTCCATACATAATCATCTTGGTTGGAACTCTAGTGCTCTAATCTCTGTTTCCGGGACCAGTGGTAGTCAGTCAGTCAGACACACAGTGGGACAGTGAGAATGGGAGCGTTATATAATACATGGCAGCTGAGGCAAACACAACCACATGCCCAAAAATAGGAATGATATTAGTGTGCGTGTGTGTGTGTTAGTCTGTCTGCTGTGCACATTTCTCACTATCTAAAACACACGCCTTGTGCTGGTCATTGCTAATGGCGTCAGTGACCTCTCCAGAAGTGACTCAATGTCACTGATGAGACACAGGAGTTATTGGGCTGTGTGTATAAGGTTCACATTTAATGTGTGTTCTCTCTCTTAATGCCTCAGAACAGCACATGCTCCCTATCTTTCTCTCTCTCCCTCCCTGTCTCTCTCTCCCTGTCTTCCTCCCTGTCTCTCTCTCTTTTTATCTCAATCACTCTTTCTCAGGCACACTGCTCTTTCTGTCTCTCTGTTAGTTTCTCTTCCAAAATCTCTCCCTCTCCAGCACCCATCTTTCTGCGTTTCCCCCAACTCCCCTTTCCCTCTCTGTTGCTACTGCACCCTTCCATCTCCCTCTCTCATCGCTCTCTCTCTAACTCTCTTATCTGTCTAGAATAGAATCCCACTCAGACAGGGCTCTTGACTGGTGACATGGTCAGTCTCTGTGGGGAGGTGGTGAGTTGCTGGGCCGGATTTAGACGATTAGCAGTGGACTTTTACACGGATAGGATGGAATTTGATGTGTCACTGTGCCATAAATTGTATAATTGGAATCACTTCTATGTGACCTTAAAGGACAGAGCAAGAGACCATACAGAGCTTAACTTTTATTGCCCTTGATTCATCCATTATTTTTGGCTTCTCCTCATGGATTAAGGAGCAGTGAAGCTGAGAAAAGTAAATAAATTAGTTAATTAATTGCAGACTGTTTACAACCCTGTCAGAGGACAACATTGACGAGCAGCTCAGAGACTCAATCAGGAACATTTTCCATTGATGTCCTGAATTTCCTACAGATATTAATAGCTACTGTGTCCTCCCAACCAATGTCACCTAATCCCTGGTGCAAACGTCAGTCCTCCACCGACGGCTTTGTTTTCAGGCGCATTCTTTCCATCTTCCCTCTTCTCGCAAGTAAAGAAAACAATCCATTGAAATGGGTAAATGAACAGTGTAGCCTACATACTAAGAAAAAAGGACAGGAATACAACACTAACAACAGGTTAGTTGCACTTTATTAATGCATTATAAACAGCACATTTAGAAACAGTGGTTACTTCATTTAGATATTAACCTCTAAGTACTAATGGGTTCAAATTAGTTACCACCAGTTTTGTAATAGTAATTACTTGAAATAAGTTTAATAACACCAATTGTAACCAATATGTGGGTGAATAGCAGGCAACAGAGTTTAATGGCAATGTTCCCTGAGAAAATAAAGAATACATGTTATGTAACCACTAAATCCACAATGTGATCAAATGTCATGACAAAAAAGGGAAACTGATGCTTACAGAGAAAAAAACAGATAGCGGGAGAGTAGAGGAAAGAAATAGAGTAGAAAACTATTTTGGGTATTGAGTGTCTGGAATGCCAACTATTTACTCAACCCCTCCTCTTGCCTTCCTCTCCCCATCTCTCTCTCTCTTTGTCAGAGCCCCTCTCCCTCTCTTAACCTCAAGCCCTCATCGCCCAAAACTTTTCAGACCACAGACCCGCTCTCTCTCTCTCTCTCTCTCTCTCTCTCTCTCTCTCCCTCACATGATAAATATAGCTCACTGTTATCCTTCAGAAACGCACACGTGCCCCCCACCACACACAGAAAAAAAAACATAGCTTGGATCCAAATATATAAGAGCCTGTATGTGTGACTGACTGGCTATGCTCGTGGACACACTTAACCGACACACTTATCCAAAAGACAGACACAGACACACACACACACATCTTTAAACAGTGGGAAAGTAAAGATAGCATTTTACAAACTACCCGAAGATCTGCCCATTATCCACTTTCCCTCTGATGTAAACTGAGTGGACTGGGCCAGGACTGAACAACAAGGATATTTTCCCTTTCTCTCTCTCTCCCTTTAAAAAGCGGATACTTTTCCCACCTCTCAGGCAGACAGCCATCAATGAGTGTGACCAACTCCTCTGCCTACCGATCGGAGCGCAGCTTCCAGCAGACCTCTTCCTCCTCCTCATCCTCCAACAACCCATACATGGAGAAGAGCAGGGGGCTCTTTGCAGAGGACTTTGGCTCTTTCATGCGTCCTGGAACGGATGCCTTGGGATTTCCAAGTGAGTTGATTTGACATGAATTCCCAATTGTGGACCAGCATTACATATAAATTATATAGCTATATATGATATATTAGGTTGTTATTTTCTACTTATTCCATACATATAGTATCAAATTCCATTGCTTAATGAATTTGTCTGTGGATAATTCACGCTGTATTAGCTGTTCATGTATGTTGGTTTGAACATGCATGTACATTAAAACCAATCATTCTAAAAGACATAGAGGTGGTGTGTGTGTGTGTGTGACTGAGTGTGTGTGTGTTTGTCTGTGTGTGTCTGGGTCTCAGTGTGTCTCTGTGCCACACACGTGTATGCATGTGTGTAGATTGCCTGCTGAACTCTCTATAAGGCTCTGTGCACATGTGATTTCATGTGTTTGACCCGACAGCTTCTCAACAGGACAACACAGGGCAAATGGGAGGGTTGGTTGGTGGGTAGTAGCAGTAGGGCAGAGCAGGGTATTTTGGTGCTGTGACTGGTATGCCCGTGCCTCTGGAAAAGGAGGAGGTGGCTGGCGATGGAGGGAGGACAGGGCAGGATGGGAGGGGGGATGGAGGTGAGGGGGGGCGTCCACCCGTTGGGAATGTTCGACACACTGCCAGCGCCGTGACCTCACACACAGAGAATGACTGGGATGACGCCTGGGAGAGGACGGGCCAGACTGTTGCATATCAACCAGCATACACACACTGTCACACTTGGCATCATGTAGCCAAAGCAGACAAGTAAGAGGCACCCTGGCAGCTCACACGGTGGAATGTTCATTTCCAATTTAGGGACACACGTTAACTAATTTACGTTCTAACACATCACTTTTTATAATTAATGCATAGACAGTAAACAGGCCAAACCTTTGGACTGTGTGTGAATTTGTTGTACATATGAATGTATTTAAGGTGTAGCTAAGGTTAAGTAAGAGTTATCATCTTAGTTATTATATCTACGGATAAGAGTGATTGGGCTGCACTCAACCTGTCAAGAATGGCTAGCTCTCAGTAAGCACATTACTTGGGAAACTTCAATATGTCTTGGTTGTGTTTCCAGGTCGGACAGGGACAGCAGGGAAGATCAAGACGATGGGAGACAGCTACCAGTTCACAGTGGACGTCCAAGACTTCTCTCCAGAGGACGTCATTGTCACCACCTCCAACAACCAGATCGAAGTCCATGCAGAAAAGGTGGGCATATCTCTTTTTAGTGAGAACTGAATTTTCTGTGATTTTGAGAACCCTGTATCTAAAATATTTGAGAATATCTTGGTCATTTTCTCATGTCTATCATCACTTCAACAGTTGGCGGCGGACGGTACAGTGATGAACACTTTCACCCACAAGTGCCAGCTGCCTGAGGACGTGGACCCCACCTCTGTGACATCATCATTGGGCACCGAGGGAACGCTAACAGTCAAGGCCCGTAGAAACCCATCCAAGCATGAGCTCACACAGACCTTCCGCACTGAGATCAAGATCTAAGAAGACAGACTGGACTCTACCATGAGCCATGACCCCTGCTCCCTCACTGCCTGTATTTTATAATGCTATATCCTGTTTTTCTCATTTCCTGTCTTTTATCATTATATGTCCATTCTGCCCTTTAAGCTGGATCTTCTGCCATACCACCTCCTCAAAATACCACATCCTCCAATAGCTGCCTTGGATTGACGATAGTTAGCCTAATTTGTTCTTATGTTCTCCCACAGTTATCACACATCACCTCCACACACACACACACACCAACACACACACACAGTGGAGGCTGCTGGGGGGAGGACGGCTCATAATAATGGCTGGAGCTGCATGAATGGAATGGCATCAAACCATGTGTTGGATGTATTTGATACCATTCCACCCATTCTGCTCCAGCCATTACCACGAGCCAGTCCTCCCCAATTAAGGTGCCACCAACCTCCTGTGATGCACACACACATCCATCCATCAATTAAGTATTGCTTCTTCTACTGAACTCTACAGATACTGCTACCAATGTACATTGTAATAGTTGTGTGAATAAAGTAGTTGATTGATTTTCCATTTAGAGAATATAAACTTTTGTGTGCATCAATGTATGATGTTTCATGTTTGTCTATTCATGGCTCAGAAGACATAGAATGGCCATCGCTAAATTTCTCAATTCTTACCCCTTTCAAACATTTACACCTAATCTGTCCATTGTTTTAGCATGTCATTATGAGGATTAAAAGTACATATTATAAAAGTTTAGGCACAACGTAGTAGTGAGAGAAGTTCTCACTGTGAGAACCATCTTGAGTACGATAAGGATTAGTGCGCCATCGCGTGGCCATATCTTACGCCATTCCACGCTCAAAAATAAAACTGCGCGTGCGCATTATGTAAACTATCCACCCGGCCACTATCAATCGATCAGAGAGTGGAAGATGTCGGTGAATCGAGTCTGTGGGGCTAGATCGATCACCGAAAAACTCGATTGAACGAATTCAACGGATTGTGGGAAAATATTACAAAACAACAACATAGCAAGCGTTTGGAGCGGAGAACTCTGCCATTCTCGAGAGGTAATTTTAATGCACTCCTTTTGAAAGATGGCGTATGCTTAAAGTACAGAACGAGGCTCTAAGGACTAGCAGAAAGAAAGGCCCCTCTATTGCCAAACGCCATCTTGCTTGTCTCAAAACATGCATGTCTAGGCACGCTAAATTAATCCCGGATAGCGAGGGTAGAAGGATATAGGATTCGTAATCAATCTGCTGCATCGTCAAAAAAGAAGTTCATGAAATTCCTTAAATGACAAATGATTTGCTCACCATTTGTATAAACAGTCTGTCGCATCGATGGTTAAGCTATGTCTTTTAAACAGTCAGTTGTCGATATAGGCCAACTCTGTCTTCTTTTGATAAGTTGAATATTGTATTACTATAATTTCTATAAAACAACACCATAGAGTACCACAGTATGAGTCATAATGGGCCTCCTGTAGCTCAGTTGGTAGAGCATGGCGCTTGCAACGCCAGGGTTGTGGGTTCGTTTCCCACGGGGGGCAGTATGGAAAATGTATGCACTCACTAACTGTAAGTCGCTCTGGATAAGAGTGTTTGCTAAATGACTAAAAAATATTAATAATAATACCCATAAAACCTAGCAGTCAAACAGGGAAATGGTTCCAATCGTTTTCCCAGCATTCATTTTTCCCCATAGGGGATTTTAGAAACACTGAGAAATGAGCTATAATTTGTGTAGCCTTACCCTGGCGTGACATTTTGATAACCTTAGAAATCTTTCTAAGATGACTTTTATCAATATATTCACCTGTATTTACCCCCCCATAAAAAAAATTAAACGCTAATTAGCTGCTAATATGGCTATCATAAAGAACTACAAATGCCATGATGATCTGGACAAACTACCGAATCAAGGCAAAGGTAAGAATCTCTGGATTAACTATCTAATGTTAGCTAAATGTAGTAATTAATAAATTGGCAACATTTCTTAAAATTGACAATTCTGTGAACTGTTTTAAATTCACACAATACCTGTTAGCAATGGTGTCAGCTAGAGATTATGTGTAGTTTTGCATGATGTCTACTTTGATGCTAATTAGCATTTTTGAATCTGAGAGTAAATAGAGCCAAATATATTGATAAGTCACCTTGTCCGAGAGAGATTTACATGGTTATCAAAACATCACGCCAGGGTAAGCCTACACAAAACACAGCCCTTATTTTAAGTGTTTCTAAAATCCCCTATGGGGAAAAATAAATGGTGGAAATACAATTGGAACCATTTCCCTGTTTGACCGCTAGGTTTTATGGGTATTATGATACCTCCACCGTGGGGCTCTATATCTTGTGAGCGCCCAATGATTTAGTTGTCAGGAAATGCTAAATTATTAAATTGCATGTGATAAATGCACCGAGGAATAAAACAAGTCGTAAGGGATTATATAATAATTATTAGTCACATTTTAAGTGAGAATCAAATCAAATTTTATTTGTCACATGCGCCGAATACAACAAGTGTAGACTTTACAGTGAAATACTTACAAGCTCTTTCCCAACTATACAGTTAAAAAGTAAGAACATTTACAAATAGATAAAAAAAGAAAATAGTAACACAATAAATTAACACTATAAAATAGCAATAATGAATCCCCTCTCCAGTCATGTTTTTGTTTACAGTTCCAAACATTTAGGTTTGACAGTGGTAATGTGTTGCCTCACCTGCTTGACTAAGTCCAACACAACTGTAACCCTATCCACTGTGTCAACAGCTTCCAAAGGCGCCCACTCTCCAGGATGGACTTTCCCTGGCACAGTGGCAAGGTTTTGGAACAGCTCAATCACCAGCGCCAGCTGGGCCTGCTTTGTGACTGTACCTTCGTGGTGGACGGGGAGGACTTCAAGGCCCACAAGGCCGTGCTGGCTGCCTGCAGTGCCTACTTCCGCACCCTCTTCCTGGACCAGAAGGATGTGGTGCACCTGGACATTAGCAACGCAGCAGGTACATAAGCCTTTCCCAGGTTGTTGAGTTAGGATGTCTGCAATAAGTGCATGTCTGCTGTTGCCCCCTAAAAGCCTTGTTTGAAAATGATAACACTATTACAAATTATGGTATTCCCCACCTAAGACAAAAATATACAGTGAGAAAACACTGAATTATTTGCTTTACCTTAATATCCAAGACCATGTTCAACATCAGGCTTAGGTTATCTGCCTATGTATTCTGTATTCTGCAGGTCTGGGCCAAGTCCTTGAGTTCATGTACACAGCAAAGCTGAGTCTGAGTCCTCAGAATGTGGAGGATGTGGTGGCGGTGGCCACGTTCCTTCAGATGCAGGAGATAGTCAATGCCTGTTCTGCCTACCAGTCTCTGGCAGTCTCCACATCATCCCAGACAACACAAGACTTCATTGACCGTGAGTACAGTACAGATCAGTACACAAACAGGGGTTATTAGTACACAGTCATTAGCATGCTTGCTTTAACAAGACCACTAATGTTATTTGTCAATTATTTTGGACAACTGAAGCAAGCACACTGATTTTCTTCAGGAAATTTACCTTTTCTAGTTAATATTGTTCTCGCCCATCATTTCTTCCAAACCATAAAGACAAGATTGAGGAAGGAGAGCAAAACACGGAAAAGCAGCCGTCAGAGACAAGGTCACATGACGAGGAGATCCCAAACCCCTCAGCCGAGGATGAAGGGCCAAAGAGAGTTCAGGAGGACCCGAAGGAGACCACCCCAGACGATGGGCAGATCGCCAGTAAGACCCCAGACAAACAGACCCCGGGGAGAGGAAGACCCCCCAAAACCTCCACCCATGCCACACAGAGAAAAGCTGCAGCTGAAAGAGAGGAGGTGGAGAGCGCCGCCAAAGATGTGCCTGAGTTTCAGGATGACCCCTCGGATGCGGACTACACGCCCAGTCAGTGAATTACTTGTCTTCATACTTTTCATTGATGATCTGTATGTTTGATATTGCTGTGCTGATGAAGATTTATTTTGTACTTACAGAGTTCCCATTCAAATCTGCAGCCGGTAGGTCTTACATGAGCACCAGGAGAAGAAGGACAAGGAGAGCTCCTCGACGCAACCTCTCACAGGGTAAACAAACAGATTGACTGATCTTCCTTCCTTCCTAGGAGTAATTACAGATCTGCCATGACTGGATAAGTTAAAGCTACCTTGCTTTCTCCTATCCAATCATGTTGGATCAGTGACGACTTCAAGGAAGGGAAGATGGAAGGCTACATTTTCTAAATATTTGACTGCAGTGGGCCGCAGTATCTGATGGTTATACAATTCCTATTCATAGATAATGACTCGGATGAGGGGAGTAGCTCACCAAAGTCAGTAAATAAAGAGACAAAAGAGGTGGAGGAGGGCGAGATGGAGGAGGGCGAGATGGAGGAGGGCGAAATGGAGGAGGAAGAGGGGGAGGAGGAGGAGGGAGAAGATGGCCAGGGGACGGAGAGCGGAGAGGAGAGGAAGCAGCTACGGTTGGGTGCTGTCACCGACCGCACCGAGTCACGGTCCTACGGCTCTGTGACTCACAAGTGTGAGGTGAGGACCGTGTGTGTGCTTGTTTATGTGTTGGTTATGGTATGGGTTACTTTGCACAGTGTGATTAAACATGGAAATGACCAGCTTTAATGTTTTTTGATTATTCATTCCGTATCAGAGGAGGACTTATTGTTTTAAACTGTGCATGTATATTTTCCTATCAAATAAACCATAAAATAGAGGATATTGCATTTACACTCATGTAATTGGGGGTTGCGCATTTCTAGGACTGTGGAAAGAAGTTCACCCACACAGGGAACTTCAAGAGACACATCCGCATTCACACAGGAGAGAAACCTTTCAGCTGCCGTGACTGCCACAAGGCCTTCTCAGACCCTGCTGCCTGCAAGGCTCACGAGAAAACACACAGGCTAGTATCAAGCTCATCACCTGTCTGTCTCATGGGCATAATGACATGTCCTATTTCTGGGGCCTTGTTGACATCCTCTTTGCAGATCTGATTGGTTTACTTTCTCCTTTTAGATTCGCTTGAAGAGATCTACCCTCTCTTAATGTTCAATAACAAGCCTTTGTATGACAGAGGCGATTTGTGCAACACATCCCCTTGTAACTTGTTGATAATAACGATGATCAAATTGATAGTGAATTAAAATCATGAGTCATAGTAATCACAGTTTCATTACATCAACATCCTCTCGAACGTCTCATCACCTGAGTAAGTATAAGTAGCTATATCTTACTTAAATATATCTCTCTTTCTCCCCGTAGCCCCCTGAAACCTTACTGCTGCTCCTCGTGTGGGAAGAGCTACCGGCAGATCAGCCTGCTCAACTTGCACCGGAAGCGTCACACGGGCGAGGCCCGATACAGTTGCAGGGACTGCGGCAAGCTCTTCACCACGTCTGGCAACCTGAAGCGCCACATGCTGGTGCACAGCGGCGAGAAGCCGTACCACTGCGACTACTGCGACCGGGCCTTCTCCGACCCAACCGCCAAGATGCGCCACCTGGAGACCCATGATGCCGACAAGGGCCACAGGTGTCCGCACTGCGACAAGCGGTTCAACCAGGTTAGGACCGCTTCTAAAACACGACTACACTGATAGATGTTGTAGTGTTTTTGTACAACCCTGTACAGTCGTGGTCAAACGTTTTGAGAATGACACACAAGTATTGGTCTTCGCAAAGTTCGCTGCTTCAGTGTTATGGGATTTTTTTGTCAGATGTTACTATGGTATACTGAAGTATAATTACAAGCATTCCATAAGTGTCAAAGGCTTTTATTGACAATGACATTACGTTTATGCAAAGAGTCAATATTTGCAGTGTTGACCCTTCTTTTTCAAGACCTCTGCAATCCGCCCTGGCATACTGTCAATTAACTTCTGGGCCACATCCTGACTGATGGCAGCCCATTCTTGCATAATCAATGCTTGGAGTTCGTCAGAATTTGTGGGTTTTTGTTTGTCCACCCACCTCTTGAGGATCGATCACAAGTTCTCAATGGGATTAAGGTCTGGGGAGTTTCCTGGCCATGGACCCAACATTTCGATGTTTTGTTCCCCGAGCCACTTAGTTATCACTTTTGCCTTATGGCAAGGTGCTCCATCATGCTAGAAAAGGCATTGGTCGTCACCAAACTGTTCTTGGATGGTTGGGAGAAGTTGCTCTCAGAGGATGTGTTGGTACCATTCTTTATTCATGGCTGTGTTCTTAGGCAAAATTGTGAGTGAGCCCACTCCCTTGGCTGAGAAGCAACCCCACACATGAATGGTCTCAGGATGCTTTACTGTTGGCATGACACAGGACTGATGGTAGCGCTCACCTTGTCTTCTCCGGACAAGGTTTTTTCCAGATGCCCCAAACAATCGGAAAGGGGATTCATCAGAGAAAATGACTTTACCCCAGTCCTCAGCAGTCCAATCCCTGTACCTTTTGCAGAATATCAGTCTGTCCCTGATGTTTTTCCTGGAGAGAAGTGGCTTCTTTGCTGCCCTTCTTGACACCAGGCCATCCTCCAAAAGTCTTCGCCTCACTGTGCGTGCAGATGCACTCACACCTGCCTGCTGCCATTCCCGAGCAAGCTCTGCACTGGTGGTGCCCCGATCCTGCAGCTGAATCAACTTTAGGAGACGGTCCTGGCGCTTGCTGGACTTTCTTGGGCGCCCTGACGCCTTCTTCACAACAATTGAACCTCTCTCCTTGAAGTTCTTGATGATCCGATAAATGGTTGATTTAGGTGCAATCTTACTAGCAGCAATATCCTTGCCTGTGAAGCCCTTTTTTTTTGACGGCATGTGTTTCCTTGCAGGTAACCATGGTTAACAGAGGAAGAACAATGATTTCAAGCACCACCCTCCTTTTAAAGCTTCCAGTCTGTTATTCTAACTCAATTAGCATGACAGAGTGATCTCCAGCCTTGTCCTCGTCAACACTCTCACCTGTGTTAACGAGAGAATCACTGACATGATGGCAGCTGGTCCTTTTGTGGCTTGGCTGAAATGCAGTGGGCGGCAGGTAGCTTAGTGGGTAAGAGCGTTGTGCCAGTAACCGAAAGGTCGCTGGTTCTAATCCCCGAGCTGATTAGGTGAAAAATCTGTCGGTGCCCTTGAGCAAGGCACTTAACCCTAATTGCTCCTGTAAGTCGCTCTGGATAAGAGCGTCTGCTAAATGACTAATTATTTATTTATTTACAGTGGAAATGTTTTTTGGGGGGGATTAATTTCATTTTCATGGCAAAGAGGGACTTTGCAATTCATCTGATCACTCTTCATGACATTCTGGAGTATATGCAAATTGCCATTATCAAAACTAAGGCAGCAGACTTTGTGAAAATTAGTAGTTGTGTCATTCTCAAAACGTATGACCACGACTGTATATAGTTTCTCTATCCTTGCATTGAAATGTTGAACTGTACTCTAACCTGGCTATTCCTCTGTCTGGACAGACTGGGAATCTAAAGGCTCACCTGAAGATCCACATCACAGATGGCCCTCTGAAGTGCAAAGAGTGTGGCAAACAGTTCACCACCTCAGGTAACACCAGACTAGACAAGAGAAGTTGACTTCTGGGCTTGTAGTCATTAAGCATCTCAGAGAGAAGGAGTTCTGATCTAGGATCAGATCCTCACTGTCCATGTAATCTTATTAATCATTACCTAAAAGGCAACACTGATTCTAATGAATAAGATTACATGGACAGGGGGGGTCCTGATCCTAGATCAGCACTCTTACTTTTACACGCTTTATGAACACAGGCCCTGGTCTCGCTCTGTGTTGATATATAACTAGTCTCTTCGTATGGGTATATAACTGTAGTCTTTGTTTCCCAGGGAACTTGAAGAGACACCTGCGCGTTCACAGTGGGGAGAAGCCCTATATCTGTATGCACTGCCAGAGAGCTTTCTCCGACCCCGGGGCACTGCAGAGACACGAGCGCATACACACAGGTAACAGTTTTCGAAATTGATTTTATATGACTGTTCACCTTGACCTCTTACTTTGTACTGTGTAGCTTTAACATGTGTGTAACATAAACATGTGCAAAAATAACAGGAAATGCCTGTGCAGTGCATCATAGGTTAGAGACTGTAATGTAACTGTAGTGTGTGTGTCTCCTATAGGGGAGAAGCCGTGTCTGTGTCTGATCTGTGGGAAGGGGTTCACCCAGGCCAGTTCACTCATCGCTCATGTCCGCCAGCACACCGGAGAGAAGCCCTATGTCTGTGACCGCTGTGGCAAAAGGTAAACACACACACACACAGTATGATCCTATTGATATAACATAGAGCCCTTTATGTCCTCTCTCCAACTCCAGGTTTGTCCAGTCCAGTCAGCTGGCCAATCACATCCGTCACCATGATAACATCCGGCCACACAAGTGTCACATCTGCAACAAGGCGTTTGTCAATGTTGGGGATCTCTCCAAGCATATCATCATTCACACAGGTAGGAAGTACAACTGTGAGTGAGCAGAAAGTGAGGTTCCCTGGGAGTAGTGGATATTAATGGATAGTCACCCTTAGCGACAGTATTTTCAACCTAACTTCCGTTTCCCCTGAAAAACGGAAGTGGGGACTCCGCTCAGGCGTCTTTCTATGTCTGCTACTGTACGTTAGGTTAATGGATAGTCAAAAAATAGTATATAATATGTTTACAAAAATAGGTATTTAGGTATCTTTTGTGTATATTTCCAGTGAAGAAAACAAAGCTGTTGGGTATCTGGGTACATTATATCCCCTTTATCTTTAGTGTCCCTCCAACCTCCTTACCCTGAGGTTTAACATTAGTCTACATTCACCCTTCAAGTCATTTTTTCATCCCACCATCCCCTAGGAGAGAAGCCCTTCCTGTGTGACAAGTGCGGTCGCGGGTTCAACCGCGTCGACAACCTGCGCTCCCACGTCAAGACCGTCCACCAGGGTAAGGCCGGGATGAAGCGCCTGGTGGTTGCTGGGGGCGACAGCGACGACGGGGGTGACGGGTTCCACGGTGGGTCGGCCTCAGAGATGGATGACAACGAGATCAACATCGTCACCGTCACCACTGAGGACATCGTCACCCTGGCGACGGGGGCCCTGGATGGCAGCGCTGTGGCCCAGCTGACAGGTCAGACCGATAGCATGCTGGGTAATGATGTTCAGATAGGGGGAGGAGAATGGTGGTATGCAGTGGATGTGACTGTAATAGAAATGAGATTAAAGGAATGTGGCTGTGTGAGAGTAAGAAGGAAATAGACTCGGAACAAAGGGAATAATTAAGAAAATTCTCCTGTTGTACGTTTCTATGGATTCTGTCTGTTTCCAGTGGTGCCTGTGGCTGCATCGGTCTCAGCAGACGAGACGGAGGCTCTAAAAGCAGAGATCACCAAGGCTGTGGAGAAGGTGCAGGAAGCAGGTGAGACTGGCCAACCCAGCTTTGATCAGCTATTACTATTCATCGCTTGGATAACACAGCATGTAATATCAGTATATAGATGATACTTCCTTACATACACATACTGTACATCCTCACCATCCGTCTTCTCTGTCCTTCCCAGACCCCAACACTCAGATCCTGTACGGGTGCGACTCATGCGGTGACAAGTTCCTGGACGCCAGCTCGCTGGCCCAGCACGTGCGAATCCACACGGCCCAGGCCCTGGTCATGTTCCAGGCTGACTCTGACTTCTACCAGCAGTATGCCACTGCTGCAGCCGCCACCGCCGTCGGGGAAGTTGTTACCACAACCTGGCAACCCACCTCCGAGCAGGTCATCCAGGGAGGGGAGCTCGTCTTCCACACCCGTGAGGAGGAGGAGGGTGGGGAGGAGGGAGAGGGGGATGGGGTGACTCAGGAGGAGGGAGGAGAGGGAGAGGTGGTGGCCCAAGCTGACCCCCAGCCAGAGGGGAAAGATGAGGCTGTGACAGAGGGAGAAGGAGAAGAGATGGAGTGTGAGAGTCAGGCTTAGGGAAGGAAAGTACATTGAAGAACGGATTATATCTGGCATGCAATGACACCCCAAGTTACAGTGGGTTGAGTGAGTAATTAGTCATAATTTATGACGATTTCCCGCCCTTTGTGGGAAAACGACAGTGAGATTTCTAATCACCAGTTTACATAATCATTAATAAACTGTCATTTGTAGAGATTTAGCAAAACATTGTCAGCCTCATCTGGCATGAGTTCCCCTAATTCTAAAATTCTAGAATCTCTTCAGACGGTAGAAGTAGTATGTAACATGCTATAGTCAATTTAGCACTGTATGTTTAACATGTATATTATAAAATATAGAAATGGGCTATTCATTTAGAAAATGTACTTGCAGTATATCCCAGGGTAGGAAGGTAGGTTGATACATCACACCACTTTTGTTTTTCTTCTCCCTGACAGTAAAAAAAACAGAAAGGTAGTCAAATATTGCCTACAGATTATTTCCTTGTTTTACTGAGATAGTGTAAATGTTCCTCTCTTAGTTGAAGTATTTTAGTATACTTAATTTAAGTATTTTCATTAAAAGCACAAGTGTTCAGAAACTATTGATAGACTACTTTGTGTAGTGCTACTTGCATTTTGAGTGAGAAGGACTTGCTAAGTCTGTGCTAGAAGTGTCGTTTCTCTTTCACATTGACAGGCAAACAATGTAAATGTGCACAGGCACGTTGACGTTTGTTCTATTTCCTGCTAACATATTATAATTAGTCTTTGTGTAGAGAACTAGAAAACTGAAATGAGTTCCTATTGGTGGGATCCAAATGAGAAATGACAAGTTGTGGATTCGTTCCACAAATCGACATTATTTTCCAATTGATCCCTGTGTAAAGCATGAAACAGCCTGCGCTGTCATTTTCTCAATGATTTGTAGCACTGATTTGGCAGGTATTAAGAAGTACAAGAAGTCATTAACTGACTGTGTATGCTAGCCTATGTTAGCATAACAAGATGTTTCCTTGGGAAGTCTTATGGCAGCAGGAGCACCTAACATCGCATAGCAATGTGTGTAAATTATGATTATGTTCAGTCCTGGTTGATACTAGTTCATGCAAGTATTTTTTAGTTGTTGAACAATACAGATTATGATATAGACCTTCTGTTTTAAGTTAAATCAATGGCTGATTAAAGATGGGGGGGGGGGGGGGGGTGTATTAAAACTACCCACAGATCAATAAAGACAGATACATCAAAACATAGAACTGAGCTGCCCGTTTTATTCGCTGTTAAATGTATGTGGTTGAACCTGACACCACACATGTTCCTTGGGGAAGAAATAAAGTTCAGTAACACTTAAAACTTACAGGTAGCGCAGCGGTCTAAGGCACTGCATCTCAGTGCTTGAGGCGTCACTACAGACCCCCTGGTTCGATTCCAGGCTGTGTCACAACCGGCTGTGATTGGGAGTCCCATAGGGCGGCGCACAATTAGCCCAGCGTCGTCCGGGTTTGGCCGGTGTAGGCCGTCATTGTAAATAAGAATTTGTTCTTAACTGACTTGCGTAGTTAAATAAAGGTAAAATAAAAGTATATGGTGCATATTGGTACAAGCATGTATGACCCACATGTCTTTTTATAATGATTATGCACAGTATTGCAGATCATTTATTGACAAAAAAAAATTTCAAACAATTAAGTATCAGCACAGATATTACAGAAAATCACACTCCCTCATAATAAAATAAAAGTGCCCTGATCATGTTCATTGTCAAACGTGAATGCAGGGTGGACGCGTTCTTGTGTGTGATTGGCTGAATCCTGAGGCCAAAGGTTGGTCGACTGCTAAAGCTGACGTCGACTTCTTCCCCAAAATGGCGACGCGGACACCAGACAGACAAACGAGCCGGTGCAGTTCTACGTTATTATCCATTAAACGGACCGTAAGCATGGCTCGGACAAAATCCAGACTGGTGGGAAACAATTTTATTTTCTTCTTAACAGTCTCGTCTATGATGCACATGGCATTGGCTGACGGAAAGACACTCGTGTTGTTGGACAACCTCAGCATCAGAGACACCCATTCAATCTTCTTTCGCAGTCTGGCAGGTGAGAAGGAATACGTGTGTTTTTCCCAATCATTGTTGCTTAGCTAGCTAGTGGTTTCACAATAATACATTCAATAACAACAACGTGCTTTCATTAGTTGGTTTTCGTTCAGATATTAATCTAAGTTAGCGCTCATATCTGTCCACTAGCTAGCTAATCTTAGCTAGGTTTGTAAACGTTGCACAGGAAAAGGTGTCACTGCTGGGGCGTGTGGCATTGATTTCGGTCAAATAGTAGCTAGATAGCTATCATTGTCGATGTTGAAGACGAAGAAAGCTCCTATCTGTCCACTTGCACAGTTACGTGGCTGGGGTACCTGACGATGTTAGCTTTTTGCACTAATTGTGATTGTAGTGTACTACTGAGCAACATCCTACACATTTTTCAGACCCCACTGCGCATGTGATGTTACTTAATGTTGTTTCCCAAATGTATATCCAAGGCAATATACATTTTAATACAAGCATCTCAAAGTAGTGCATTGTTTATATGCACTAGAAATGACTGATTAACAACCCATCCTAGGGGATCAGAATAGTGTAAAACAAATACATTTTCATCGGGCTGATGTAGCTGTGTTTCTCTTTGCAGATCGTGGTTTTGACCTTTCATTCAAGACTGCAGATGACCCTTCTCTTTCCCTGATCAAATATGGCCAATTTCTCTATGACCACCTCATCATCTTCTCCCCATCCGTGGAAGGTTAGTTAGCTAACATTGCAGTTCAACATTTTAGTGGCATTTCTTATCTTTCCTCAGTGACTCTTGTTACAAAAAAGTATTAACTATTTCATGCATATTTTTTTCCTTTAAGACTTTGGTGGCAACATCAATGTTGAGACCATCACTTCATTCATTGATGGTGGAGGCAATGTCCTGGTTGCTGCTGGTTCTGATATTGGTAAGTGCAAAAATGTATTATTCTTCCATGTTATGTGTAAAAACCACACACTTGGTTTCTACTTCATTTACACTGGAACTAGTGCCATTGTCTTGTCTTCTCTTTTGTCCTAGGTGACCCACTTAGAGAGCTGGGCAGTGAATGTGGGATTGAGTTTGATGAGGAGAAGACTGCTGTAATTGACCATCACCATTACGATGTGTCGGACCCCGGTGAGGTAAGCAGAAGAGATGTAGAGAACATTCTAATGTAAACCTTTAAGCTGTAGTTTTTGCAATTGCTTACAGAGGCACAATGTGTCTGCACACCTGTCTGATAATGTAGAATTCTCACGAAAAGGTGTGAAATGGGGATTGAGTGCCCACTTGATTTACAGAGCACTTGAGGTGGGTTATGATCATAAGCTGTAAAAGTGTTTCCTTCCCCTAGCATACCCTGATTGTTGCTGATCCAGAGAATCTGCTGAAGGCTCCCACTATTGTTGGGAACCCCAGTGACAAACCCATCCTCTTCAAGGGTGTTGGGTGAGTCTACCATTACAGCGGAGAACAATTATTGTCACTTCTAAACAAGGGTTGTTACTACACTGGTATTGGGTTGTTATTCCCCTATGGGCAAAGTTTCCCATTGTAAAATGATTGTCGTCATCTTCTCCCCTTCTCCCAGCATGGTGGCAGACCCAGATAACCCCCTGGTCCTGGACATTCTGACTGGCTCCTCCACCTCCTACTCCTACTTCCCTGACCGACCCATCTCTCAGGTAACACCATCACTGTTTCCTTCCTTGTCAAACATTCTCCTTTTGGGTGGGGAGGAGGGAGACTATCTTATGTGCATGTATAAGGTGTTTATCCTTGGAATGTTATATTTTGGTGGACACTATGCTCTCCTTCTTTCTCGACAGTACCCCCATGCTGTTGGAAAGAACACTCTTTTGATCGCTGGGCTCCAGGCCAGGAACAACGCCCGCGTGGTATTCAGCGGCTCACTGCACTTTTTCAGCGACGCCTTCTTCAACTCGGCTGTGCAGAAGGCCACACCTGGCTCCCAGAGGTAACCCTCCTCTCATAGCGCTTTTCATCATCTGCTCTGCAGTTGCCTGCCTTACTTTTTAATCACCCTAGTATTTCTAGAAACAGAACTGTTTTCATTCCTGTCTTGCGCCTCTTGAAGGTACGCTCAGACTGGGAACATGGAGTTGGCCGAGGCTCTGTCCCAATGGGTGTTCAAGGAGGCCGGCGTACTCCGGGTGGGAGCTGTTACCCATCATCCTGTGGGGGAGAGCACCCCCCCTGCAGCCTACACCATCACAGACCTCGTGGTGAGTCACTTAAGGCCATGATTTAATCTATGATGACAGTATTTAGCAATTTTTCTGTTTTATTTAAAGGAACATTCAAAGTTAGAAATATGCTAGTTGAGCTCATGAGTGGGCATGAAGATATTTGTTTTCTTCAGCTACATCAACTGGCATGGCATTGTTGTTTCTGTCCCTTTCCTCCGACACAGGAGTACAGCATTGTTATTGAGATGTTGTCCGAGGGCATCTGGATTCCCTTTGACGGGGAAGACATCCAGCTGGAGTTTGTGAGAATCGACCCCTTCGTCAGGACCTACCTCAAGAAAAATGGTATGAACATTTCACAGACATGACCAATGTTCTCTTTAAGCAGTCCATGAAGAAATACCTGCCTCTACAGAGATGCACAAGATTGAACTTCTCTGAACTTGACTAGATTTTCTCCCTGTTAGTTTACAATATATTTCAGATCAACGTTTCCCTCTACTGTGAGAATTGTGATCGAATCAACACATCAGCCCTTTTCAATGCAACATACCAAAATAAATCTAACTATGAAAGACTGTTTTTGTTGTAGGCAGAGTGCATTGAAAGGGGGATTCTACAGGCACGAGCGGTCGCAACTCGCGAGTAGCCTAAATGCGCTTGTTTTTAGATCAAGGTGCAGAGCCCTGTGTGCACATTTTGTTGATATTCTTTGCTAGTTAGTGAGTTATTAGCCCAGTTATAGCTAGTTTTTGGTCCGCAATGGGGGAGTGATTGTTGCCTACAAGAGCTCAACGTGTACATTTCTAGCCATCTTTGAAAAGCGGGGCAGTATTGTATTTTGAGACGGGCTTGAATGAGCGAAGAAGCCAATAGGCAGAGGGTAGCATACATTTTGGTCTGATTCTCTGTAATAATAATGGCATGGGAATAATAATGCATTTTTTACACAATACATTTTCAGTCACCTACTTGTCTGAAGGACAAGCGGCTAAAAAGGTTAATGTGAAGCTCTGCATAATGTTTTTAAAAAGTCTCATGGAATGTAGGCCTACATTGAACACCACACATTGGCTGTTACTGTAGGCTGTGTCATAGAATAGCTATTTTCCATGTGAAAATGTTATGGGATGCATTTTCTCTGTTTTTGATGGTAGGCCATTCTGATCAAATAGCCACAGTAGCTGAATTGGCCACTGTTAAAACGGTAACTTAAAGTGGGTACAGACTCAGTGTAAACGCATGCCGGACGTTGCATAAAATGTTCACAACGTTCAAGTTTCCACTCAGCAGACCTGAAATTTGCTCAGTGCCGGGAAAAAATTGAGGGAACATTGGACATTAATCTTTTTTTCATGATTATTTACATAATACAATTGCTTGTTGTAACTCTCATAAGGCAGAATAGTTTTCCAAAATCAAAGAATTGTATTCAAAAGTGTACATCCTTAAAAGTTCTACAGATGCACCATTGAGAGCATCTTGACTGGCTGCATCACCGCTTGGTAAGGCAATTGCTTGGCATCCGACTGCAAGGCGCTACAGAGCGTAGTGCGTACGGTCCAGTACATCACTGGGGCCTAGCTCCCTGCCTTCCAGGACCTCTTAGGGCCTTCCTCTGACGGTGTCTGAGAATTTTTAGGGCTTTCCTCTGACTCCAGCCACCCAAGTCAGACTGTTCTCACTGCTACCGATACATCAAGTCTGGAACCAACAGGACCCTGAAGACTGCTAGATAGTTCACCAATAGCTACCTGGACAATCTGCATTTACTATTTTTGCACTAACTTGTTTCACTCATCACATACGCTGCTGTTACTGTTTATCTATCCTGTTGCCTAGTCACTTTATCCCTAACTGTGTACATATCTACCTCAATTACCTCGTACCCCTGCAAATCGACTTGGTACTGGTACCCTGTGTATATAGCCAAGTTATCGTTACTCATTGTGTATTTATTCCTCATGTTATTATTTCTTTTATTTCTGCATTGTTGGGAAGGGCACGTAAGTAAGCATTTCACTGTTAGTCTACACCTGTTTTTTATGTGACTAATACAAATTGATTTGAAATGCTATTTTTCCCTTAACAGGAGATAAATACAGTGTCCAGTTCAAGTTGCCTGACGTGTATGGAGTGTTCCAGTTCAAGGTGGACTACAACAGGCTAGGCTACACACACCTTTACTCCTCCACTCAGGTGAGGGAACTGTTAAATTAAAACATGTGTTTTGTAGTGGAAGGCTCTTGAGTATTTCAAGGGCTACACCAGCTAATTCATTTGTCATATTACACTATAAGCAAACAATATTGTACTCAATTGTAAGAGGCTAATGTATTCATGTCCTCTCCCATAGGTGTCAGTGCGTCCCCTGCAGCACACCCAGTATGAGCGCTTCATCCCCTCAGCGTTTCCTTACTACGCCAGTGTCTTCTCTATGATGGGAGGACTCTTTGTCTTCAGCATAGTCTTCCTTCACATGAAAGAAAAGGAGAAGTCAGACTAGGGCGATTAAATTAGAAGGGAGGGGTGGTAGATAATGGGGTGAAGGTTCTTAGTTGCTAAAATCGTTTGGCAGAGCCTGCAAAAAGTTTGTAATTGTTGCTTCTATATTGGTTGTGGGGGCATTTAATTAGGGTTTTGCAGGCCAATTTACTCAGTTTTTGTACTTAAAAACAAAAGTTTCATGTATAAAATAATCACTCAAATGATCTGTGAGCATTCCAGAATTCAGTCAGGAATGTGATATTGTTGCTTCAAGATCTCAATATCAGGTGGAGCACTTGTTTGGAAACATCCCATGAATTTGTTTTTTTTCCCACCCACTTGTATGAGGATAAAAACATATTGATGTGGTACATGCACTGAATATTTTAGTTTTGTCTGATAATGTGTTTCTATGGTAAGCCTAACATGTTTGCAACTACTACATTTTTTTTTTTTTTTTTTTTTTTACAATTTAGGCATTTAGCAGACGCTCTTATCCAGAGCGACTTACAGTTAGTGAGTGCATACATAAAATAAAAAAAATCATACTCGCCCCCGTGGGAAACGAACCCACAACCCTGGCGTTGCAAGCGCCATGCTCTACCAACTGAGCTACATGGAGCACACTAGAAAGGTACAAGTCCTTGAAAGCTACAATAAAATGTTGACATGCCACTCTTAGTCAATAGCATATCCTACAGCTGGACAGGGCAGAACATGTATTTCAATGATTTTTGTTAAGAAAATATATATCCGTTTCCCACATCTGGCTACCATCATTTTGTTGGCGGTGACGTTGGTGTGTCACGAGCTCATTGACATGGCTAGCAGCTAAGCTTAGCATTGTCTTCAATTTATTTCTCCACTGCTGGACTGAACATTGAGCCTGAACTTACTCATGGTCTCTCAATATCACAATGATCAGTTTAGCTACAGTAAAAGTAAGTTTGAACAAGTTGATGTATTAAAAGACAATTCGGATATTAAAATAATAGGTAGCTAGCTAGCTACACCGAAAGTGTAAGCAACCTAGCTATGACAGCGGGAGATTCATTCTCTAGCGCGAAGGGTAACGCGTTGGCTAGATAGTTTGCTAGCTAACGTGTTAGCCAGTTTAGTTGAATAGTCATTCGAAGCGTTCCCGAGGCTAGTAGTGAGACTGAGGGAGGAGGACGTCGCTTGCTAACGTTAGCTAGGAAACTAGTCAAAGTTAGTAGCTAGCTAGCAATTGCTATTGCCTTGTGTGCTAGTTTAACTACGGTAAAACGGTATCGTTAACTAGCCACCTGCTTGCTTGATGTTTTACATTGTTCGCTAGCCAATTACTGTACCAGCATTGAAAATATATGGCTAGCTTAGCTTAGCTACTAGTTGTCTAGCTTTGAGAACAGCAACAGACCACATCCACATTGAGACTTCTGGAAATCAGCTGACCGCTGCAGGCAGCCAAGGATACCAGTGATGGATCAACTCAAAGTTAAGGACCGAATATTGGAAAACATTTCGTTGTCTGTCAAGAAGGTGAGACTGATATCAAGTCTAGTGTTCACATATTCTTCATGTTAGCATGATTAGCTAACTAACTTTGAAGATCGTGAACATGAGTGTTACCCTAACGTAGCAGGCATAAAATAAACGCTTGCTAGGATAAGTGGGCCTGGTTCATGAAAGAAAAACAGTTGCTGACTGTAAGGTCCTTGAAGATTGTTTAGCTAGCTAAACAAATATGGATTACATTTATCAACATATGGGTGTTTTGTTTTACTAGTTAGTTGTCACTAGTATTGTATTGCCTAGTCGAGACATATTCAATGACTGGTGAAAACAAAGCACGGTAGCAGTAACCCTACTGCGGCATATCGATACTGTCATGTAATAAACTGTGTCGCTTCTAAAATTCTCTTTCATGGTCGATTCAGCAACCCTCGGGTAACTAGCTAGGTCTATTTGAAGGACGACATATTGTTGCTAGTTTTCCAAACACATTTCAATATACTTGCTTAACATAAGCATGAGTGTACTGTGAAAACATTGACATTCAGTATTTGACTTCTGGGTGTCTTCATAAATTAGTCTGAACCCTGTTTGAATGTTGACATTCATCCTTTGCATAAACCTGTGCAGTGTGGTAACATTGAGTCCCATCCTTCCAAAGTATGTGTACTGTGCCATACAGCCACTGCTTTATAACACCTTGCCTGATATGATATTCAAATATTATCCTGCCTATATTTGGTTCATTCCTGTCCCCAGTCTGCCTCGTGGTCACATGACCTCAGGGAACTGGAATTTATTACATTTCTACATTCCTGTATATATGCTGTTTAACTGGTCTTTTTGGAGGTGACAAACAAAAGTCTGATTTAATTTAAGTCAGTCATAGTAATACCATTTAGTGGGTCAGATATACTGTAGCATTTATCCAATTTCAGGCTCCATACTCCCATCAAAGCTAAAACTGTATCCTTAGACAGACATTGTACAATCATGCTTGTTAGCTGTCCATTTTTGATGCATGTGGTACTCCTCTCAACGTCTCATGACTGGGGAAGATATCACTATATTTCTAGTTTGGCTGTGGGCCTATTCACATCAGTTCCACCTGTTTTGTGCCCTGACTGCAGTTGCAGAGTTACTTTGCTGCCTGTGAGGATGAAACTCCAGCCATCCGGAATCATGACCGGGTCCTACAGCGGCTGTGCGAGCACCTCGACCATGCTCTGCTCTATGGGTAAGAAGACAGCGAGCCAAATCTGCTCAGTACTTTGATACATCCTAACTCTGACATTGTATGTTTTGAACTATGTTCTTGAACTCTCCTGTTTTGTGCATTGCAGGCTGCAGGATATCTCCTCAGGTTACTGGGTCCTGGTTCTACACTTCACCCGCAGGGAAGCGGTCCGACAGATAGACGAGCTCCAGCACATAGCAACCAACCTTGGGCGAAGTAAGAACACAACAATTTTCACAGCATTCTTACGCACACATTCACATACATCGTCAATCTTGTGGGCAACTTAAGAGGCAAACTTTTCACTGCAGTAAACACTAATACACACATACATGCCATTTCTGTAAATAAATTAATACACTTAATACATTTACTGTGATAATGTGAATGAAATTTGTTAGTCAGTGGTTTGGCACATGTAAGTTCCTCTTGTGTCACATTCCAGAAATGTAGCACAAGACTGCTGTTATTTGAGGTCAGGATTACAGTAATTACCACTGGGGTTTGCACATATATGTTTCTCCTTTTACAGAGAGGTTTCTTTGTAGGCCTACATGTTTGACTTATTTGCAAGTTCAGGCAGGAAAGAAAGAATACATGGAGCTAGTAAAAATGACCTACTTATGCCCATGTCCCTCGTACTGAGCACATTTTTTTCTGTTGTCTTTTCTGTGCAGGTCGTGCCTGGTTATACCTAGCACTGAGTGAGAGCTCCTTAGAAAGCTACCTCCGTCTCTTCCAAGAGAACCAAGGATTGCTGCAGAAGTATTACTTCAAGTGAGTGTTCTGACCTAAAGAGCACCATATTATGCCTTTTGACTAATGCGTGTAACTAGTCTCCTTATTGTAAATACACCATCTGCTTGGAATCTCTCCCCCAGAAATGCATTGGTGTGCAGCCATGATCACCTCACGCTCTTCCTCACGTTGGTGTCAGGACTGGAGTTCATTCGCTTTGACCTGGAGTTGGTCAGTATTAGACAATTGTTTGAAACCATTAGAATTCACATCAATACACCTAATTTACAAAAGTCCCAACAGTTCAATGTTCAGGCTTTATTGTAACAAAAGAAGATACAACTAGGCTCAACCAAAGAACGTAAACAGAGTACTTAGTTGGTGCCTAAAACCAATAAATAATTCTGTCAAAAAAGAAACCTCCATTGTTTTCCGGGTGTTAGGATGTCCCCTACTTGGACGTGGCCCCCTACATGCCGGAGTACTACAAGCCCCAGAACCTTTTGGACTTTGAGGAGCGTCTCCCAAGCTCGGACAGCCTGTCCCTGCACTCTTTCACCTCCACCAACCTGGAGTGGGACGACAGCGCCATTGCCCCGTCCAGCGAAGGTAGGGGCTCCACCTCTCTCTTTCCTGCTTTCCCTTTCTCTTTCTCCACCTCGGTTTCAGTCTCCACCCACTCTCCGTCTTATGCGGTGCATTAGCCTAATTCATAGGCTGGTGTGTCAAGTAATGGGGTGTTGATGCTGAAGTTGGATCGATCAGGTAAACCCTTGTGGCTCATGGGTTAATATGTAGAAATAATAGCCTAGTACTCACATTGAAGTGATCTTCATTGAGCACCGAGCACAGTATGAACTCCGTGGTGTGAATGTTTTCATATAGTATCTCCCATCACGTTCCACAAACCATTGAGTCCCTATTTTAATTGTAGTTTTCTGTCTGCCTTGCCATACTTGTGTCTGTTCTCATCATGCGTATCATATTTCTCTCATATGTCATGTTTGTGCCATTGTCTCTTCTCTCTGGCCTTTCTGTTCTAATGTTGAGTCTTATCCCTCCTTTTTTAGATTATGATTTTGGTGACATCTTCCCCGTGTTGCAGCCAAGTGCAGACTGGGAAGGTGGGACATGGTTACCCCTCCCCTATCCTCCCTCTCTGTCTCCGTCCTCACCTCTCCTGCCACCCCCTTCCCCGTCTCACAGCATCATGCATGTCGTCCATCCCACTGTGTGTGCTGAATGCATGCTGGTCCTCTGTGTGTGGAGCCAGTGGTTTAATTGGAGTATCTTAATTGCAATATCAATACTGATGAAGAACAAGCAGCTAGCTAATGCTAAGAGGGAATGGTAGAGAAAGCAATCAAAGGGCTTTTGATGTACTGCTAGTTTCTTGGGAAGTAGGCAAAATGGATTGGTAATGCTTTTACACTGGTCTTTGAAGACACTACTGAATCAAACATCACTCCTCACTATCATTACATTTGTACAGTACTACAGGATGAATTGCATAATGATGCCTAGTGGTAAAAAATATATATATATAATTTTAAGGGCATTTTTGGCTCACCTTTATGCAATAAATTATGATGTGGCACTATTGCCAACATTTAATACGATTTATGGCCAGGTAAGTTATTTTCTAAGCAGAAATTTCTATGCACTGGTGAATTGTTAGATGTTGTCAATCATGTTTTAATTAACCACGCAACATGTTTCTCTTTGGAGATGTGATCCTAAAGCTCATGCAGCATTGATGTGGAATATTACTAATGAGAGCTGCATTGCCTGATGCAGCTGGTACTCACTCTGTCTGGTGTCTACTGGCATATATGTGGAATACTCTCTCTTTCTCTCTGTGGAAATGTTGGAATGCATGTATCTGGTCTAGGTTCAACCCAGCCTTCATAGCTTTTGTCACCAACTGTAGCGTGTAGCCTACTGTAGCACTGCATACAATCACTTGAACTAGTTTAATTTAAGTATTATTTCTCCAAGCAAGTGCTGGTATGTTGCGTTGATTGACTTCAACAACGTCAATTAGGCACCTAATTTGAACAGATAATGAAACATCATAAATCTATTTAATAAACACTTGTGCCCTTATGTATACTTTATGAACTAAATTGTACAATAAGCTATGGTAGGATGGTTTAGCCAAGACCTTTGCCACTCAACAAGCTTGTGTCTGTCTGCCTGCCTGCGTGTCTGTGTGTCGTCCTTACCCCTGTCCCAGCCAAAGCACCAGTATCTATTCTCATTCATTTAAACCCAGAGCGTGTTCAGTAGCCTGTGGCATACTGTACGTGGGACTGTTCTGCTATTCTTTTGACTGTGTGTGTGTGTCCCCCCTCTCCCGTCCTGCTACAGACGGTGACCTCACCGACCCGGTCAGCTGTCCTCACTCCAGCGCCTCGGACCCTCAGACGGTCTTCAGTGATTCTGTGATTCTCCGGGCAGCCGCTGCCGTCATCACCGTGAGGGGAACGCCGCCGCCTCCGCCCCGCAGCCCCACCTTCAGACACAACCCCTTCAACGAGTACTCGGACACCAACACCTCGGCCGACATCACGCCCGTACACACGGCCAGCCGCCACCACGACACAGGGGACGACATGGAGAGCACCAGCAACGAGCTAGAGGTTATTAGGTACAGCACACACCACTAACATTAGCCTCTGTGGCTAAAACTACATGGGAATTAGCCTAGTTAGTTGGTTATCCTGTTATGTTGACCATACTTTTCTCAGCCTCAACGCAGAGCTTGGAGTTGTTGAATCCAAATGGCACATTATCACTTAATCTCGATGTCTGTAAACTAAAGTTATCAGATCAACAAAGCCCTAATTTATTGGCACACTCATACAGGTCAGCAAGCCCTGTAGCTCTTTGGCTAGGGAAATGTGATTGTTAATTTATACAATGGGCCCAGGAAGAGTACACATGAACTACCCATTATGATGTGGTTGTTTCTTTTCCACCAGAATGGCCAGACGAAGGAAGCCATCCAAGAAGCGCTGTGGCGTCAAAAGCTCCACGGTGAGCGGTGACCAGAACACAGTGGCCTTCGAGCAGGTGGAGGCAGACAACAGAGCCCAGGCTGGATGTGAGGGAGAGGGACCGGACGGAGACACCTGGAGCCCCTCTGTGGGGTCGCCGCAGGGCTCAGGGGCCGAGGCGGTGAGGAGGAGGAGCAGGAGGGAAAAGGGGGAGGAGGAGGAGTCAGAGGGCCTCCTGCGGCTGCCGGAGATGACTGACACCTCCATGGACAGCGTTGGCCAGCCCCTACGTGACGTCATGGACCGGCTCAACGGTGCTCTGGACGGGGGGAAGACCTGGGGGCGACCAGATGGAGAGGAAGAAGAAGAAGAAGAGGAGAAAACCCAACAGAGTTCCCTCCTCAGAAGGCCCTCCTCCGCCAGCCTTGAAGCCAAACCCCAGCCCCCGGGGCAGCAGCCCTTTCGAGGGGATTCGATGGGTGAGCCGCCTGACCCGGAAGCCAGGGTCCCCCCCCTGCTGCGCCCTGCTCTGGCCCCGAGTCCCAACTTCCTGCAGGCCCCCCCGGCTCCTGCAGACTTTTACTGCTTTACCCCCCACAGTCCAGACGCTGCTGCCCTGCGTAGTGGCCACCATGACACTGCAGGGCATGGCCAGCCGCAGGCTTTTCCTGGTGGCCATGAAGTTGAGGCAGAATCACCGCCAGGACAGGACCCCTCCCTAGAGGAGGAAGAGAGTGATGTGGAGGAAAAGGATGAGGCAGTGGTGGTTGAGAATGGATTGGCTGCTGGAGAAACTGAAGAGGAGACAGAAGAGGACAGGCTCAGTCCAACGGAAATCTCTCATCCTGCAGAATTCAAGTGAGTTGGGGGTTACTTAACACATTTTTAGGTGAACCATAAATTAGACCTATTTTTAAAGGTGCAATATGTCGAATTTAGCTCAGCCAATTTGTGGTTTCTAAAATGTTTTAATGTCTAATTGATTTCAGTTTGTGACATAACAAGCAATGTATAGTGTAGAGAATCATTGTACCATCTAAACCGCTGTGGAAAATCTTTTCAATAAACAAAAATATGTATGAAGCTGATGTACAAAACTGAAAGTAAAAAAGAAACAAAAATGAAATTTACGGAGGGGAAGCGATCATAATGAAAGATCTATGATTCACATTTCTATCTGAAATCAGTTGGGTCGTACACAAAGTTACACAATGGACCTTTAAGCCTTTTTTGTGGCGACAGTTTAACCACGGTGGTGTGCTGATTCTGTGTTGCCCTTTCAGGGTGGACAACAATCACCTGCTGCTGCTCATGATCCACGTCTTCAGAGAGAACGAGGAGCAGCTCTTCAAGGTAAGCCTCTGTTTCACTGTGGTATATTATGTTGGGTGGAGGGGGGGTTGTAAAGGGCATACATTGATAATTGCGGCGGCAGGTAGCTTAGTGGGTAAGAGCGTTGTGCCAGTAACCGAAAGGTTGCTGGTTCTAATCCCCGAGCCGACTAGGTGAAAGAATCTGTCTGTGCCCTTGAGCAAGGCACTTAACCCTAATTTCTCCTGTAAGTCGCTCTGGATAAGAGCGTCTGCTAAATGACTAAAATGTAAATGTAATTTGAGCTAGTACTCTGGCTTCTGAAGTGTGCATTTAAACACTCCCTGTCATGGATTTAACAATAGTGAATTTCCCTCCAGCCAATGCTTCCCTCCAATCCTAAGCATTTAAATCCATGACAGGGAGTGTGCTAGCGCACACTTTAGGAGAAGCATGGAGAATCGGGACGCTGCCACAGCTTCAATCCGTGTCCATTCTGAATACATCTACATGCACATATGTCTGGAAAAAATTGAATTAAAATGTATTGGTGACTAAACAAGTGGTATTAGTATGCTTTGCAGTTCATATGAAGCGGTGCGGTCCTGAGTGTTTAGTTCTGTCTGTTCCCAGATGGTAAGGATGAGCACGGGTCACATGGAGGGGGACCTGCAGCCTCTCTACCTGCTGCTGACTGACTGTTACATCTACCTGCTGAGGAAAGGTGAGGTTTCACTGCCCATCACACTCAGATTCTCTGTCTCTCTCTCTCTCTGTCTGTCTCTCTCTCTCTGTCTGTCTCTCTCTCTGTCTCTGTGTGTGATGGTCATTAAATTGAAATGTAATGGCTGCTTTTGACTTTGCTTGTCATGCTCTATCTATTTATATCATAACTATCTCACACTAAAACTCTCTCTTGCTCTTTCAGGTGCAGCAGAAAAGCCCTATACAGTAGAGGACGCCATCTCTTACAATGAGTTGGACTATGTCTCTGTGAGTTGTCTATACTGCTGGGATATGTTGTTGATACGTTTCTTGTAATGTCGAATGGCTGCAAGGCCACAATAGTTTTTCTTCAAGGTTTAGCTTTAGGATCATCTTGGTCAATGTTTATCTTCAGGGTCACGCCGGGTCCTTGATTTTCCATGCCAAGTCACAAGGTTCATGAGGTCAGATGGTTCATGATGAGTTTACTAGGTTCACGTTGTTCCAGTCGTTGTTTATGGGAATTCCAACATGGCCGACAATCATGCAACCAATTTGAAAGCCTTTGTCTCTGTGACTGTCTGTCATTCAACTGTCTGTCATTCAAATGCAAATTGTAGTAGATCTTATATAGACATATGTGCAGCGGCACCAATTTACCAAAAGTAAAAGCCCAATGCTTATTTTATGGACTACAGTGATGTAATGAGTTTTATTTTCCAAATAGTGTTGATGCCACCATATCATCTTAGGCTGTGAAGCACTGGACTGTATGAGGGAAGTGCATGAAAGAAGCTTTAAAGGGATACTTCGGGATTTTGGCAATGAGGCCCTTTAATTACTTCCCCAGTGTCAGAGGAACTCGAGGATACCATTTTTATGTCTGTGTCCAGTATAAAGGGCACAATGACTAGAAGTCTATGGGTATAAAAAATGAAAAGATGGATTTTAAATAGTACATTGCTGCAACAAGACCACCACCTAAAAAGCTGATAGACAGTAGAGGGGAAAACGACAAGAAGGAAGAGTTACTGTCAATGTCCAGTCCACTAAGTTGTGCTGTGATATTGTCCCTGTCCGTCTCTCAGGTGGGCTTGGACCAGCAGACGTTCACGCTGGTGTGCACCAACAGAAGACGCCAGTTCCTCCTGGACACGGCCGACTCATCGCTGACTGTGTGAGTGCCTCCTCTCCTCTGCTCTCTCTCCTTCTCCCTGGCGGCATCTCCATAGTCTAAAGTGGCTTCCTCTCCCCATCTCCTTTCCTCCATTTGCAGTGATTCTAAAGGACTGGACTGTGGAAAGCGACTTCCTAGTTGGCATGCTCTCACTTATGTTTCCATATCAGTACGGATGGAGGAGAGGAGAAGCAGAATAAGTCCCTCTCTTTATCCCTCCCTCTCTCTTCCAACCCACCATCCTCTTTCTTTGTCTTCCCCAGCTGGTTTTTGGCAGCCCTGACGTCAGCCATGATAAAGGGGTGCAGGGAGCCCCCCTACCCCTCTGTGCTGACTGACGCCACCATGGAGAAACTGGCCCTCACCAAATTTGTCTCCCAGGAGTCTCACTGTGAGGTGAGGAACACATATTTTTGCTGTCTCACCTAGCTGGGCCTGCACACATCCATCATTTTTTAAATATAAAAATAAAGACAAATGTCATGTTGAAAGAATGCCTGTATACTGATTTATGCTCTCATGAAGTGAAGTCTTATTTTGATTGGAATCACATTAAAATACACACTTACCCCTCATCAATTATATATCTGATGGAGTGGTTATAGGCACCAGGCATAGCCATGACTAGCCATAGACATCACCAACTCAATCAGTATGCTCAACACATGTACAACAATGTGTAATAGACAAGGGATACACTTGTGTATTGATGCGTTGTGTCTATGTAGGTGTCTCAAGTGATCATCCGCCTCTATTCTTTGGTCCACTGGGAGGACCCGATGGATGTAACTCTTGCCACCCAGACAGTCCTGGTGGGTGCTGGGGACTCCTCCAGCACTAAAGAGGGCCCCCTACTCTACAGAGCATGCACCACCTACCTGGGCAAGGAGCTGTGGAAGAGCTGTTACCTTGTACTGAGGTATGTATTGGCAGCCGTAGGCTTTTAGAGGCACAATATGCTGAAATCACTCTGCCATTGCCTGGTTGCTAAAGTTCTAAACTGTTTGACTAATTTCTGTTTATGTTACCTGTATTAATGGCACCTGTTTGAAGTTGTTATCATTATAAAAGACACCTGTCCACAACCTCAAACAGTCACACTCCAAACTCCACAATGACCAAGACCAAAGAGCTGTCAAAGGACACCAGAAACAAAATTGTAGACCTGCACCAGGCTGGGAAGACTGAATCTGCAATAGGTAAGCAGCTTGGTTTGAAGAAATCAACTGTGGGAGCAATTATTAGGAAATGGAAGACATACAAGACCACTGATAATCTCCCTCGATCTGGGGCTCCACGCAAGATCTCACCCCGTGGGGTCAAAATGATCACAAGAACGGTGAGCAAAAATCCCAGAACCACACGGGGGGACCTAGTGAATGACCTGCAGAAAGCTGGGACCAAAGTAACAAAGCCTACCATCAGTAACACACTACGCCGCCAGGGACTCAAATCCTGCAGTGCCAGACATGTCCCTCTGCTTAAGCCAGTACATGTCCAGGCCCGTCTGAAGTTTGCTAGAGTGCATTTGGATGATCCAGAAGAGGATTGGGAGAATGTCATATGGTCAGATGAAACCAAAATATAACTTTTTGGTAAAAACTCAACTCGTCGTGTTTGGAGGTGTGATGAAACAAGCATGAAACAAGCAGTATTGAGAATCATTGTAACATCTGTGTAATATATTTTCAATATCCAAAAATATTGTCTTCAGCTGTTTGAAGCTGGTGTACAAAACCAAAAGTAAAAAGACCCAAAAACAAAGGTTAAGGACGGTAAGCATAAAAATAAAGCACATAAAACAGATCTATCGCTTATCAGACTTGCTTTCAATGAGAATTATGGATCTATAACTCACATTTCTATGTGAATTTGGTCAGGTGCCCACAAAGCTACATATTGCGCTTTTAATATAACCCTTATAATAAGATATTATAAAGGCTCATACTTGCTTGTAACAAGTAATAAAGCGTTATACCTTGATGCGTATACCAGGAAGTGTTACCGATATATCTGCCTCCTATTACATTTGTTATAGAATGTTATGTGTAACTTTACTTGAACAGGTTGAAGCACGGCTACGGTACCCATATAACATGTAACACATTTCTGTTCTTATTTTAATGCAACTGCAATATTCAATGTAATAATATAATGATACATTTCATATGAATAGCTCTTTCATACATTGTGCTCAAAGCAAGATTATAAACCGGGTTGTTCAAGCCCTGGATGCTGATTGGCAGAAAGCCTTGGTATATGAGACCATATACCACGGGTATGAAGCAAAACTACTTGTTTACTGTTCTAATTAAGTTGGTAAACTGTTTATAATAGCAAAAAGGCACCTCAGGCGTTTGTGGTATATGGCCAATATACCACGGCTAAGGACTGTATCCAGGCACTCCGCGTTGTGTCATGCATAAGAACAGCCCTTAACCGCGGTATATTGGCCATATACCACACCCCCTCAAGCATTATTGCTTAAATATATTTCAGTATGTGTTCCTCTTGTCCTTGTGCAGCAAAGGGGTTCTGTACCAGTATACAGAGAAGACTGATGGGACACCACTGATGTCCATCACTATGGGGTAAGGCATGCATGCTGTGTTACTGCTCATCCTCCAACATGTGTCTGTTTATGATGGGATAATTTTCACAAGGGAATGGATCTGTGACTAGAGCTTTTATGGATCAAGTTGTTAGGACAAATGCACTGGGTTCGAATGTAGTTGATCGCACCTATTTTGCTTATTTTTTTACCCTCTTATTTCAATGTAAATAGTAGGCTGTGATTGACTTTACATATTTTCATTGTTGTTTGACCATCTTCTATGTGTGCTCTCTCCCACCCTTCCTCGCTCTTCATCGCTCTCTCAGGGGTGAGCACTGCGGAGGTTGCCGGCGCTCCAACAGCACAGAGCAGCCTCATGCCTTCCAGGTGATCCTGACAGAGCGGCCTCCTCTGGAGCTGAGCGCCGACAATGAGGGAGACATGGCCGACTGGATGCTGGTGCTCTGCCAGTCCGTCTCCAAAGGGGTGAGGGTGAGGGCATACACACGCTGCACTCTGACACAGATACACACTGCACCGTGGGAATAATGAGAGTGAGCATGGCTGACTGTGCAGATTTTGCCATGCTATTGCCATGAGGAGCAGAATACCCTACTAGATTAAAAATGTATTTTTGCATGAACTGTCTCACACCATGTCATTCCCTATCTCCCAACATTGAGTTCAGTTCCTCCAGGTTCAATCGAAGATTCACTGCAGAAAAATGATCTTTCCCCGATTTTTTTTTTTTAAACCAGAAATAAGATTGTTTTCATTTTGTTCAGGTTTTTTTTTTCCGAACCGCCTATGTAAACATTTTTAAAATATTTTCTTTTAGATACAAATTTCCAGCATGGAAAAAGGTTTTCAGTGTAAACGTAAACGACTAAAACCAGATATAAAGTATGTCAAAAACATAATGGACCTAATATATTTTTCAAAAAGATCATCTTTGAGAATGAACAAGCACCAAAATAAAAGCTAGACTGTCAGGGAGAATCTAAAATTGTAAAAATGATGCATTCAGGAGTATTTTTGACATGGCATGTCTCGTGAGTGGCGCAGTGGTCTAAGGCACTGCATCGCAGTGCTAACTGTGCCACTAGAGATCCTGGTTCGAATCCAGGCTCTGTCGCAGCCGGCCGCGACCGGGAGACTCATGGGCGGCGCACAATTGGCCCAGCGTCGTCCAGGGTAGGGGAGGGAATGGCCGGCAGGGATGTAGCTCAGTTGATAGAGCATGGCGTTTGCAACGCCAGGGTTGTGGGTTCGATTCCCACGGGGGGCCAGTATAAAAAAAATTATATATGTATTCACTAACTGTAAGTCGCTCTGGATAAGAGCGTCTGCTAAATGACTAAAATGTAAAATGTAATGGGCGGTACGAAAATGTTGTTATGTTTGAGTCACTCGGATAGCATAAGCCATGGCAAAATGTGTAGAATTGCAGGAAATTAGCTTTAAATAACACATTTTCTCTCGGCCCCATGGAAAGATGTGTAGAATTGCAGGAAATTTGCTTTCAAACAGCTACATTTTGCAGCCAACAGGAGGGCCTCTAAAATGTTTGGTCGGCGACAGGATCATTGGCCACACCCACCACCTAAGTTCCATTTTGATCCAGAAAAAAATCTGTCGTTTTTAACAGTAGCTCTGAAGTACATAGGCTAAGTACATCTGTATTTTATCATTAAAGTAGACTGGTTTCTCTAGGTCCCCCCTCTATAGATGTTTTTATTCTTTAAACCCTCTTTCTCTGTCTGCAGGTGATCCCCCAGGGTGTGGCCCCCACACCGTGTATCCCTTGTTGCCTGGTGGTGACGGACAGGAAGATGCTGACATGCCACCAGGACTGCCAGACCAGCTTCTTCCGCTCGCTGGGCGGAGCTGAGCTCTCTGACGTCACTGCTGTCAGCCTGGAGGACGACAAGGAGTACTGTGTTGTTGTGAGTCACCTCACGCCTGCCTAGCCTCAGACGGCATATGGCGGTTGTCCTCACTTGCCTGTGCCCTCTAGTCTATTCTCTTTGTGTCTCCAATTAAAATTGAATTTGTTCTATTGAACATACCACCACTATAAAGGCATTTTAATTATATGAAGAATCTTGTAGATAATAGGCAGAATCTACCGCACACCCAAAACCGATTAGTGAAGGTGCTGGAGGCAAAATGCTAAACAGGAAAAAGTCTCTGCACACTTCCAGTCAGATGCAAATGTATTTTAAAAGAAGCTGAGCTATGATGAGCTACTATTAAAATAAATGTGCATCTGACTAGACGTGTGCAGACACCTTTTCCTGTTTCTCCAATTATATGAAGAATGCCTTGGGTCCTCCTTGTGTTTTGTTGACCAACTAACCACTAAACCAAAGAGCACCTTCAAACTACAAAGATGCACTTCCCATCCTTTTTTCTACTCAATTCAATACGACCTGATTAATCCCTGAGGGGAAATTAGAAAGACATTGACAAGCATTGGAATTGACTCTTTATCTTGCCCCATACTCTTTTTTTTCTCACGCTCTACTCTCTCCCTCTCTTTCACGCTCTACTCTCTCCCTCTGTATGTCTCTTGCCATAATAATAATAATGATTATCTCTGTGTATAGGAGTTCGCAGTGGACAGGACTCAGTTCCTGCCTCCCTGGGTGCTGTACTTCAGCGGCTGCGAGGAGAGAGACCGCCTACTCGAGGCGCTAGAGAGTGCCTGGAGAGACATTTTCCAGGTAAGGGAAAGATGGATCGAAGAGGAAGGGTTTTGAGAGGCAAGGATCACGGTAAAAGGATCAGCTCAATAACATGATTTTCTTGTGTCTGTCTCTCTCTTGCTCTCTTTGTCTCTCACACTTTCTTTTCAACCCTCTTTCTTTTCTTTTCTTGTGATGAAGGTGTGTCTGCCTCGTAGGAGGGTGTCAGAGCCGTCGGTGCAGAAGCGTTGTGGCGAGGCCTTGGCTCTGATGAGGAGCGCCTGGCAGAGGAGTGACAGCCTGGCCCGGGGACGTGCCCAGAGAGAGCCCTGGTGCTGACAGAGAGACAGACAGGTGGATGGACAGATAGGACAAAAGGCTTTCACTACCACTCCTATTCCTACTTCACACATCAGGGTCGTAGTCAATCGCATTCAAATGTTGTCAATTCTGGAAGTGAATAGAAAATGTACCATTATTTTCTATGTGGGTTTTTTCAATTGTCAAATTGAATTTCTACTGGGTGACTGAGTTTGAATGGAATTCACACCGAACCTGTTACATATAATTATGACAACAGCCATATAGATAGAGGGAAACACACACTCCGTTGTGCGTACATTATCAAGAGTATACGGTAAGTTAAGCATACGAGGACGTGTCTTCATGGGATGTTGCGAGACAGAATCTCAGTTCACACTCCTGGACATGCACAAATATGTATGTAGGGCTGTGACAGTCATGGCATTTTGGATGACGGTTATTGGTCAGCCAAATGACCGCGGTCAAAAAAAAGGTGTATATAAAAAAACATTTTCTCCTCTGCTCCTGACTGCATGTGCTGCTGCTGCAAGGGGGGGGGTCGTTGCCTAGGCAACTAAAGACTTGGTTGCTACAACACCTTGGCCTGTTTCAGCAAGGCATAACAAAGTTTAATCACGTTGTAAAGAGTCCATGTTACCGCTGAAACGGACTCAACTGCACAGATGCCTGCGGTCTTCAGTCAGCTGTTCATTCAACAAAATAAATACATATATATTTCTTTACCGTTATTTTATTTTCATGACGGTCTTCATCCATAATCGTCTGTTACACGATTACACGGTAGTTGTGCCAGCCCTATATGTATTTATGTTCTGCTTGACTTTCCTCTTGTCGTCGAGTCGGCCGTTAGGGGAGGAGGTACACTCGTTATAAAATAAGACTCACATATGAGGTTCTTTTGAACCTTAACTTATGAATACCTCAAACAAAACCCTTCTCTCCCATGCATAGGTTTTGATAGTTAATTTTCGGTCACTTGAAGTGGATTCACTATTAGTTACAGCACTCTTCTATTGCCTTTGTCGGCCATCTTGGTTTACAATTGGGTTTTCCACCTTTTTGTTATGTCGGGTTGGATGGTCAAAGTCAGTATTAAAGTATCAGAGCGGGGAATGGTCAAACCTAGCATGGATACACTTTTAACAAGAAGGATGAGAGTAGAGCGTAACTTGCTGTTGAATGTGAGATTGCACATTGCTTTTGGGTTTCGGCCGTGGTGATTTTGTTTGAAGGTACAGATAAGTTCATTGGGGTTCTGTGCGAAGTTCATGTTCAGTGCTGCTTTTAAATCTAAGCACAAATGGGAGCAAATAGTTGTTAATTTGTAACACGACTTGTTATGTGAGTCTAATTGTATAACATTTATAAAGGGGGATATGTTTGGTTTGTTATAGTCATTTGGCACAGACCTCTATCCTCTATGAGGGGAGTGTCTGTCATTGCATTTGATGTGTTGCGTATGGCCTGGTCAAGATGTGGGATATGTCAATGTTAGTGTGTTCTACGACAGGTGGAGGTGTCAGTGCATCCCTACTTTATTACACACCCTGTAGTTTTAATGTTGCTATGGAAGCTCTGTTGAGCAATGACAGACCATTGCTTTTAGTGCAGTAGTTATAGTACAACCAGTCCATATGCATTAGTAAATGAAGAAAAATCCGGTTGACTAGAGATGACACTACTTTATTCATATGACTTGTATTCGCATTAATCCAATTTACCGTTAAAGAATGTATCCCCTACCTCATACATAATTAAGTGCAAAACATCCTCACATTTGTTTGACAATGTAGCTAATTATTTATGTAGACGTGCAATATCAAAGTAAGATTTTTGTTGCTGTTGACACGGGTAATTTATCCAATGCCATGGCTATCCTGGAATTGCTCAAGTGCAGAATGATGCTAAAACTTTGTGTTACTTTAAAATGTATGGCAAACAGAAAACCAATGATTGCAAAGTTAAACAAACCATACAACTCTATGCACTAGGACTACTTTTAACAGTTTCCACAGAACATTTGACAAAAACACATACTTGAACAGTAAATGTAAATGTGTTTCTGTCAAATTTTCAATTAACATTTTTAAAAGTCGTCATTGAGCATAGAGTTTTATGGTTTGTTTAATTTTGCAGTCATTGGTTTTTGTTTACCATAGATTTTTAAGGTGAAAAATCTGAGTCTCAGGATCACTCTGTTACTGAGGAATTTCCCTCAATCATCAGGAGAAGGTTTCTGGAGGCTTTCAGTTTCATTGCCTGTTGCTCCTAATAATCATGTGGCCTCAGGCCCAATTTTGACCAAATAAAGCACTATTCTTGAATGTGGCCTTATACTGCTGCTGGGTTCTAATCGAACATGGTTAACTATCAGTGAAATTAATTCGCAGGTTTGTGAATACACACTCAATGTGTGTGTTCCCTGTCTTCCATTTGCATTATAGGAATAGGCGTAATCACTAAACATTTTCTCTGCTTTGAGCATTTTAAGTGCCACGTGGTCTTGCCTCTATTCTGCTGTTTCTGTAGGCGTGGGAAGCCGACATCCCAGAATTTTGCATCAGGTTAGAAATGGTCAAATTTATTGAAATGTAGTAGCCTAGATCCCATGCAAAAAAGACCCAACACCTCAAGCCAGGGAAACCATGTCCTCCATTTTAGTTTCAACTGACTTCTGTCATTTTTTATCCCCTTTCTTTTGTTGGTACTTATCCCTTAGTTTTCTAAGCAGTGGCGTTCGAGAGCACACTGGAAGTAAGAATGTTAAAGTCTGATCTGGAGAAATGTACAATTGCGATACATATAAGTATTTGAAAAGTTTGTCAATATTTGATTGAGGAAAGGAAATATGAAGGATCTTGGAATCATATCCAGAGTTAAGTGAAGTTTGTCCTTATGAACAGTAATTTAAATGTTGGACATTGCTGGCCAATGGTGGATTACATCTTTTGATTGACTACTTGTGAAAATAAAATAGTTTTTACATTTGTTTTTATATCTATATATATATTGTATTATGTTTAGCTGTCTTTTTTTTATTTGAAGTGTATAAAACGATAATGGGATTACTCTATTGTATGCTAACCCGTGATCACACTAAAACCTGCATGTATTGAGTGTTTTTATATTGCTGATAACGAATGTACAAAAAAAACTTGTGAATAGGACAACATGAATAAAAAAATTCAAACCATAGCTTTTCAAAAACAAGTATTTGTATTGTTTTAATGACCTTTAATACAGGTGTTCCAAGCAAAGTTATTGAACAAAGTCCCTGCCGTCTGTGGATGGCTGGCTTGTAACCATGACTATGGAGAGTAAGGACTAGGCTATTCCCTCAACAGCCTTTTCCCGCTTTTCTTTTGGTTTCCTGTTTTGCTTCGGTTTAGTTTTGCTGTGTTGTTGTTTGGATTTTAGTTTCTTGTGTTTCTTTTAAATGAATATATGGCGCCTTTGGGTCTTTGAAAGCGCTATGTAAATCCCATGTATCTATGTACCGGTATGTAGCAGTTATTAACTGAGTGGTTACTGCTTCATGAGGGATACCATGTCCACAAGCCCCCATACCCCCTTGGCACTTGTAGATCAGAAAGGATTGGATAGCTAGGTATAAGAAATATGGCACTGAACAGCTTGATACAAAACTTTGATACATTACAGATTGTGATCATTGTATCTCTGAATGGAAAATAGGCTAATAATAACGTGAAACAATCTCACAAATCAGTTGCAAAGAGTGATTGGCATGTCTATATCCTCAATTGTCATTGTCTCTCCAATTCGCAAAGTTTCAACGAGGATTGTACCCCAACACCAAAACCAGGATACAGTGGCTCTGAGAAGTCCTCTGACAAAAAACTATGGAGCAGAATCATGGAGTCCGAGATGCTGTAAAAAGACAGAGTTCCTGCTTTGTGATCTAAATACACTGCTATTCTAGGGGAGGAGATTTTGGCAGCGATCTTGGTTTCAATGTTATCGTGCCATGCTGAGTAATTGGTGTCAGAGCACTGTAAGCTCCATGACTTTACATTGTACCCCAGCCCACACTCTAGTCCCCTGCCTTTCCTCTGAATGCTCTCATAGGTCACTCCAATGAACACTCCTTTGCCTCTCCAATCTGCCTCCCAGTAGTAACGGGCACCGGTCAAGCCCTCCCAGCACAGCACTTGTTCCCAGAAGTCAAAGGTCTTCGGGAGACGTGACCTGGTCCTGGACTTGACCAGAGTCACCTTGCGATTCTGGTCAGAGAAGCACAAGTTTCTATGTGCTGTATCAGGGTCTAGAGTGAGTTGACAAGCATCTGTGAACAAAAAGAGAAACCAGTCTTCACTATTCAGGTTTTTCTCTTTCACATTCCTTCTTGTTACAACTAGACTTACTGTACATGCAAACCCATAACTCTGTCACGACTCACAGTGTAAGAAATCGGATCTGGTCTTTGGAATCCCAAATATGATATCTCTGTTCACTGGAGAGACAAGTGAGTGTTAGTATTTTAGTTAACTGATTGGACATTAGACTAGTAGAGCCACTACTTTAGGGTCCACATTCACCAACGATAATGACCTTCAATCCAAAGGAGCTTTATTATTCTGCAGCAAAAAGAGTGATACACTTACTGCTCCATGCTCTTCGCAATGGCACCGGTGGCATTGGCTGGCATTCAGAATGGGCTCTTCTCACTTGAAGAAAAAGTGGAAAATCCATGATTTTAATTTAATTATTTGGTGTGCAGGAAAAAGGACTAGAGGCAAATGTCTTACCTTGCCTGCCCTGAGGTTTGGTCATGGGTACTGGAGATTCCAAAATGTACACATTTGCAACTGCGAAGGGGATCAAGAAATGCCCAAATAGGTTATTGTAAGTTTGTATTCTTGTATTATCTTTCCATTTAAACAGAACCCTGCAGCATTTGATAATTCATAGACTGAAGCAAATCCCACCGCTGCCACCAATTTCATGAGTAAAACGTTTAGGGTACCTTACTAACCTGCTTGTTCGATCTTTTCTAATAAGTCAACATTCATGTCCTCAAGCAGCTCCTTGAATTCAGTGATAATTGATGTCACAACTCCAAATGAATGTCTTTCACTGATAACACTAGGTTCACGATACGGCAGCAGGTTGATGGGCTGCCACCTCTACAGAGACCAGAGAAGCATTAATCAATGAGTGAGTTTTTTTTCTCTTTTGGTATAATTTCAGTTTTTGGTCTCGTATCTTCCTTATTATGTACTGTCATGAAACCAATAACTGGCCTGCTAATATTGTTGCACTCACTAAGTTTAGCGGTCTTAGGCCTAGTTAACTGGTCTGTAACCTGATTTGATGTGTGCATAAATGTGAGAAGTAAGCGTATGCAACGAGGTGTTGAATGTACATGCGCCCATGAGACTGCCACCTTACTTTAGGCCCAGGGCCAGCTCCTTCTTGACCTCTTGGTCGGCCAGTCCAAGCGGATTGTTATTTGTTCAGATGGTGACGAAACATAAATATGTACAAAAATAAAATAAACTAAGGCATGCCCAAAGAACCAGCAGCCGCACGGCTTCTCCAGCTGGGATCCTCTTATGCTGCGTTTAGATGAGTGATGCAAAAACCGTCATACCAGTCAGCATAGGGGGACAAGAAAACAAGAAAGAGGGTGACTGCAAAAGCAAGCCAGCACAACGGTATGCGTTGTTATGGTGATTTCAGTTAACAAACAGTGCAAATCAACATCCAGTAGAAAACAACGCTATGGCAGAAGTTGAAATATTTTAACTCTTGCGGCAAGTCCCGTCTACCGTGGCGGCTGACGACATTCACCGCCAGCCTCAACGGCATTTACCGTCATGTTCTCATTGAAAACAGTGACATCCTGTTTGCTGTCTACCGTCTACCTCGTACCATCTAAATGCAGCATTAATTGCGTGCTCCTGTCGGCTTATAAAGGCTTGGCTCAGCATTTAGACCCTGTTGGTGCTACCACTGGGGGATGGAGTGTGGAAGTGTATTCTGGTAGAGTATGTGTGTCCCCCTCCCAAGAGAGACCTTACCTGGAGAAAAAGTATGCTGTCTTGTGTTTGGGCGAGTTTCTCCAGATCGCTGTTTCTCCTTTGCAGTGTTGTGATGTCCTGTCTCAGTCGTGTCTCTGCGCTCGCTGCCTGAGCAGCCAAAGTCTTCTCCCTATCTTTGATGGAGTCCCTCACCTCTGCTCTCCTCTTCTCTAGGGAGTGGATCAGCTCAACGAAGATCATGTCGTTGAGCTCCACTGCAGCTTGTGCAGATCCCTACAGGGAGTACAGTATACAGTCAGACATGGGCTCTATTCCAATATCCACTCTACCATAGTACTACTTAGCAATGGTCCGAGGATGCATTCTAAGTGGTATGTTAGTATGAGAATGGGAACCTACATATCATCATGTTCTGTTGAGTCGACAGCATCCTAGTTGTTTTAGTCAATTATTTAATGTCATCATCATTTTGGAAAATACAGTTGTAGTCGGAAGTTTACTTACACCTTAGCCAAATACCTTTCAACTCAGTTTTTCACAATTCCTGACATTTAATCCTAGTAAAAATTCCCTGTCTTAGGTCAGTTAGGATCACCACTTTATTTTAAGAATGTGAAATGTCAGAATAGAAGACCTCCCTACAACGCCTGGGCATGCTCCTGATGAGGTGGCGGATGGTCTCCTGAGGGATCTCCTCCCAGACCTGGACTAAAGCATCCGCCAACTCCTGGACAGTCTGTGGTGCAACGTGGCGTTGGTGGATGGAGCGAGACATGATGTCCCAGATGTGCTCAATTGGATTCAGGTCTGGGGAACGGGCGGGCCAGTCCATAGCATCAATGCCTTCCTCTTGCAGGAACTGCTGACACACTCCAGCCACATGAGGTCTAGCATTGTCTTGCATTAGGAGGAACCCAGGGCCAACCGCACCAGCATATGGTCTCACAAGGGGTCTGAGGATCTCATCTCGGTACCTAATGGCAGTCAGGCTACCTCTGGCGATCACATGGAGGCCCCCCAAGGAAATGCCACCCCACACCATGACTGACCCACCGCCAAACCGGTCATGCTGGAGGATGTTGCAGGCAGCAGAACGTTCTCCACGGCGTCTCCAGACTCTGTCACGTCTGTCACATGTGCTCAGTGTGAACCTGCTTTCATCTGTGAAGAGCACAGGGCGCCAGTGGCGAATTTGCCAATTTTGGTGTTCTCTGGCAAATGCCAAACGTCCTGCACGGTGTTGGGCTGTAAGCACAACCCCCACCTGTGGACGTCGGGCCCTCATACCACCCTCATGGAGTCTGTTTCTAACCGTTTGAGCAGACACATGCACATTTGTGGCCTGCTGGAGGTCATTTTGCAGGGCTCTGGCAGTGCTCCTCCTGCTCCTCCTTGCACAAAGGCGGAGGTAGCGGTCCTGCTGCTGGGTTGTTGCCCTCCTACGGCCTCCTCCACGTCTCCTGATGTACTGGCCTGTCTCCTGGTAGCGCCTCCATGCTCTGGACACTACGCTGACAGACACAGCAAACCTTCTTGCCACAGCTCGCATTGATGTGCCATCCTGGATGAGCTGCACTACCTGATCCACTTGTGTTGGTTGTAGACTCCGTCTCATGCTACCACTAGAGTGAAAGCACCGCCAGCATTCAAAAGTGACCAAAACATCAGCCAGGAAGCATAAGTGGTCTATGGTCACCACCTGCAAAACCAGTCCTTTATTGGGGGTGTCTTGCTAATTGCCTATAATTTCCACCTGTTGTCTATTCCATTTGCACAACAGCATGTGAAATTTATTGTCAATCAGTGTTGCTTCCTAAGTGGACAGTTTGATTTCACAGAAGTGTGATTGACTTGGAGTTACATTGTGTTGTTTAAGTGTTCCCTTCATTTTTTTGAGCAGTGTATTTGGTAGCATTGCCTTTAAATTGTTTAACTTGGGTCAAACATTTCGGGTTGCCTTCCACAAGCTTCCCACAATAAGTTGGTTGAATTTTGGCCCATTCCTCCTGACAGGGTTGGTGTAACTGAGTCAGGTTTGTAGGCTACCTTGCTCGCACACGCTTTTTCAGCTCTGCCCACAAGTGTTCTATAGGATTGAGGTCAGGGCTTTGTGATGGCCACTCCAATACCTTGACTTTGTTGTCCTTAAGCCATTTTGGCACAACTTTGGAAGTATGCTTGGGGTCATTGTCCATTTGCAAGACCCATTTGCGACTAAGCTTTAACTTCCTGACTGATGTCTTGAGATGTTGCTTCAATATATCCAATAATTTCCCTTCCTCATGATGCCATCTATTTTGTGAAGTGCACCAGTCCCTCCTGCAGCAAAGCACCCCCACAGCATGATGCTGCCACCCCCGTGCTTCACGGTTGGGATGGTGTTCTTCGGCTTGCAAGCATCCCCCTTTTTCCTCCAAACATAACAATGGTCATTATGGCCAAACAGTTATATTTTTGTTTCATCAGACCAGCGGACATTTCTCCAAAAAGTACGATCTTTGTCCCCATGTGCAGTTGCAAACCATAGTCTGGCTTTTTTATGACGGTTTTGGAGCCGTGGCTTCTTCCTTGCTGAGCGGCCTTCCAGGTTATGTCGATATAGGACTCGTTTTACTGTGGATATAGATACTTTTGTACCTGTTTCCTCCAGCATCTTCACAAGGTCCTTTGCTGTTGTTCTGGGATTGATTTGCAGTTTTCGCACCAAAGTACATTCATCTCTAAGAGACAGAACGCATCTCCTTCCTGAGCGGTATGACGGCTGTGTGGTCCCATGGTGTTTATACTTGTGTACTATTGTTTGTACAGATGAACGTGGTACCTTCAGGCGTTTGGAAATTGCTCCCAAGGATGAACCAGACTTGTGGAGTTCTACAATTTTTCTTCTGAGGTCTTGGCAGATTTCTTTTAGATTTTCCCATGATGTCAAGCAAAGAGGCACTAGGTTTGAAGGTAGGTCTTGAAATACATCCACAGGTACACCTCCAATTGACTCAAATGATGTCAATTAGCCTATCAGAAGCTTCTAAAACCATGATGACATTTTCTGGAATTTTCCAAGCTGTTTAAAGGCACAGTCAACTTAGTGTATGTAAACTTCTGACCCACTGGAATTGTGATACAGTGAATTATAAGTGAAATTATCTGTCTGTAAACAATTGTTGGAAAAATTACTTGTGTCATGCCAAAACTATAGTTTGTTAACAAGAAATTTGTGGAGTGGTTGAAAAACGAGTTTTAATGACTCCAACCTAAGTTTATGTAAACTTCCGACTTCAACTGTAGGGTACGTTAATGAGGAGGACCATCCTCCTCCCTGGACGAGCCTCCACTGCTACAGCATGCCGAAGGGTGGTGTTATAATGGCTTGTGATACAAGATTCATTAATGTATGTAAAACTCATAAGATGTACAGTGGGGAAAAAAAGTATTTAGTCAGCCACCAATTGTGCAAGTTCTCCCACTTAAAAAGATGAGAGAGGCCGGTAATTTTCATCATAGGTACACGTCAACTATGACAGACAAATTGAGAAATGTTTTTCCAGAAAATCACATTGTAGGATTTTTAATGAATTTATTTGCAAATTATGGTGGAAAATAAGTATTTGGTCACCTACAAACAAGCAAGATTTCTGGCTCTCACAGACCTGTAACTTCTTCTTTAAGAGGCTCCTCTGTCCTCCACTCGTTACCTGTATTAATGGCACCTGTTTGAACTTGTTATCAGTATAAAAGACACCTGTCCACAACCTCAAACAGTCACACTCCAAACTCCACTATGGCCAAGACCAAAGAGCTGTCAAAGGACACCAGAAACAAAATGGTAGACCTGCACCAGGCTGGGAAGACTGAATCTGCAATAGGTAAGCAGCTTGGTTTGAAGAAATCAACTGTGGGAGCAATTATTAGGAAATGGAAGACATACAAGACCACTAATAATCTCCCTCGATCTGGGGCTCCACGCAAGATCTCACCCCGTGGGGTCAAAATGATCACAAGAACGGTGAGCAAAAATCCCAGAACCACACAGGGGGACCTAGTGAATGACCTGCAGAAAGCTGGGACCAAAGTAACAAAGCCTACCATCAGTAACACACTACGCCGCCAGGGACTCAAATCCTGCAGTGCCAGACGTGTCCCCTTGCTTAAGCCAGTACATGTCCAGGCCCGTCTGAAGTTTGCTAGAGTGCATTTGGATGATCCAGAAGAGGATTGGGAGAATGTCATATGGTCAGATGAAAGCAAAATATAACTTTTTGGTTAAAACGCAACTCGTCGTGTTTGGAGGACAAAGAATGCTGAGTTACATCCAAAGAACACCATACCTACTGTGAAGCATGGGGGTGGAAACATCATGCTTTGGGGCTGTTTTTCTGCAAAGGGACCAGGACGACTGATCCGTGTAAAGGAAAGAATGAATGGGGCCATGTATCGTGAGATTTTGAGTGAAAACCTCCTTCCATCAGCAAGGGCATTGAAGATGAAACGTGGCTGGGTCTTTCAGCATGACAATGATCCCAAACACACCGCCCGGGCAACAAAGGAGTGGCTTCGTGAGAAGCATTTCAAGGTCCTGGAGTGGCCTAGCCAGTCTCCAGATCTCAACCCCATAGAAAATCTTTGGAGGGAGTTGAAAGTCCGTGTTGCCCAGCGACAGCCCCAAAACATCACTGCTCTAGAGGAGATCTGCATGGAGGAATGGGCCAAAATACCAGCAACAGTGTGTGAAAACCTTGTGAAGACTTACAGAAAATGTTTGACCTGTGTCATTGCCAACAAAGGGTATATAACAAAGTATTGAGAAACGTTTGTTATTGACCAAATACTTATTTTCCACCATAATTTGCAAATAAATTCATTAAAAATCCTACAATGTGATTTTCTGGAATTTCTTTCCTCATTTTGTCTGTCATAGTTGACGTGTACCTATGATGAAAATTACAGGCCTCTCTCATCTTTTTAAGTGGGAGAACTTGCACAATTGGTGGCTGACTAAATACTTTTTTCCCCCACTGTATGTGAGGGAGAGAGGACAAGGACACGCCATGTGTCACGAGTGATTAACAGAAGGTCTGCGTGCCAAGATAGGTTGGGGGCCACTTGTGCTAATCTTAGAAATTGTATATGATGGAATGGCCTGGCTAGGGTGACATACAATACCAAGTATGAGGATGCTATTGTGGTAGATGAGTGATGATTGGCAGATGTTGGAAGAAGCAGCTCGGAGAGCATTATATAAACTGATAGATTTTGTATGGAAGTCATTCATATGGCAGGAGGCTACGTCCGTACCGCCTGTCATTGAGTCCATTATTGTAACTATTTAATAATGACTGAATCAACTCCCCATATGAGTGTCGACTACTCTCTTGCATCGTGAACTTCTCGATACCAGAAACTCATCATAACAGATGGCAAACTGAATGGTGGCTCAGTAATGTTGTCTACTTTTTTGTAACTCACTTTAAGAGATCCCGCAGCCTCTCCTAGATGTGTCAGCAGCTCCTCTCTCATCTGGAGTTTACCGTTGGATTTTCTCTGTTCCACTGCCAGCAGTGCCTTAAGGAACAACCCCATACATTTCAGTTAATCAGGCCATAAGAATTCTCACTCCAACATGCTATATGGTAGGCCATACTGACCTAAGAACAGTAGGTTTGAGTTAGAACTGTTTTCAAAACATTGCATACTGTCCCACACCTACCACTCTCTTTCCAACAGATCATACTTTAATTTACTTTAAATGTTCCACTTGTGCATATCTAGAGGACTTGTTCATGGAGCTACTCACTGACAATATTTATCTAATTATCCACATACAAATGAAAACCCACCTGCTGCTTGACCCGTTCGGTCTCAGCAGAGACAGTTTTGTGGCTTTTGTGTTCCTCGACTGCACACAGAGAACAGATACACTTCATCTCAAGTCTGCAGTACATGTCCAGCGGTTTGTTATGCTGGGGACACAGCTTCTCCAGCTGCAGCTCCTTGACCACCAAACCCACCAGAGTGTGCTGCTGTAACAGAGGGATATCCAGGTGGGCTCTAAGGTGAGACTGGCAGTAGGACAGCTTACACTCCCGACAGGCCCTGACAGCCTTTGCCTTCCTCCCGGCCTCTAGAAGAGTGCACACGTCACACACCACGTCTTCAGGCCCGGCGTACGGATACCCAGGAGGGGTATCGAGTAAAGTAGTCTTCTTTAGCTTCTCCACCATCTTTTCCAGCATTGAGTTCTTAGTCAGTGTGGGGCGCCTGCTGAATGTCTCTCGGCAGTAAGGACAGCAGGAAACCTTGTTGCTGCTGCTGCTACTACCGCTCTCATCCCAGCATTTTCTGATACAGTCGATGCAGAAGTTGTGTCCACATGGAAGAGTTGTAGGGTCTGTCAGGATGTATAAACAGACTGGACAGCTGATGTCCTCCCTTGTCCACAGATTAGAGGCCATTTTGTCAGAGTGAATAAAAAATTATGAATACTGTTGTTTTATAACACCGGTTCAGCAGGAAGATTTGTGACTAATGTTACCTATCAGGAAGTGCGGCAACTTGAAGCATTCAGGACTCATGAGTGAGGAACCAGTTTGAGAATGCACGCATCACTTTTGGAATGCAGTTGTACTGTGTAAGCTTTGGCTAGTTTCCTCATTCTTGGCTGGTGGTTGGTGTCATGGTAACTGTATTTACTATATAAAAGATGACATTGTTTTTTTTAATGAGCACTAAGGATCTGTCGTTCCTCTTTTGTAAAAGCAGGAGTCCCAGCACGATTGGCACTGACACTGTCTCCCCCTCCTCCTCTCCCCATCCTCTCTCCTCCTCCCTATCCCCTTCTCAAATCTAGAAGCTTCCTAGAAGCTTAGCTTTATAACCCCTCTCCAGCGATTGTTAATACTTCACACTACCCCCACCCCCTTCCACCTCTCTCGCTCCCTATGTTGTGACTGCAGTAATGGGGGGAAGGGGTAGAGATGGAAAGCAGCAGATGAAAAGCAAAAACCAAGAAGCACATGGGTTCTTCTGAATCAGAAAATCTCTGCAATTTTGGGGCATGAAAAATCGATCCCAATCCAACTAACAAAGCCGCACCCTGGTCCCTTATGGTTAGACCGTATCTATGTACTGGCATATTGGCAGTACTGATAAGTGACTTGGCTGTGAGAGAGGTGTGGCCATGCTGAAGGGGCTGGGCTTCTGCTAATGGCAATAATTCATTATTCATGAGTATGTGCCAGTGCGAGAACCAATACACATATTGTGTGTATTAATGAAGACTGGGGCAGGACACTCCGACAGGAAGATCAGAAAAGTCCCCCCCATTTCATATGCCCTACAGCACTCTCTCCCTACCCTATAAAATCCTAGTAATTGGGTGTTACATTATTTACTGGCGTGGGGGCATGTGCATGTTTCCTCTGCTGAAAGTTGATGGAGCAAAACTCGGCTGCTTTTTTGCTGGGAGGATTACGGTATCCCACTCTGTTCGGCTCTCTCCCAGTGGAGGGAGGAGAGAAGGATGCAGAGAGAGGAGAGAAGGCAGAGATTACTGCAGATCCACCCGTTCTTCCCTTCCATTTCCAGCCCCCTCTCCACTGAGGTAGAAGTATCATCCTTTCCTTTCCCCGCTCCACTGGAATACCATATCCATTCTTCCTCTTCATTTTGATCAGATTTGAATGATAGCAATTTATTAATTATTTAAAACATTGCATGTGTACCTTCATCAGTGTGGGAGTGTCTAGGTACGGTACATGTGACATACAGTGTGTATGTTTATGCCTGTATGTTGTGTTTGGTGGGCCTTTGTGCAGACTGACTACAGACTGACACTCGCAGACCCTCCTCGTCTTCTTCACCATGCTAAGGAAGGGCTCGGAGTTGTTCCTGGCCACAGGAAGTGACAGGGAGGTGCTGTTGGATCTGGACTACGTGACGGGCGATCGGGGCGAACCCCAAACCACAGACCGCTATGGGAGTCTGCAGAACGGGGGCTTCATCCCACCAAGATGTGTAAGTATCCCCCACTCCCTCCCTGATCTCATCCTATTGCTGATGACCTGGAATGTTGAATGTTGCAGTACATCTTGAATGGGGTTTCTTACTGATTTGACTTCAAGTATTCTCCTCCTAGTTGTACTGATGTCGATATGATCTGAAAGATCATTGGCACTAAAAGCAGTATTTTCATTTTGACTAGAATGCTATTTTACGGTGATGTGATCTGGAATCCATATTGCGAATAGAAGCTTTTATGCTGTTGCCTATTGCAGTAGCTACAGAGTTAATACAGTTTTCTTGTCCTTTTTGTTTATCTGCTATGTAAATTGACTTTGTTATTGACCACTATGTAATGGAAATATTTTCAGCTTTCATCTGCAGTGGCTGCTTCTGATGAAGAGGATAATGATGAACCCATCTATGTGTGCTGCGATAGAACGAGTAGCCAACTGGCACAACCCCTAGGAGGGAACTACTTCAGAGATGGAAGAACCAAAATAGGTGCTTTTTAAGCCTTTTGTATATCTATACAATATTACATTCTATTTTATTTAGGTTAAATTGACTTGAATGTTTAACAAGTTGAATTGAATATGACATGTTTTACATTGCGTTTGTAATATATCCAATACAACTGAAATGCAAGATAGTCAGTAGAGACCAGCGCTCTCCAACTTCAGTCCTAGAGAGTTAATGGTTATGCAGGCTTTTTTTCCAACCCAGCACTAAGACACCTGTTTCAAATAATCATGGTCTTCACGCTGGACTTTCATCATTTGAATCAGGTGTGTTAGTGCATGGCTGGAATAAAAGCCTGCACACCCAGTAGCTTTCCAGGAACAGAGTGGCAGGTCCCTGGCAAGTAAGTAGCCTCTCACAAGCCTTTGCTTGTGCGAGCTGGAACGACTCATAGGAGCAGAAGCCTACCTCCTGTTTCTGTAGCATGAGGCAGCTTGATGTACGTACAAGCACACCCCCTGGATAGGACCTAGTTTATCGCAGGGCCTTAACCCCAATCTATCTCCTTAATGCTGAGTGCCAAGCAGAGATGCATTGGATCCCAGTTTTACAGTCTTTTGTATGACTCGTCCGGAGATCGAACTCCCAACCTTCCATTCTCAGGGTGAACACTAACCACAGGCCCACTGAGTTGGTCCATATCCTTGGTAACAGACAGTATAAAGAACAAGCCACCAATCAAACTCTAACCTGTGGCTTTGTCTGGCTGAACCTGAATCAGACTTTGTTCTAGTGTGGGAGGTGAAACGGAGAAAGAGGGGGAGATGGGAGACCAGCAGTCAGGGGGTGGTCGGGGGCGGGCCAGAGGAGGGAAGCAGCAGGTCTGAACGGAGAAAGGCTCAGCTGGCTCGATGGCGGGACAAATTCACCCAAAACCTGCAGATTGCCGGCCTGCTGCTGGAAAAGGTAACATAATTGTTATGATGTACACTTCTAGATCACCTAGCTCAACAAGTGGTTAGATCGTGTTCCTACTTTCCCAATAACATTGTATTTGTATGTTACCGTAGAGAGGACAATTGTTCCTTCTTAATGCTAATGCTCTGTTGACAGTTCTACTGGTCAATCTAATACTGTACTAAATAATTCATAATTTTGTGACTGTTCTGTAATTGTTTGGCATTAGGATGAGACAGCGAGCGTGAAAACATCTATCCATTATCTGAAACTTAGCGCCCCCTGGGATGTGTTGGTTTATTACGCAGAGGAGCTCATTCAAAGAGCGCCCCTACAGGTCAGTGCTAGTGCTACACTTTACGGTAGTGCAAAATATAGTAGTATAGAATACGGTAACACCAATACTATGGTGTGTTAAGTGTTACGAAGAACATTGTTTTTATGTCGCAGGCCCAACCAAACCCGGACTTCAACACGTCTGACCGGATCCTGCATTCCCAACGTCATGGCGCAGTCCATGCCCAACAGGCCACTGGACTACTACACTTGTGCCTTTCGCAAGTCAAAGATGGAGAAGTGAGTCCCTACATCCATCCCGGAAACTTCCTGATGTCGGTTTTGATTGAGGATTCTCAAACTTTAGTTGAACCACATTGCGTGCTGATCCTCATAGAGCTCTCTGTTACTGTATGTGTGTAAATGACTACAGGTTTAACTTGGCTCTGTTTGTCCCTTCTCAGGTTCATCGGCTTTGAGGACCATGACACTTACTTCACTAACACACAGAGACACCATATAGTGAGTGCATCCATTGACTTTTTTATATCTTTACCCATATGTTGTGTAACGATGGACGTACCCCAGATATACACTGAGTGTACAAAACATTAAGAACACCTTCCTAATATTGAGTTCCAACCCCCCCTTTTTCCCATAGAACAGCCTCAATTCATCGGGGCATGGATTCTACAAGGTGTCAAGCGTTCCACAGGGATGCTGGCCCATGTTGACTCCAACGCTTCCCACAGCTGTCAAGTTGGCTGGATGTCCTTTGGGTGGTGGACCATTCTTGATACACATGGAAAACTGTTGAGCGTGAAAAACACAGCAGCGTTGCAGTCCTTGATTCAAACCGGTGCTCCTGGCACCTACTACCATACCCCGTTCAAAGGCACTTAAACCATTTGCCTTGCCCATTCACCCTCTGAATGGCACACATACAAAATCCATGTCTCAATTGTCGCGAGGCTTAAAAATCCTCCCCTTCATCTACACTGATTTAAGTGGATTTAACAAGTGACATCAATTAGGGATCATAGCTTTCACCTGGTCAGTCTATGCCATGGAAAGCAGGTGTTCTTAATGTTTTGGGTACTCAGTGTAGATGGACATATATAGGCCTACCGACAGTGCCTTCGGAAATTATTCAGACCCCTTGACTTTTTCCACAATTTGTTACGTTACAGCCTTATTCTAAAATTGATTAAATTGTTTTTCCCCTCATCAATCTACACACAATACCCCATAATGACAAAGCAAAAACAGGTTTTTAGAAAATTTTGCAAATGTATACAAAAATAATAATTGAAATATCACATTTACATAAATATGAGCTTTACACAGTACTTTGCTGAAGCACCTTTGGCAGCAATTACAGACTCAAGTCTTCTTGGGTATGACGCTACAAGCTTGGCACACCTGTATTTGGGGAGTTTCTCCCATTCTTCTCTGCAGATCCTCTCAAGCTCTGTCAGGTTGGATGGGGAGCGTCGCTGCACAGCTATTTTCAGGTCTCTATTTTCAAGTCCGGGCTCTGACTGGGCCACTCAAGGACATTCAGAAACTTGTCCCAAAGCCACTCCTGCATTGTCTTGGCTGTGTGCTTAGGGTTGTTGTCCTGTTGGAAGGTGAACCTTCACTCCAGTCTGAGGTCCTGAGTGCTCTGGAGCAGGTTTTCATCAAGGATCTCTCTGTACTTTGTTCCGTTCATCTTTTCCTCGATCCTGACTAGTCTCCCAGTCCCTGCCGCTGAAAAACATCCCCACCATGCTGCCACCACCATGTTTCTCCGTAGGGATGGGGCCAGGATTCCTCCAGACTTGACGCTTGGCATTCAGGCCAAAGGATTCGATCTTGGTTTCATGAGACCAGAGAATCTTGTGCCAAGCTTGTAGCGTCAAACCCAAGACGACGCAATGCTGTAATCGTTGCCAAAGGTGCTTCAACAAAGTGCTGAGTAAAGGGTCTGAATACTTATGTAAATGTGATATTTTATTTTATTTTAGTATTTTTAATAAATTAGCAAAGATTTCTAAAAAACTGTTTTTGCATTGTCATCATGGTGTATTGTGTGTAGATTGATGAGGGGAAAATTTTGGAAAAAGTCAAGGGGTCCGAATGCGCTGTATATGTGGTCAAATAGGCTCTACGTCAACCTATGTCATTCTTATATGGCCAACTGGCAGTCCATGGCAGGTGTATGAGCTTCTGGCGAGGACGGTGTACGGCAAGAGGAAGCGAGCGGAGATGGGCGTGGCTCGACTGCTCAACGAGGGGGCGTACACTGCAGCGTTTCCCTTGCATGAGGTCAGACACATTCTTAATGTACCGCCACGCGCAAAGACGTGCCTATTACAGTAGTCTGTGTTAAATGTGTGTGTATGTGCACATGTGTGTGTGCTTGCATCCATGTGCGCGTGTGCGTGTACATGTGTTTGTGTGTGCGGCAAGTGTGTTTGTGTGTGTGCATGCGTACATGCATACCTGTGTGTGTGTTTCTCAGGGCCCCTTTGAGCTGCCAGCGTATGAGGTATGTCCAGATGAGCTCAACCAGAGGCAGGTCTTGTTCCAGTATTGGGCCCGCTGGTCTACGTGGTACAAGTACCAGCCACTGGACCACATCAGAGAATACTTTGGAGAGAAGATAGCCTTTTACTTTGCCTGGCTGGGTAAGCAGGATTCCTCATATTAAATCTGATACAATACCATTATTTAATTCTGTACTGCTTATATGGTTATACTTGGGGGTGGGGGGATTCATGAAACTGAACACATTTAGAGGCACACATCATACTCAAGAAGACTTTGATGAAAGAAATGCTACAATGTCTATTCACTCTTATACCATGTCCATTTTTGTTAAGATATGTGGTCAATTTACCACAACAGTACAGTTTTGTGAGTAACCCCCATTGTGTTGTGTGAGAGAGAGGTGTTGAGGAGGAGGTTTGTGTCTCTCTGGTCCTCCTCTGTAGGGTTCTACACAGCCTGGCTGCTCCCAGCATCGGTGGTGGGGACCTTTGTCTTTGTGTCAAGAGACATGTCCATTGGGACCAAAACTCCTGCGTGAGTCCTGAAACTCCATCACTTGCAATGCTTTTCTAACACATTCATTCCTTTGGCTGTAATCAAGGTTCATGGTTTGAAAACTGTACAGTATAGAGCTCTTATTATAATTATCTTTACTACAAATAGAGGCAAAAAGATGGCTCAAAGTGATGTTACAATTTATACAAGTTACGCAGGCCGCCTGTACCAGTCTTAAGACATAATGCATTACCCACGAGAGTCCTCTTCAGTTTACCAATGCAGTACTTAGTCTGTTGCATTGCTTCGCTGAGTGTGTGTGTGTGTGCATGTGTGTGTCTTCTTATAGCAACATCACCCAGAATGCATCACAAACCATACCAATTACATAATTGACAATCAACTTCAATAAAGGCATGAAAAAGGTAAACAAAAATATTTAGGTAATATATTATAAATGATAAATATGAACACATCAATAATAGTGGTAAGCCATGTTTTAAACTTCAATAGAACACAGGAATATGAACATATACTTTAGCTTCCACGCAACACTCAATAAACTATGCACTCTAACGGTGTGGGGAAGCTAAAGTATACTGTTTGACCGTCAAACCTCGACCAGGAAGTAAGGTGTGTGTGTGTGTGTGTGAGAGAGAGTGAAAGCGTCTGTGTGTGCGTGCTTGTGTGTCCGTCTATGTGTGTGTCGGGGAAAATAATAATATAATATATGCCATTTAGCAGACGCTTTTATCCAAAGCAACTTAAAGTAATGCGTGCATACATTTTACGTATGGGTGGTCCCGGGAATCAAACGCACTACCCTGGCATTTTAAGCGCCATGCTCTTCCAACTGAGCTACAAAAGACCATGTCTTGTCAATGTTCCCTGTGTCTGCAATGTGTTTCAATGGCAACTGCTGACCATTGCTTTCGCAGTCTTTTCGGTTACGCGGTAGTAAAATATGTGCAAAACTTTGTCACTTGTTTTTCTCGCCGTTTGTTTACACGCAGAATCTGTCCACGAGAGAATACTTTCTCGGGACCAGTGTTTGATGGCTTGGTGGTGACTCACAGTCAATTTACCAGGCCATAAAGATAGGGAGTCTAAAGATCCAATAACAGAGAGAAGGAAGAAAAGCATTGAGCCACTTACAGGCCCAAGGACATTAGTGTAACTCCTCATGTTCATTGTGGATTAGTGCTATCAATCACTGTACAATATAAAAGCCAGAGAGCCTTAGTCTCTGGTGATGTACTCTGTAGCAAGCAATCAAGGGATAATCATTTTCACATTACTGTAAATGCAAATGTGTCTGAAATGGCACCCTATTCACTATATAGTGCGCTACTTTTGACCAAGGCCCATAGGGAGTATGGACTGAAAGTAGTGAAGTCTGTGTATGTGATTCTGTGCCTGACTGTCCACAGCAAGGAGATCTGTAACAGTGGGAACAGCTGCCTGATGTGTCCTCTCTGTAAGACCTGCAAGGCCTGGAACATGTCTGATATCTGCCCCATGGTTAAGGTACTGTATGCTGGACATTTACAGTATATTTTTTATTGAACCTTTATTTTAACAGGGAAGACATGTTTAGACATAGGTCTCTTTTACAAATGTGCCCTGTATATATAACATAAATATACACATTACACCCAAACTTACCACTCCAAAAAGGTCTTGTTAACAAACTATCGTTTTGGCAGTCGGTTAGGACATCTACTTTGTGCATGACACAAGTAATGTTTCCAACAATTGTTTATAGACAGATTATTTCACTTATAATTCACTGTATCACAATTCCAGTGGGTCAGAAGTTTACATACACTAAGTTGACTGTGCCTTTAAACAGCTTGGAAAATTCCAGAAAATGATGTCATGGTTTAGAAGCTTCTGATAGGCTAATTGACATCATTTGAGTCAATTGGAGGTGTACTTGTGGATGTATTTCAAGGCCTACCTTCAAACTCCGTGCCTCTTTGCTTGACATCATGGGAAAATCAAAAGAAATCTGCCAAGACCTCAGAAAACTAATTGTAGACCTCCACAAGTCTGGTTCATCCTTGAGAGCAATTTCCAAACGCCTGAAGGTACCATGTTCATCTGTACAAACAATAGTACCCAAGTATAAACACCATGGGACCACACAGCCGTCATACCGCTCAGGAAGGAGATACGTTCTGTCTCCTAGAAATTAACGTACTTTGGTGCGAAAGGTGCAAATCAATCCCAGAACAACAGCAAATGACCTTGTGAAGATGCTGGAGGAAACATGTACAAAAGTATCTACAGTGGGGAAAAAAAGTATTTAGTCAGCCACCAATTGTGCAAGTTCTCCCACTTAAAAAGATGAGAGAGGCCTGTACTTTTCATCATAGGTACACATCAACTATGACAGACAAAATGAAAAAACAAAATCCAGAAAATCACATTGTAGGATTTTTTATGAATTTATTTGCAAATTATGGTGGAAAATAAGTATTTGGTCAATAACAAAAGTTTCTCAATACTTTGTTATATACCCTTTGTTGGCAATGACACAGGTCAAACGTTTTCTGTAAGTCTTCACAAGGTTTTCACACACTGTTGCTGGTATTTTGGCCCATTCCTCCATGCAGATCTCCTCTAGAGCAGTGATGTTTTGGAGCTGTCGCTGGGCAACACGGACTTTCAACTCCCTCCAAAGATTTTCTATGGGGTTGAGATCTGGAGACTGGCTAGGCCACTCCAGGACCTTGAAATGCTTCTTACGAAGCCACTCCTTCATTGCCCGGGCAGTGTGTTTGGGATCATTGTCATGCTGAAAGACCCAGCCACGTTTCATCTTCAATGCCCTTGCTGATGGAAGGAGGTTTTCACTCAAAATCTCACGATACATGGCCCCATTCATTCTTTCCTTTACACGGATCAGTCGTCCTGGTCCCTTTGCAGAAAAACAGCCCCAAAGCATGATGTTTCCACCCCCATGCTTCACAGTAGGAATGGTGTTCTTTGGATGCAACTCAGCATTCTTTGTCCTCCAAACACGACGAGTTGAGTTTTTACCAAAAAGTTCTATTTTGGTTTCATCTGACCATATGACATTCTCCCAATCCTCTTCTGGATCATCCAAATGCACTCTAGCAAACTTCAGACGGGCCTGTACATGTACTGGCTTAAGCAGGGGGACACGTCTGGCATTGCAGGATTTGAGTCCCTGGCGGCGTAGTGTGTTACTGATGGTAGGCTTTGTTACTTTGGTCCGAGCTCTCTGCAGGCCATTCACTAGGTCCCCCCGTGTGGTTCTGGGATTTTTGCTCACCGTTCTTGTGATCATTTTGACCCCACGGGGTGAGATCTTGCGTGGAGCCCCAGATCGAGGGAGATTATCAGTGGTCTTGTATGTCTTCCATTTCCTAATAATTGCTCCCACAGTTGATTTCTTCAAACCAAGCTGCTTACCTATTGCAGATTCAGTCTTCCCAGCCTGGTGCAGGTCTACAATTTTGTTTCTGGTGTCCTTTGACAGCTCTTTGGTCTTGGCCATAGTGGAGTTTGGAGTGTGACTGTTTGAGGTTGTGGACAGGTGTCTTTTATACTGATAACAAGTTCAAACAGGTGCCATTAATACAGGTAACGAGTGGAGGACAGAGGAGCCTCTTAAAGAAGAAGTTATAGGTCTGTGAGAGCCAGAAATCTTGCTTGTTTGTAGGTGACCAAATACTTATTTTCCACCATAATTTGCAAATAAATTCATTAAAAATCCTACAATGTGATTTTCTGGAAAAACATTTCTCAATTTGTCTGTCATAGTTGACGTGTACCTATGATGAAAATTACAGGCCTCTCTCATCTTTTTAAGTGGGAGAACTTGCACAATTGGTGACTGACTAAATACTTTTTTCCCCCACTGTATGTGAGAATGCTATTCATTGACTACAGCTCAGCGTTCAACACCATAGTGCCCTCAAAGCTCATCACTAAGCTAAAGACCCTGGGACTAAACACCTCCCTCTGCAACTGGATCCTGGACTTCATGATGTGCCGCCCCCAGGTGGTAAGGGTAGGTAACAACATATCCGCCATGCTGATCCTCAACACGGGGGCCCCTCAGGGGTGCGTGCTCAGTCCCCTCCTGTACTCCCTGTTCACTCATGACTGCATGGCCAGGCATGACTCCATCACCATCATTAAGTTTGCCGATGACACAACAGCGGTAGGCCTGATCACCGACAACAACGAGACAGCCTATAGGGAGGTCAGAGACCTGGCCGTGTGGTGCCAGGACAACAACCTCTCCCTCAACGTGATCAAGACTAAGGAGATGATTGTGGACTACAGGAAAAAAGACCGAGCACACCCCCATTCTCATCGACGGGCTGTAGTGGAGCAGGTTGAGAGCTTCAAGTTCCTTGGTGTCCGCATCACCAACAAACTAACATGGTCCAAGCACACCAAGACAGTCGTGAAGAGGGCACGACAAAACCGATTCCCCTTAAGGAGACTGAAAATATTTGGCATGGGTCCTCAGATCCTCAAAAGGTTCTACAGCTACACCACCGAGAGCATCCTGACTGGTTGCATCACTGCCTGGTATGGCAACTGCTCTGCCTCTGACCGTAAGGCACTACAGATGGTAGTGCGTACGGCCCAGTACATCACTGGGGCCAAGCTTCCTGCCATCCAGGACCTCTATACCAGGCGGTGTCAGAGGAAGGCCTTAGAAATTGTCAAAGACTCCAGCCACCCTAGTCATAGACTGTTCTCTCTGCTACTGCATGGCAAGCGGTACCGGAGCGCCAAGTCTAGGTCCAAGAGGCTTCTAAACAGCTTCTACCCCCAAGCCATAACTCCTGATAATCTAATCAAATGGCTACCCAGACTATTTGCATTGCCCCCCCCCCCACCCACCCCTCTTTTACGCTGCTACTATTCTCTGTTTATTATCTATGCATAGTCACTTTAATAATTCCACCTACATTCACCTCGACTAACCGGTGCCCCCGCACATTGACTCGGTACCGGAACCCCCTGTATATACCCTCACTATTTTTACTGCTGCTCTTTGATTATTTGTTACTTTTATTTCGTATAATGTTATATAGTATTTTTTTGCTCTTTTTTTTGGTATTCTTTCTTAAAACTACATTGTTGGTTAAGGGCTTGTAAGTAAGCATTTCACTGTAAGTTACATACATACATTACATTTACATTTAGCAGACGCTCTTATCCAGAGCGACTTACAGTTAGTGCATACATTATTTTATTTTTATTTTCATACCCCATGGGAATCGAACCCACAACCCTGCCGTTGCAAACGCCATGCTCTACCAACTGAGCTACCTCCCTGCCGGCCATTCCCTCCCCTACCCTGGACGACGCTGGGCCAATTGTGCGCCGCCCCATTGGTCTCCCGGTTGCGGCCGGCTACAGCAGAGCCTGGATTCGAACCAGGATTTCTAGTGGCACAGCTAGCACTGCGATGCAGTGCCTTAGACCACTGCGCCACTCGGGAGACTGCGCCAAGCAAGTTCTACACCTGTTGTATGTGACAAACACAATTTGATTTGATTTGATTTGAAAAGCATTTCAATTAACAGATGTGCCTTGTTAAAAATTAAATTGTGTAATTTATTTCCTTCCTAATGTGTTTGAGCCAATCAGTTGTGTTGTGACAAGGTAGGAGGGGTATACAGAAGATAGCCCTATTTGGTAAAAGACCAAGTCCATATTATGGCAAGAACAGCTCAAATAAGCATAGAGAAACGACAGTCCATCATTACTTTAAGACATGAAGGTCAGTCAATATGGAAAATGTCAAGAACTTTGAAAGTTTCTTCAAGTGCAGTCGCAAAAACCATCAAGAGCTATGATGAAACTGACTCTCATGAGGACCGCCACAGGAATGGAAGACCCAGAGTTACCTCTGCTGCAGAGGATAAGTTCATTTGAGTTACCAGCCTCAGAAATTGTAGCCCAAATAAATGCTTCACAGAGTTCAAGTAACAGAAACATCTCAACATCAACTGTTCAGAGGGGACTGTGTGAATCAGGTCTTCATGGTTGAATTGCTGCAAAGAAACCACTACTAAAGGACACCAATAAAGAAGAAGAGACTTGCTTGGGCCAAGAAACACGAGCAATGGACATTAGACAGGTGGAAATGTGTCCTGGTCTGGTCCAAATTTGAGTTTTTTGGTTCCAACCACTGTGTCTTTGTGAGATACGGTGTGGGTGAACGGATGATATCCTCACGTGTAGTTATTTCCGTAAAACATGGAGGGGAAGGTGTTATGGTGTGGGGGTGCTTTGCTGGTGACACTGTCTATGATTTATTTAGAATTCAAGGCACACTTAACCAGCATGGCTACCACACCATTCCACAGCGATACGCCATCCCATCTGGTTTGGGCTTAGTGGGACTATCATTTGTTTTTCAACAGGACAATGACCCAACACACCTCCAGGCTGTGTAAAGGCTATTTTACCAATAAGGAGAGTGATGGAGTGCTGCATCAGATGACCTGGCCTCCACAATCCCCTGACCTCAACCAAATTGAGATGGTTTGGGATGAGTCGGACCGCAGAGTGAAGGAAAAGCAGCCAAGTGCTCAGCATATGTGGGAACTCCTTCAAGACTGTTGGAAAAGCATTCCAGGTGAAGCTGGTTGAGTGAATGCCAAGAGTGTGCAAAGCTGTCATCAAGGCAAAGGGTGGCTATTTGAAGAATCTCAAATATAAAATATATTTTGATTTGTTTAACACTTTTTTGGTTACTACATGATTCCATATGTGTTATTTCATAGTTATGTCTTCACTAATATTCTACAATGTAAAAAATAGTAAAGATTAAGAAAAACCCTACAAGGAGTAGGTGTGTCCAAACTTTTGACTGGTACTGTATATATACAGTGCCTTCGGAAAGTACTAAGACCCCTCCACATTTTGTTACGTTATAGGCGTATTCTAAAATTGATCAAATAAACACATTTCCTCAGCAATCTACACACAATACCCCATAATGACAAACCAAAAAGAGGTGTTTAGAAATGTTACCAAATGTATTAAATTTAAAAAACAGAAATACCTTCTTTACATAACTATTTGCTATGAGACTCGAAATTGAGCTCAGGTGCATCCTGTTTCCATTGTTCATCCTTGAGATGTTTCTACAACTATATTTGGAGTCAACCTGTGGTAAATTCAATTGCTTGGACATGATTTGAAAAGGCACACACCTGTCTATATAAGGTCCCACAGTTGACAGTGCATGTCAGAGCAAAAAACAAGCCATGAGGTCAAAGGAATTGTCCGTAGAGCTCCGAGACAGGATTGTGTTGAGGCACAGATCTGTGCCAAGGGTACCAAACCATTTCTGCAGCATTCAAGGTCCCCAAGAACCCAGTGGCCTTCATAATTCTTAAATGGAAGACGTTTGGAACCACCAAGACTCCTCCTAGAGCTGGCCGCCCGGCCAAACCGAGAAATCGGGGGAGAAGGGCCTTGGTCAGGGAGTTGACCAAGAACTCGATGGTCACTCTGACATAGCTCCAGAGTTCCTCTGTGGAGATGGGAGAACCTTCCAGAAGGACAACCATCTCTGCAGCACTCCACCAATCAGGCATTTATCGTAGAGTGGCCAGACGGAAGCCACTCATCAGTAAAAGGCACATGACAGCCCGCTTGGTGTTTGCCAAAAGGCACCTAAAGGACTCCGACCATAAGAAACAAGATTCTCTGGTCTGATGAAACCAAGATTGAACTCTTTGGCCTGAATGCCAAGCGTCACGTCTTGAGGAAACCTGGTGGTGGCAGCATCATGCTGTGGGGATGTTTTTCAGCGGCAGGGACTGTGAGACTAGTCAGGATCGAGGGAAAGATGACGGAGCAAAGTACAGAGAGATCCTTGATGAAAACCTGCTCAAGAGCGCTCAGGACCTCAGACTGGGGCGAAGGTTCACCTTCCAACAGGACAACGACCCTAAGCATACAGCTAAAACGACGCAGGAGTGGCTTTGGGACACGCTCTGAATGTCCTTGAATGGCCCAGCCAGAGACCGGAATTGAACCCAATCGAACATCTCTGGAGAGACCTGAAAATAGCTGTGCAGCGACACTCCCCATTCAACCTGACAGAGCTTGAGAGGATCTGCAGAGAAGACTGGGTGAAACTCCCCAAATACAGGTGTACCAAGCTTGTAGTATCATACCCAAGAAGATTCGACGCTGTAATCGCTGCCAAAGGTGCTTCAACAAAGTACTAAGTAAAGGGTCTGAATACTTATATAAATGATATATTTCCATTTTTTATTTTTAATAATTTTTTTATATTACAATTTCTAAAAAACGTTTTTTGCTTTGTCATTATGGGGTATTGTGTATCGATTGATGAGGTAAAAAAAATATTTAATACATTTTAGAATAAGGCTGTAACGTAACAAAATGTGGAAAAAGTGAAGGGCTTTGAAGACTTTCCGAATGTGGTGTGTCTGTGTTGGCAGGTGGGCTACCTGTTTGACCACACCTTCAGTGTGTTAATGTCCTTCTGGGCAGTCACCTTCCTGGAGTACTGGAAACGCAAGATGGCCACCCTGGCTCACCACTGGGACTGCATGGACTTCCAGGAGGAGGAGGTCTGGATTAGAGCCAATTCATTAAAGGATTTTCATTAATTTCAATTTCTATACTTTTGTAATTCTGTGATATGTGTGAGTGAGAAAGTTACAGAGGGTCAAAGATCATACCCCCAAGACATGATATCCTCCCCTGTTATTGGTAATGGTGAGAGGTTAGCATGTATTTGGGGTATGATCTTTGACCCTCTGTAACTTTCTCACTCATCATTATTCACAATTCATTCAGGATTATCCGTAATCATGGTAGCATCCACATTAATGTGTTTAGAAACTATTCTTATTTACAACAAAAGGGACTCAAAAATGGCACAATATATTATTTACCATTTATATTGGGCACAAAATAATCTCAAACACAATCAAAACTAACTGTAAATACATCCAACAAGTTTGGAGAGTCAATTGCGTACTAGGAATATGGGACCAAATACTACGTTTGACTACTTTATAAGAATCTTAAGGGGTGTCAATAATTTTGAGCCCTACCTTTTTGAGAGAGAAAAAAGTATTACTTGTTAAACAAAATCTTTCTCTGAGCAATTGTATTAGTATAAAAAATAATTATATTATATTAATATAATGTCCCTTTTTTTCTTCTTTTTTTTTTAGCATACAACATAGCTCAGTATTTGAATTATTTATTTTATACAGTCATTATTGCTAATCTTTATCAAGGGTGTCAATAATTTCGGACCCCACTGTATGTTACACATTGGTGCATGGCATGTGTTTGTATCTAGGAGCGTCCGCGGCCTGAGTTTGCGGCCATGGCTCCAGTGACGGGAGTGAAAGAGCCCTACTTCCCAGAGAAGGCCCGGCTGTCCCGCATGCTCACTGGCTCCATGGTCATCATCATCATGGTAAGACACTGAGTTTTACTCTCTTCGTGTCCTTTGCTTTGTGTTTATTGATGTGGCAGAGCACACCAGGGGTAGCCGGGTACCAGATCTGCCACTGTCACTGACATGACAATGACTAAAGGAGTTGGTATTACGGCACAAACAGATCTTGAACAGTTATTCATTATCATGAGACCTGACCAGTTAAAATTCAAAACCCTCCTTATAGGCTAATACAGAAATCCCAAAGTTGTTCCTGGCCAGGCCACACGGTCAGGGAAAACGTTGTACCCTAGTGGAAAAGGTGAGGAAAGGATGCCATTTTAGTGTACTGTATTTGAGGTGTAGTTGAACTAATATTCATCTTATTCACCTCACTTCTCTTTCCTCTGTCTACCCCTGTCTGTCCCCAGTTGTGTGTGGTGATGATCTTCCTGGTGACAGTGATCATGTATCGTGGGATAGTGAGTGTGATGATGTACCGCACAGGCAGCGTTGTGCTGCGTACTCAGGTACAGTACAATACACTCTGCTCTGATGAATAAAGCTGCTGACACTGGATCAGAATACCCTTCAAAACACCTGACAATGGGTGACATCTGCCATTTAGCTAATGCCAGCAGATACGTTAGCTCAGATTGATACATTAGCTCAGATTTTCTGTGTGTGCGCGTGTGTGTGTTCCCTCAGGCAGGGAACATTGCCAATATCTCCAGCAGTTTGGTGAATCTGGCCCTGATTCTGCTGATGGGGCAGGTCTATACTGCGTTGGCACTGCAGCTCACTAAATGGGGTAAGAACACAGCCCTCAGCCACCTCCCTATCTGCCTCAGCCAATACACTACCAATCAATACATCTACCCACAGAGAAATCTACTTCCTTGGGTTTTGATTAAGCGTCTGCATCTATCACAGTGGCCTCAAAAAGAAAACATTGTCTATCAGATAAGTGTGAAGACTATTTAAAAACTTAGCAGTATATTGAAAGTGGTGGTGTATAGTCCAAGATTCAAATGCCATTACAGTACAGCAGATACATTTTGTTCCTGTAACGTGCATTTCATGTATAATCTTACCCTCAAAGGTTTTTACCTTTCTCTGGTGGAATAACATTTGTTTAAAGATTTTTGACGAATTGATTTTATTGTTTTTGGATGTTTGGACAGAGATGCAGAGAACACAGACACAGTACGAAGACGCGTTTACCTTCAAGGTGTTTGTGTTCCAGTTTGTCAACTTCTACTCCTCTCCCTTCTATGTGGCATTCTTCAAGGGAAGGTACTGTTTATTATAGCATGATGCTACTGGTATCTGGCTGGTTTGACACCCCTGCAATAGACCAACCATTTGTATCTATTCCAATGGCAGGTTTGTGGGATATCCTGGACACTATGGTACCTTGCTTGGTATGAGAAATGAAGATGTACGTTTTCAGAAATGACAACCCATATTTGCATACACAGAACCATGTTCTCATAAAGACCTTTTCACGTTACCGGTATATTTATGTTGGATGGATTTATTTTTGTCTCTCTACTTTGTGTGTGTGTGTTTCAGTGTGGTCCAGGGGGTTGTTTCATTGAACTGGCTGAGCAGCTCTTCATCATCATGGTGGGGAAACAGCTCATCAGTAATGTTCAGGAGTTTGTCATCCCGTAGGTTTCCTCCCTGACTCTCCTACTATTAACTTGAGGGCAAATCCTAGTTTCCACTTAGGTCGAATTTTCACTTATCCTACCATTGACATCATTGGATTACTAAGTGAAATTAGACTTAAGTATAGGATTCACCCCTCACTGATTCTGTCATCCTTTATCTCACTCCTTTGGCATGAGTATAAATAGCCTGGTAGCACAATTTGCTTTGCTTTAGCCAACCCTTCTCTTGTCCATATAGCATCACAATGAAGAGTTGGCTTAAGGACAAATACATTTGGCTACTAGTGTTTGCCTCTGATTTTGTTTCCTACAGTGTGAGAGTCTCCATGGTCTCTGTATAATGATAGGAACTCTGTGTGGGTGGTACAATGTGGCTTTAGTATACTGTACTGCAGTATTGGGCCAGCCGGCAAAGGAGCTATAGTGGTGGTGCAGTAGATGCTGAGAAATGCTCTATTTGCATTATTCTTACACCCCTCTCCTCTCATTCTTGCTTTCTCTCTCCTGTCCTCTCTTCTCTTCCTGTCCTCCTCTCCTCAGTAAGGTGAAGGCATGGCAACAGAAGAGGGCGCTGAATAAGGTGCGTGGAATGCAGGCATCCCAGGAGCCTCAGCGGTGGGAGGAGGACTATCAACTGGTAGAGTGTGAGGGCCTGTTTGAGGAGTACCTGGAAATCGGTAAGACAACAACAACAACCACACTCTGAGGGTTAGTAGTAGGAGTCCTTTTTCCATCCGAATAGATTACTTGTGGATTTTGATTTATATTGCATACAAGCCATTCAATCTTTGAAGGCTAAAAGTGAAATGAAATACATAAAGTGTTATAAAAGTTATCAAATCCATCAAGCAAAAATAACTCAAAACTACACGAGCAAACAAAGAACAAACACAAAAGGGTTTTGTAAACATACAAATTAATACATCTTCCTGTGTCAATATTTAATAAATAGTTTGTTCTTACAAGTGGATATTGTTGATCTATTGTGGATGCATTACTTTGTCTTACATTATCATCCTAATTTCACCCTCCTCGGTAGGGTTGCTAACCTCTGACATTCTCCATCCATCCCACAGTGCTCCAGTTTGGATTCATCACCATATTCGTGGCGGCGTTCCCCCTGGCGCCACTCTTCGCCCTGCTCAACAACTGGGCCGAAATGCGCCTGGATGCCCACAAGTTTGTGTGCGAGTACAGGAGGCCCGTGGCCGAGCGCGCCCAGAACATCGGCGTGTGGTTCAACATCCTGGAGGCCTTGTCGCACCTGTCCGTCATCATCAATGTGAGTCGCATTGTGATGACCTCATCACCCGTGTGCTGTATTTTTTTCAATTCCAAAATTGGTCTGGAAATATCTGGTCTGAAAACATCTGATAAACTTAGATTTTGTAATGTCCCTTTAAGCAGTATATTGAAAGGATTCTAATATTATTATGTAGTGTTTTTATAATTTCTGTTCATTTTAATTTACTGTACCATCTAAAATGCTTTTGTATGTCAATCTACCCCTTTCAGGCTTTCTTGATCGCCTTCACGTCAGATTTCTTACCGCGACTGCTCTACCAGTACAAGTTTGACAACAATCTGAACGGATATGTTAATTTCACTCTGGCCTATGCTCCGCCCAGCTACACCAGCCATCCCATGTGCAGGTAATAGTGATCATAAATACACACTGGAACACACTATAGTAGATACAGTATAGTATAGCTGTTGTATATACTTTAAGGCATAGTTCAGTGACATGTTTAGATATGTGATTCCGTAGCAATCCACAGTTTAGTTTTGTTAGACTAGCCACTGCCAACAAATGCTTATATTAGGATTTTTATACCAAACTCCCATGCAAGTCAAACTCCCCTGTTTAGCATGTTTTAAATTTCATCTCCAAGTCTTTCCAGTAGAGGGCAGAATGGGTGATGTTGACAACCCTGACCTGTTGTTGACAACCATGAATGTGTGTGCTCTGTGTTGCCTGTAGATATAAAGCCTTTAGGGACAACAATGGAAATTACACCCTGGTTTACTGGGAACTCCTGGCTGTGAGGTTAGGCTTCATCATCGCTTTCGAGGTACTCTGTCTGTCTGTCTGTCTGTCTGTCTGTCTGTCTCTTCTTTCCACTTACTCCTATATATAACCTGTGCCTTTTGCATTCTTTCCTTATACTGTGCCATGTCCATCTTTCTGTTAATTACTTGTTCTGTCCTACCCTCTTATCTACAACCTGTGTATGTTATTGTGTACCTGTGATAATTTGAAGCTTGCTAATCTTTGCCTCCCAGTCTTTTACAAGGTATTTTATTATTTTATATGTTATCACCTTTACTCTATTGATATTAGTCTCCTCAGAATCCTTCTTCTTCTGCTGAGGTTTCTGTCTAGTTTCACCCTATGTCTTCTTTTCCATCTCTCTCGCTCTCTCTATTTATCCTCCTTTACCTTCCTGTCACCGCCAATGTATGCTCTTTTCCCTCCATCCCTCCCTCCCTCTCTCCAGCACGTAGTGTTTTTCGTCCTGCGAGCAATAGACTGGATGGTGCCGGATGTCCCTGAGTCTCTGGAGCTGAAGATGAAGAGAGAGCGCTACTTGGCTAAGCAGGCCCTGGCCGACAACCAGGAGGCCCTGTTCGTGAGTCAGCGAGCCCCGGCCTCCAGCCCAGGTCAGTGGAACATGCCGATGCTCACACACCCTCACCCTCACTTTTCCTCCTTCGGTTCAGTTTTATCCCTGTTATATTATATTAGTGGTTACTCATTAGCTAGGGCTCCTGTTCATTTGAAACTACACACACATAAAGTAAGTCATTAAGGATATAAATTGATGACTCAGGGTGAATCCCAAATGGCACCCTATTCCCAATGTAGTGCACTACCTTTGGAAAGGGCGCCCATAGGGCTCTGGTCAAAGTAGTGCACTATATATAGAATAGGGTGCCATTTGGGACACAGACAGTATCTCATTGGATCCAGTGTACATTTCCTGGAGTATTAAGGGCAGTGAAACCAGAGAGAGACATGTTGCAGTAACTGCTTGACTGGATTTATCGATTCTAATGCTGCTGCATAAGTAGTGAAAGCAGTGGTGTTAATAAGTTGCATATTACACTATCAATGAAACCAATTTGGTCTTCAGAAATGAATTCCAGACTTTATAGTCTTTTATTGACTTTATAGCCCCCACCCCCCACACACACACACACACAAACACACACAAAAACCACTGAGCCTTCACTGCTCAAGTTAGCAGCAGCTAGCATGTTTGCTCTGTGATTCACACTCAGTAAAAAAAAATACACAAAAAACACGCACGTGCACACACACAGTGAGAAAAGCAATGACTAAAAACTCACAATGTTTAAAGGCTGGGCTCACTACAATGGTCATAATATGGCGACAGAAATGCTAAAGTGTTCAAAGCCAGACCCATACATCCTTAACCTAAGTTATTGCATCCATAAGACTTTTCCCCTGGCATGTGTAGCCTCTCTCTCTCATTGCATCCCATCAGACTGGTGCTTGCTCGCCCATTGTTTCTCGTTGTGGTCCTGTCAGTGGTGTAGTGGTGGGTGTGCATCCCCGTGTTCTGACCATGCCATTGTGGTATTTTTATTTTGTATTTTTTTATTTTACCTTTATTTAACTAGGCAAGTCAGTTAAGAACAAATTCTTATTTACGATGACGGCCTACACCGGCCAAACCCGGACGACGCTGTAGTAGTTGTGTGGTAGTTGTGTTTCTTGTCGTGAACGTCCTGGATGGGGTGAGTAGAAATTCTCACTCCTGCAGTCTGTTAAGCTTCTAAGTAATATATATATATATATAACTAAAGTTAAAGGGCAACAACAAGAATGGCCAGTCTTATCAATCCATTAAAGACATCTCGTAAAATGAGTTGTATGCTGTAACTCAGTAACATAACATGATAGAGCAAGCACCTTTGTGTCTACTGTCTGTCTGTTTGTGTCCACCGTCTGTCTGTCTGTCTGTCTGTCTGCTCTTGTGTGCTTCAGTGTTCTCTACGATTATTCTAACCAAAGCTGTACCCATGTTGTCTCTCCCTCCCCATTCTCTCCCCATCCAAACTGTACTGTCTGCCTCAAAGCAAGCAACGTGTCCTTTGGCAACATGAGTTAGGACTGCAGTGCGTAACGGACGGGGAGGGGAATGGAGGAGAGGTAATAATAATAATAATATGCCATTTAGCAGACGCTTTTATCCAAAGCGACTTACAGTCATGCGTGCATACATTTTTGTGTATGGGTGGTCCCGGGGATCGAACCCACTACCTTGGCGTTACAAGCGCCGTGCTCTACCAGCTGAGCTACAGAGGACCAGCTACAGAGGTAGAGGGAGATAAAAGAGACTCTTTTGCATTTCAGGTCCCATCAATGAATATGTTTCCCTATTGGCTCTATGTCTGTCCACTATGGTCAGTCTTTAGGTTTGGTTACAGCAGGGGTGGCCATACTTATCCGCAAAGGAACGGTGTGGTTGCAGGTGTTTGTTCCAGCCAAGTGGTAACACACCTGATTAAAATGATAAACTTATCATAGTCTTTCATTAAGACTTTGATTAGTTGAATTTGCTGTGTTACTGCTAGGCTGGAACAAAAGCTGGCACCTACACCGGCCTTTTGCGGGTAATATTGTGGTTTACACCTGGTTTACAATATGTGAGATTTGGTTTGTATTGTTACATTTTTTGATGCTAGTCCTGCTTTTCTACACTACACTATCACTCTATATTTGTAATGAGATAAACCTGAAACATATTGGGAATCTTGTTGCTTATCTTGTTGGTGTAAGAGTTGCTACTGTACTATACGATTGAAGTCTTTCTACAAGTGTAACATGTTTTGTGCAAGCTGTTTTGTATTTCAAATTTGGGAAAATAACTCTGGTTGGATGAATGAGATACAGTACCACTAATGTGTCAATCTCAAATAAATTCTCAAAGTTCAAGATGCCAGAGAACTCTGTTGTTATCTTACCGGAAAATCTTCTCCCCTTTCCTCCCCATGCCCTCAGAAACGTAACCCCCCTTGGAAAAGGAGAACTCTAGCCAGATGAAACCCCTCTGATTTATTAGGAGTCAGAGAGAGACAGGTGTTCTGTTCAGTATTTCTCTCCCCTCTTTTCCCTCTGCTCCTACCCACCCTTCTGAAATATTCCTGTGGCCTTGGGCGACTCCTCTTTTTCTCTCTGCCTCTCTCTCACCCCCCATTCTCTCTTCCTCTCTCTCTCTCTCTCTCTCTATCTCTCTCTCTCTCTCTCTCTCTCTCTCTCTCTCTCTACTGCTGTAGCGTTCATCTTTGGCTTGTTATGATTCATGTGAGTGTGTTCGTCTGCCATTCAGCCTGCAGGAAGTGTGCGTTAGTACATGTCAGTTAGTGGAGGCAGGTATGCAACGTGGTCACAGTCTCCCACAGACACTGTGTGTTCCAAATGGCACCCTATTCCCTATGTAGTGCACTCCTTTTTATAGGGTTCTGTAGGCAAAAAGGTGCTATTTGGGACATGGATACTGTACTAATGGTTCTCGCATTATACCTCAACATCACACTTAAAGTAACTGTCCTTTGAAAATCTCCCTTTAAAAAGTACATATTCTGTTAACTCATACCCGAATAATGTTGTTGACTCATCCTATACTCGTATTTGTGGCCATAGCAAACTTCTATCTCAAACTGCTGGCCAATCAGCTGTCTACTAGCATGAATATTTTTAATGACCGGTATACGCCCACACCATTCTGTTGTTGGGGTACGCCCACACCATTTAAACACAGAAAAGCTGCTTCTTAACATACTTAATAAATCAATTTGGGAAGGAAAACTATTTCACTCATTTTGTAATTAATTATAGGTCATATTTCATAGAAATCTGTAAACACTAGACATTTAGTTTTGGTGGCAGCATCATGCTGTGGGGATGTTTTTCATCAGCAGGGACTGGGAAACTGGTCAGAATTGAAGGAATGATGGATGGTGCTAAATACAGGGAAATTCTTGAGGGAAACCTGTTTCAGTCTTCCAGAGATTTGAGACTGGGACGGAGGTTCACCTTCCAGCAGGACAATGACCCTAAGCATACTGCTAAAGCAACACTCGAGTGGTTTAAGGGGAAACGTTTAAATGTTTTGGAATGGCCTAGTCAAAGCCCAGACCTCAATCCAATTGAGAATCTGTGGTAATACTTAAAGATTGCTGTATACCAGCGGAACCCATCAACCTTGAAGGAGCTGGAGCAGTTTTGCCTTGAAGAATGGGCAAAAATCCCAGTGGCTAGATGTGCCAAGCTTATAGAGACATACCCCAAGAGACTTGCAGCTGTAATTGCTGCAAAAGGTGGCTCTACAAAGTATTGACTTTGGGGGGGGGGGGGGGGTGAATAGTTATGCACGCTAATGTTTTCTGTTTTTTTGTCTTATTTCTTGTTTGTTTCACAATAAAAATTGTTTTGCATCTTCAAAGTGGTAGGCATGTTGTGTAAATCAAATGATACAAACCCCCAAAAAATCAATTTTAATTCCAGGTTGTAAGGCAACAAAATAGGAAAAATGCCATGGGGGGTGAATACTTTCACAAGCCACTGTAGCTACTTGCTTAATTGCGTGGGCACACACACACAGACACACGCCTGAGCACACACACAGACAGACACACGCCTGAGCACACACACTGTCTACTTCCCACCCCTTTTCCCTCCTACCTGCCTTCTATCCACTTTCAGTGCATTTCTGTTGACACACAAGAATCCGACCTGTGCACACACACACACACAGACAGACAAACTATCACACATAATCACAGAAAGGAAAAATGTTTTGCTCACGCAGATGGCTGCTAGCGCACTCCTCTCTCCCTCTCTTTCTATAAGCAGGTGTTGAAATGCAACACTAACTATTAGAGACCAAGAGAAAAAGAGAGAGGGAGAGGGAGGAGAGAGAACGGGAGAGAGTGCACTTCCCCAACTGTAGCAGAGAGAGAGAGGACGAGAGGGATTGTGAGCGAGGAGAAGGAGAGCAGAAGCCTAAAGAGGGATCTGCATGGTAAGTAGCTAGACCAGCGAGCACTTTTATTCATTGAAAATTCCTGTGTTGGAGGGAGAAGAAAATAAAGATACAACAGAGAATTCAGGACCCTGTCCCCCAGTTCCCCTGCCTGGACGAGTGGAGTAAAAAGCTAAGGAGGAAGACCGAAGGTTAAAGAAGCTGGGAGGGACACAAGGCAGTCATGGATAGCACATAGAGCGTCAGCCAGACGCTAGGATGGCCTGGATTCACACACTGTCGCTGGCAACCATCCAGCTCAGAAGCTACTGATACCCATGAGGTAGTACAGCCTATCTATCCATACATATTTGTATATATCGCTCTGTGTGCAATGCAATGTTGAATGCAGTGAAGTGTACACTAACCAAGTGTGTACCGTTGTTAGTTATTGTGACCTTCGGGTAAGGGGGTGGTCGGGTGGGGGGCGGATTTTGATGTTGCATATGAAAGTTAAGCTGTGCTGTTTTTTGGGGGGTGAGAGTCAAAACAGTGCGATGGTGCTGCTTTCAGGCTATGCGTTGCTGCATGTCAGATGCACAGATTTAGAGGTAGATGAAAACAAAGATAAACAAAAACGCCCTCGATTTGACATTATATTAAAAAAAACACAGGGTCATATTGTTATTTTCATGGCAATTGTACTGGGAGTGTGTTTTCCTCCAATGTGCAGTCTTTATTTCAATAACACATGGTGTGCTGTTAGAATGAGACAGTTTGTGAGAGTTCAAGGGTACATTTTGAGTATTATAGGGGTGCACTCCATACTATTTCACTGTTATGGAAATGAACTTTATTTTAAAGTACATTTAACATCTCTATACACATAATACAGTAAACTAGGCTCAATAAATAACAATAACAATCCCTGACATTCACTGTAATCCAGAGAGACTGACTTTACAGTCGATGAGTCATTATAGTATAGGCCTGCAGTATACAGATACATAATGCATATAATATACACACACATCTGACGCTACATATAGGTACTTTAGGAACACCACATGTACAGACTCAACCTTTCACGTCAATTATACAATAGAATGGCAATATATTCCATCGGAAGCATTGTTTGTATCGATAATATTTCCCTATCCTTGGGCACGACATGGGAAATGTGGCTTTGCGAGGCTTTGAGGCTGAAGTGTAATGGTTACAGTAGGAGCTGTGATTAGTTGCAGAACAGGGCAGGTAAGTGCATGTTTGGAATATGTTGGGGCAGAGGATTGTTAAAAAAAAACTGTACACGGCGCCGTAGTGCGCACACACTCCTTCCAAGTCTTAGTCTACACCAGTTCAGTTGGAGGCCCTCTCTTTCTAAACCTTCATGCTCTTTCAAGTGACTACACTCTAAACTGAGGAGCAACCGTGTGTGTTCATATGTGTGTCTGTGTGCGTGTTTGTGTAATTTTCACAGCATTGTTTGTGCAGGGGGAGAGTTTTTCTCTCCCACACTCTGCATCCTAGTATGTTTGTTTGCCCATTTAACTCTGTGTCTCATAGGAACTACAATCTGGCTAAGCGGTTTACACACCTTCATGAGGAACAAACAAATGACTCAATACTGACATTCAACAGCAATTTAACTGTTTAGTCCCTGCCAGGCTATAAGGAGCATCCCAAATGGCTCCCTATGTAGTGCACTACTTTTGACCAGAGCCTCTGGTGCTACATAGGGAATCGTGTGCCATTTGGGATGCAATCATGCTCTTATCTGCTCTGTTTTCCGAACTAAGTTCGATTTAGGCCATGTCCTCAAAGACTTCTTCTAGTTTAGATACAGATTGATGTAGCACTAACTTATTATATTATTAATGACTGTAGCGAGAGAGGGTGAACCAAGGTGGTGCTCATAGAGAATACCCACAAGTCATTTAGTCTGTCTCGCTTATTACTAAGTGCGTTGTCATTGGGAAAAGGCTGTGTGTTTGTGTGTGCATCTGTCTGTCTGCCTGAGTGTGTCTGTGATGTGTGAGGGCATATCACTGTGACTGAGTCTGTGCTACTGATTTGCCTACAGGCCTACAGTATATCTCTGCTTGTGGAGACTGATGCGTGTACAACAGCTGCTGCACTCCAGGCCTATACGAGGATCTGTACAGAAAAATTAATTAAGAGCCAATGAACCACGTTACATAAAAAGGTTCAACAGGTACTGAGTATACCAAACATTAGGAACATCTTCCTAATATTGAGTTGCAAACCTCCCACCCACCCCCCTTTGCCCCCAAGCAGCCTTCATTCGTTGGGACATGGACTCTACAAGGTGTCGAAAGCATTCCATAGGGATGCTGGCCCATGTTGACTCCAATGCTTCCCACAGTTGTGTTAAGTTGGCTGGATGTCCTTTGGGTGGTGGACTGACCATTCTTGATACACAAAGGAAACTGTTGAGCGTGAAAAACCCAGCAACGTTGCAGTTCTTGACACAAACCGGTGCACCTGGCACCTACTACCATACCCTGTTCAAAGGCACTTAAATATTTTGTCTTGCCCATTCACCCTCTGAATGGCACACATACACAATCAATGTCTCAATTGTCTGAAGGCTTAAAAATCCTTATTTAACCTGTCTCCTCCCCTTCATCTACACTGATTTGAAGTGGATTTAACAAGTGACATCAATAAGGTATCATAGCTTTCACCTGGATTCTCCTGGTCAATCTATGCCATGGAAAGAGCAGGTGTGCTTAATGTTTTGTATAAGATTGCAATATTGGGTTTGTCCAAGTTGAATGTAACTTTCTTCAGGAAATGAAACAAATCTCTTGATCACATAGGGCCTGATTCGGACTTAAGAAATTACGCCTTTCTTACGCACGCCTTTCCTATGCACTTCTCAGTGGTTGGTATTCAGACTTACCTTGTGCAGGTGAGCAACAGGCTTTGCAGGCGTGGTTCCCTTGCGTGCGCTAAATAAATGTAATTAAACCGCTGAAAACCCTCCCACTTACTGGCCAACAGATTTTCTCGTGGCGTTTTCATTCAATAGGGTTTTCAGTACATTTATCTTAAGCCATCCCTTTAAATACAGTGGTACCTTTTAGTTAGAATTTTTTCCACAGACTCAATAGAATATATCGAGAGAACGGGTTCAGAATATTATGGATCAATGAAAGAAAGCCATCTAAATATATGCATAATCGTGTCCGTTTCAGCACCAATTGGTAGATTTGAAAATACTGATTTGTAGATTATTTAGGGTTAGGAAAGTATTTATGAATCATCAAAAACTGGTTAGCAGAGCCTTTACGCACGAATGAAAGAAAATGGTGGTTTGTTAATTCTGAAAATTGCCACACTCAGTTCTTCAACCAATGGTAATGTTGGAAGATGAGTGTACATATAATTATAATAGGGAGAATAGTGTACAATAGTAGGTTATACTGTCGTCTATTGTCTGCACTAACCATGGAACTGTGATGACACAGCCAAGTATTGCTCCATGCGTAGGGTTCAAATTGTTACGGCTTTGTCTGTGCTCCACTCCATAACGTTATAATTATCCTAATGAGCCTTTTTGGTATATATTCAACTGTTACTAATGATCCTCATTAACAACCATATGGCCTTGACATAATTTACAGAGGAACCAAATAAAGGTAAACGAAACAATGGAATGAAATGGAATGATAATGTAGGCTATACCAACTGAAGGGAACTAACAGTAAATTGGCAGTTGAATATGTGTGGTTATTAGGCCTACTGACGGTCGATACTGATAGTGGCTAATATTTAACATGATAGAAATAGGAAACAGAGAAAGTTGGGGTAGCCTATAATTAACACATTCGAGAGTGCCCATCCCTGTAAGATAAAGGCTGTACAATTTAAATGATGCAAAATGTGGGAAAGTTTATACCGTGCCTTCGGAAAGTATTCAGACCCCTTGACTTTTTCCACATTTTGTTCCGTTACAGCCTTATTCTAAAATGTTTTAAATAGTTTTTTCCCCTCATCAATCAACACACGATACCCTATAATGACAAAGCAAAAACTGGTTTTATTTATAATAAAAAACAGAAATATCACATTATGTAAGTATTCAGACCCTTTACTCAGTACTTTGTTAAAGCACCGTTGGCAGCGATTACAGCATCGAGTCTTCTTGGGTATGATGCTACAAGCTTCGCATACCTGTATTTGGGGAGTTTCTCCCATTCTTCTCTGCAGATCCTCTCAAACGCTGCCAGTTTGGATGGGGAGCGTTGCTGCACAGCTATTTTCAGGTCTCTCCAGAGAAGTTTGATCGTGTTCAAGTCCGGGCTCTGGCTCGGCCACTCAAGGACATTCAGAGACTTGTCCCGAAGCCACTCCTGTGTTGTCTTGGCTGTGTGCTTAGGGTCTTTGTCCTGTTGGAATGTGAACCTTCGCCCCAGTCTGAGGTCCTGAGCGCTCTGGAGCAGGTTTTCATCAAGGATCTCACTGTACTTTGCTCCGTTCCTCTTTGCTTCGATTCTGACTAGTCTCCCAGTCCCTGCCGCTGAAAAACATCCCTACAGCATAATGCTGCCACCACCATGTTTCACCGTAGGGATGGTGCCAGGTTTCCAACAGATGTGACGCTTGGCATTCAGGCCAAAGAGTTCAATCTTGGTTTCATCAGACCAGAGAATCTTGTTTCTTGTTGTCTGAGAGTCTTTAGGTGCCTTTTGGCAAACTCCAAGCGGGCTGTCATGTGCCTTTTACTGAGGAGTGGCTTCCGTCTGGCCACTGATTGGTGGAGTGCTGCAGAGATGGTTGTCCTTCTGGAAGGTTCTCCCATCTCCACAGAGAAACTAGAGCTCTGTCAGAGTGACCATCACCTCCCTGACCAAGGCCCTTCTCCTCTGATTGCTCAGTTTGGCCGGGCGGACAGCTTTAGGAGGAGTCTTGGTGGTTCCAAACTTCTTCCATTTAAGAATGATGGAGGTCACTGTGTTTTTGGGGACCTTCAATGCTGCAGCCATTTTTTGATACCCCTCCCCTGATCTGTGCTTCGACACAATCCTGTCTCTGAGCTCTATGGACAATTCCTTCGACCTTATGGCTTGGTTTTTGCTCTGACATGCACTGTCAACTGTGGGAGCTTATATAGATAGGTGTGTGCCTTTCCAAATCATGTCCAATCAATTGAATTTACCACAGGTGGACTCCAATCAAGTTGTA